CACCACTCACCCCCTCCCTCAATTTGACCCCCCCCCCCTCCCCCCCACCCCCCACCCCCACACCCCCCCCCCCCCCCCCCCCCCTCCCCCCCCCGTCCCCCCCCCCCCATTCCTTTTTTTTTTTTTTTTTTTTTTTTTTTTTTTTTTTTTTTTTTGAACATAAACTCGGTATTGTTTCTATATTGCTGCCAAGATGTCCGCCGAGACAACCCCAGAAGTAACTTTCCGCTCTTTCACCCCCGCCGAAGCCTCCAACTATGCTCAATTCCGGCACGATTACCACCCCGCACTATATAACGCTGTCATTGACCGGCACACATCTACCGGCGGCAAACTAGACACCATTCTCGATGTTGGCTGCGGGCCTGGCATCGCGGTTCGTGCTCTTGCTCCGCGCTTCCAGTACGCCTTCGGTTTTGACCCTTCGGAGGGCATGATCGCGGGCGCAAAGGAACTTGGCGGGGTATCAGGAAGCGGGGAGCCTATTCGCTTCGAAGTCTCCACTGCCGAAGAACTCTCCGGCATCCCGGACGGTAGTATCGACCTAATAACTGCTGCGACCGCCGCGCACTGGTTCAACATGCCCGCATTCTGGGCGAGGGCGGCGCAGGTTCTCAAGCCGGGCGGAAGCGTGGCGCTATGGTCCCACAAAGGTGAGAGGATCGCGGATAGCGTCCCGAACGCCGCAGCAATTCAGGCGGCGTTAGAGTCGCTTAGAAAGGAACATCTCATGAAGTACATGCTTCCCGGAAATCTCCTAGCGCGGGATTTATATGTCAATCTACCGTTGCCGTGGAGCGGGGAGCACCCCGTCGAGGATTTCGACAAGGACTCCTTTTCCCGGACGGAATGGGGAACTGAAAATGAAGGTTCTTTGCCAAGTGACCAGTTTCTCGCGGTGGACGAGCGGGAGGTGGATTTGGGCAGCCTGGAGGCCTTGATGGGGACGGCAAGCGCGGTGAAAAGGTGGAGGGAGGCAAATCCGGAGAAAGCAGGAACGGAAGAAGACGTCACGCGACTGATGAGGAGGGAGGTTGAGCGTTTGCTTCACGAGGCTGGAGTAGAAAAGGGGAAGGAAGCTGTTAAGAGAGTGACATCCGGTGTGTTGCTGGTTGTCAAGAAGAAGGCGTGATTACCCATGGTCTCAAAAACTCAGAATACCATCTGTAGATTCCACATATCCGTGTGATATATGAAGAAATTAAATCTTAGAACTCGTTCTTATTCATCGGAAGCCTTTATCTCTGTCGCTTTTCATTACGACCATTCGGCCGGTCGTTCGCAATGATATTTAAGCGTCTAAAAACTGAAGGGGGGGAGGGATTTTTACAACTCTAAAATCCTATCTTCATTCATCAGGTTCAATATCCCGCCTCCAACAAAAGCCACCGTCTTGGAGCTCATGTAGTACTCCCAACCTTATCCACTACGAGAGTGCCAAGGTCATCAAGTAGATCGTAAGCCCCCAAATCCTAGATGCAGTCCCACCTTAACCCCTGAAGTTTTCAGCTCGGATAGTCCTGCACGCCACCAAGTTGATTGGATTACGAACTCTTCATGCAATAGGACCTAGCTGCCTGGTAGCTTAGCTGCCTTAGCTTTGTGGCTATGTTGCATGAACATCTGTCGACTATGCCTCCAGTTAAATGCTCACTCCGGTGCAGGCGAACCTACAATATGACCTGCTAATCGCTCAATAGGTTCAATCAAACTCCACCCCAATTTCTTCCATATCTTGTGCGCGAGTCGTCCTTCAATGATCCAACTACACCAAATGTCATTCAATGCGGCTTCTCCATGTCCATACAAGGAAATTGGAGGAATTCAATGGGGAGTCCATCCCGGCTTATGCCATACTGGTGGGTATATCTCTACCTAGTTTATCTCCGTTTGAAGTTTTTATGCGAGTTACATATCGAGGTCTCCGCGACGGAGCTAAACTTGTGTGCGAAGTGAGCGTATTAGTGACTTGTTACTGACGCTAATTAGTCTCACACTTGGTGGAAACATGAGGTAACCTTTCAAGATCTTTCAAAATGGGGACATAAGATCTTGGATGGATATACGAAAATAGAAGGATGCTGCCAGCAAGCAGCAAAGGATGGATTAAACTACGTATGGATTGATACTTGTTGTATCGACAAGTCAAGCAGTGCCGAACTTTCTGAAGGTATCAACTCCATGTTCCATTGGTATAAAAGGTCCACAGTATGTTATGTCTACCTAGCCGATGTATCTGCAGAAGACGACCCATTCGACGTATCTTCAGACTTTCGACGAAGCCGCTGGTTCACTAGAGGATGGACGCTGCAGGAACTACTCGCGCCCATGGAATTGGTGTTCTTTGACAAGATCTGGAACGAAGTTAGGATCGGTCGCCTTGTTAGGGCCTTGCACACATCGCGAAGTCCGAACACAAATGCGCTCCCCAGTCAAGAAAAATACCTCAATCGATTAGGCCTTCTCACCCTTCTCTCGGATATTACCAATATCCCCAAGAAAGCCCTCGACACCGGTGACTTTTCCAAGTTTTGCGCTGCAGCTCGGTTATCATGGGCTGCCAACAGGAAGACAACCCGAATTGAAGATGTGGCCTATAGTCTTCTAGGTCTACTTGAAGTGAATATGCCCCTCCTCTACGGCGAAGGAGATAAGGCCTTCATACGTCTCCAGGAGGAGATCATAAAGTCGCGAAATGACGATAGCTTGTTAGCTTGGGGTTACCGCTTGAAACCGAAAGAACTCCCTAAGATATATTCGGACAATGTTCTTGCTCGGTCGCCCTCGGACTTCAGTCATTGTCATAACTTTCAAAACCTTGAAAGTGAAGAAACGAGCCCCGAAGTGCCATTGACGACTTCACATTCTGCAATGACCAACATTGGATTACAGACAGCAATTCCTATTCGACCTATAGATCCCAAAATGGGCATCCACATGGCCATTCTACGATGCATTTTCACCGTATGTGGCCACCGGTGTCATCTAGTTATCCCCTTAGTACACACACAAGGTGGGGATAAGAATCACTTCAGCCGAGCGCCAGGCAGCCCACCGTTTCATATCGATAGGGCTAAGTTATTTTCCCTTATCAACAACTCTAGATGTTTATACCTCCTTAGTAGAGTACCGGCGTTATGGAAATGTTTTATTACGAGGGCGACAACGACTCCTATCTACATACGAGAACATCCCGTAACAGCGCCGCCACCGGTACACTGGACGAAGCCGAGTAAGAAAGTGAACGCGACAATGAGCATATACATAGACGATCTCTTAGCTGCCGGTTTTGAACTCTCATCTTTTTACCCTCCCTGGCTAAGCAGAAAGTCAGCGAGCGGCAACTGTCTAGTTCTACGATTCAGTTCACAGAACACAGCAAGGTTCGTTCTGATATTCTCAAGGCCCAAGAAGTTTTCCACAGGATATCTGCACTTTGCAGTTTGCATAAGTTTAAGAGGTCACACCATCTCCAGAGTTGAGTGCGGTTCGGCGTTAGAGTATCTGATGGAGCAAAGCCAAAGCTTAGGGATCAACATGGATCGTCATGGGATCAAGCAGAAAGAGCTCGAGATAAGAGAGGAGACTACAGACGGGAGCGCTCGCCCTATTCACCATATATCGTTCAAATACATGTTTGGTGATATTCGAATTAGGTGTAGTACTGGTGCGGTAAACGCAGCACGAGCTCTTCGAGCACTGCACTCACAGTAAGAATACTAAACACATAAAATCATACCTCTAAGTACCTATAAGTAAAAGAGATAGATCTACTCTCAGATACAAACCGCTGAGCCAAAAGTGTATTTCTTAATAACACAATTGCTATTACAGTTTATTTGACCTATGAGTGGTACTACTCACATCTACCTAAACTACCTGGCGGCTTTCACATAGACATGTGCAAGACTCGCAAAGTCCCAGAAACTTACCAGGAGACATTGTATATGTTCTGGATGCCGACTCTCATTTTCATCGTTGGACTGGGGCTGGTTTCCAGTGGCATCTTCATGGCTGTGGCCTGGTCTAAATCAACTAATAATACACCGGACTCCACCGAAGACTCGGACTTCTGGATACAGCTGCGAGACAGGATATTGCAGATTTAAATTCTATTTGTGGCCATATACGTCGCGCGCCAGAAGTTATCAGCCGATCCTATCGCTTGGTATCATGCGCATGTGTTCACTGTTGCTGGATACGTATGCGCACTTCTCGTCGGAGTGCTGTATACGCTCGTGCTAACTATGTGGTCTTCTGTTGCATCTTTCCCAGCCAGCCTTATGCAGATGGCTGTGATGCTTCAACTTGCTCTGATTACCATGGCTCCAAAGCAGAAGCAGCTTTGGAGGAGAAACCGCGATTTTCTCTGCGCGGTGTGTTAGATAGTCTTGCGAATATGCCATGGTGATATGACATGGTGTTATGCAAATCACGTCTTTACCTCCGCTCTAAAGAAATCCTGATAAGATGGAATAGGGGCTAGACTATGGACATGTGGAATGATGAACGATGATCCCTAGGTACCTGATATGAACCTATACTTACCGATATTATATTAGCTAGGATGATGCTATTGACTTTTAAATACTATGCTGTACCATGCTTCTGTTAGGGATACCTTTTTTTCATAGTTGTACAAGAGGTGCAATGGTAGGCTCCCGCAACGCCACATTACACTGCGGCAAGTCAATCCCGTACGCCTCGCTCACAAGCTCCGTCGCATTGCCACCACCCGCCGTTTCCGGCGCAGTATACCACCTCCTATTCCTAAGATCCCCGTCCTGCGACTGATCGAAGAAATTCTGCGGCGCGAACATAACGCTGCTCACAGCCTCGGAGTACAGCGTCACGGGGACATCCTCGCTGCGCGTGAAGTGGTGCATGCCCAGGTTCAGCCACACAACGAGGTCCGCGCCCTCGACGCTCTCGCCGTCCAGGAATTTGGCGAAGTCCTGCTGCGGCTTCCACGGCATGTTGAGGTTCTGGATGCTGTTGCCCCACGGCTCCGTGTCGTGCTGCCGCGTCACGAATAGGTGCGCCTTGGACAGCGCGGTGTTGCGCCGCGAGAACGGCGAGTCCGCCGTGCTGAGCCGGATGTTCGATTTGCCCGGCACGATGCGGTACCCGCGCGGCGAGCCCCATTTGTTCGTCGCGCGGGCGTGGTTCACCGCGTACATGAGCTGTCCGTTGTCTCCCCAGCTGAGCGCCCGCTCTGTCTCGACGTTATAGGTCTCAAGCGCGATCTGTTCGAACTCGCCTAGTTCGGGCCACCATGGTTGCGTCGTGTTGACGGTCTTCAGCTCCGTCACTTGAAGGGTATTCTCCGTGCCCAAGATGTCGAAGTCGGCTTTCCAGGTAAGCACATGGTCGTGCAGCGATCCTTGTGTCGCCTCCTGAATGCGCGGACCCCACGCACCCTGGTCGCGGAAGAAAAAGGAGGACTGCAGATAACCCGAGGCTCGAACCGTGATCTCCAGGCTCCCATCAACATGGAATGCGTAATCAAATAGGTAGTCGTAATTGCCCACAATCGCAATGGAGCGCAGTGTTAAGAGTGATCCCTTTACAACGCCCAGGTTAGAAAAGCCATAGTCGTTGGGTACGTCTCCTTCGCGGTGTCGAGATAGGGGAAACCCCGTATCTGATTCGAAAATACAGATGGAATTCGGGTTAACGGTAGACGTGTTTCCGTTGTGGACAGTAACATTCCAAAACGTAGAGCCGAACGGACAGTCGAACCCCTCAACCATTGGAAACATATCGGCGCCTAACTGGAAATGGGTATCGTGATACAGCGTCGAAGCGGCTTTCGGCTGGAACCCGCCGTACTGCGCGGCGGCTTCTTGCATCGACAACTCGTACAGCACGCGCTCGCCTTTAAACCGTATGTCGAAGAGCATAACGCCCAGGGTCTGCGAGTGGGACACGTAAAACGACCACCCGAGGTATTCGACGTATTTTCGCTCCGGGTCCAGCTTGTACCGCTTGCCGCCCACTTCCAAGTTCTGCGGCGCGAACCTATCTTCCAGCTCGCGGGTTCCCATCGCCGCGTTATATTTTACCAGCGCCCAATCATAACCAGACGGCTGGTACAATTCCTCAACCAACTCGTCTGCTTCGAACGCTGCACGGAGCTCTGCGACCGTCTGGAAGAACCGCGTGTTGGTTACGAGTCCCTTGAGTTTATACAGCGACGCATCTGTGCCGGTGGTATCGAGCAAGACGTAGAAATCCAGCGGTCGCAGATAACTTGCCGGTCCAGGAAGCCTGAACATGATAACCTGAAAGGCCTGGCTCCCATTAAAAGACGTGGGCGTGGTAGGGGCCGCTACTAGGGTCGAGTTAGGATTATCATAGCCGTAGAAGACGCCCCCTAGGAGCGCGGATGTGATGTCGGTGATATTGGACATCACAGAAACCAATAGGGGCTCCGCGGCCTCCCGACGCTTTTGATCAAAAAAGCGCCCGTTAAAATGCACGGCACCGCCAGTCCCTCCATTGAATGGATAATCTAGTTTCTGGATAGTAGTCTCGCCAGACACAGGTAAGGGGCCGATCATATACTCCTGAGACACTGGCTCGGGCTTTCCACCTTCGAATATAATGGCCCTCGCCCACGTACTAGGCGTTGGTCCCGAGCCATCGAGGTATGGCAGTACGTCTGACTTATTAACAGGTACCGTGTCGATAAGCCACACATAGTTGTCATTCACCTTTGCCGTATCCGGATCGGTTAGGTTCAATTTCGACGCGGGGTTGTGGAGGAGATTCCACACGGCCAGATTGTCTTCGGGTGATATTTGCGTCCAGACATTCGCTTTTGGAGCTGACACTTGCTCCGCTGACTCGTATAGTGAACATGGTGAGCGTGGAGCCGTCTTAGATGAACCACTTTCTTGGTTAATATTAGGCAAGAACTGTGTGTGATACTCTTTCGGTGGTGTTTCTGCTGCATTTGCGAATGCTTCAAGGAATAGTGATATATATATGAGTTGTACAAGCATGTTCTTTATAGTTTGAAAACTGTCAAGTATCACGCCTGAAGTAGAGATGAAGACAAGAACATACCTAGCGATGACATACAGTATACATGGTATTTATACCCCTCTGTGACTCCAAATGGCAATTGGAGCTTCTCCCAGTTACACACTGGATCACATGATAGCCATGGATGAGAGCCATGTGGCTACTACAGATAAGTAGGAGATTTTTGATAACGACGTCGCGGGAAATATAGAAACGACGTTGTTAAGACTCGATGAACCTCACCATTTATCCGTAGATAAGAACCTTCGGGCAGATGATTGGCTATTACTTGATGGCGAAGATATATACACTCTATTTCTCCAATCGTATATTGCCAATCATACATTGGGAGCCAAGATCATATGGTTTCGTTGTTGTAACGTAGGCTGGCTCCGACTTGGCAAGATGCAAGATAACTCCTAGCAAATTTGAGATAAGCATCATACATATATGGTCGTATGGAAAATAGTTGAACTATCTTTAATCAGGGCGGCGAGACTATATAAGATAAAATTATAAATCACCACTCGAGGTAAGCATATTGAGTGTCCATAAGGTATCAATAAAGCCTTGGCGGGAAAAGGCCAACGAGAGTGATAAAAGAAATTTAGATCAAGTTTATGAAGTAATTTATTATGAAATAATATCAGAAGATGCGAAGATATATAAATGTGGCTTAGGAGGTAGGCATTCACATATTGATGATGTGTTGAGTCTTGGATGTGAGTGGGTCGCTGGTGAGATGCAGAAAAGGGGTTAAGTGAAAACGCTACGAAGTGAGACAAGTTAGGATGGACTTCATACAACCAACCCATGGCATATTAAACCCCCCTATACTTGTTAAGTCATTAAAGATTTGGTGATAGTTTCAGATTACGATTAGGGAAAAAATATTATTAACTATGAACTATGATCGAATAGTCTAAGAGGCGCTTTACTACAAACTCCAACGCGTTGACACTTATTTTACTATGACGTACATCGGTCTTTCACGTTACTCCTTGCCAACCCCAGCCGCTGAATCCTAGATAGGTACACAAAGGAGGAGTTCTACACAAACAACTGCAGCCCCTTTGTTATTTCTTACCTGGCCTATTGAGCCGCGACAACGGATGAATCAGTCTATTTCAACAGGCGATTGAAGAACGAACCGCCCGTCTGCTGTATATCAGAGTTCTTTTGGGGCGGTACGGTTTGGGTCTGCTGAGCCGGCTGCTGCTGCTGTTGCTGCCCCCCGGTCTGCGGAATAGTATTGGCCGGAGGCGCGTTCCAATTAATTGGCCCTCGATACTGACTCGGCGTTTGGCTTGGGGTCTGCGCTGGGATCGATGGTTGGCCCTGATCCCACACCTGTGGGATAGGCCGTGTCCTTTGGGTAGGCTGGACAGGAGGTTGAACAGGTTGCTGGGCCAGCTGTTGAGCTGGCTGCTGCGCTGGCTGTTCGGCTGGAGGCTGATCTTGACGTGCAAGGTTATCGCGAACCCGTTGGTTCATCATATTCAGCCACGCCTGCTCTAGTCGGTTCACAGCAGCCGCTCTCTCCTGTCGGCTCTGGCCTGGCAGTATAGTTTGTGCCGGAATTTGTGCCGGAGTTGGTATCTGGGTTGGCTCCTGAGCAGGAACCTCAGTAGGAATCTGAGTTGGTACGTGACTTGGCACCTGGGGAAGTGCTTCGGGCTGGACTGGCGGCTGTAGAGGCTCTCTACCTGTTCGGCCCTCGTTCTCTGGCCTTTGAGGGGCGGGCGTAGGGGCAGGGGCAGGAGCGGGGACAGGAGAAGGAGTAGGAGTGCGTCTAGTCCTGGAAACCTGGGGCCGGACACCCTGCGGGAAGAGAGCAGGCTGCCCGATTGCATCATAGAATTTGATGTACAAATACACAAAAGCGACAATCTTCAACAACTCCAACAAGTTATTCGAGAAGAACCGATAATCACCAAGCGTGAGCGCAAACGCGTCCACGGAGGCGTACAGCAGGTGCTTGGAGAAGTCGCCGAACCAGTGACTTCGGCGCCGACGGATCGCGGGGTACAATCTGGCACGGATGGTGAATAAAGTTACTAAGAACATAATCCAGCTTGCCGTGGATCTGACAAATCCGTTACGCTCAAACTCGACCACGACGCTCATGGCTGAGACGAATAACCATGGGCTTATGCCATAGGCCAAATCGCCTAAGACGATAGTGCTGGGCGAATGAGGAGTAGCCATTCTTATATTTGTCTTGAGTCTTGACCTATGCGTTGATATATTGAAATTTGATAATATTTGCGAATTGCCTTTAGCTGAGTTCCTCCTTATGATGTAGAAGGAGACGATGTGAATGTTTTGGTCAAACTATTTTCCTCGATGAAGCCGTCAATGCTATCGCATATATATTTCTCCAGTCCTCGGTATTGTATCGGAACGGTATCTCTGTTCTCAAACGATAGATAGTCGGTCGACGCATGTAATATGTTGTAGAGGATGTAATAGGCAGGTATAAAGAAGTTGTTCAGCGGAAAACTAATTGTTTGATTTCAATAGGATAACATAGCTCGTAATGGTTGCCGAGAAGGTTGCTGAACAACATTCTAGTATAAACAGTTTCATTGTTCTACTAGACAGCAAGTTAGAATTGATTTGTGCCTGGTCGTAAACAACAGCACTATAAACTTACGAATGTATACAAGTTACGGTAAAGCCTTCATATATTATACCGCGTTTTCTTTTCTTCGAGTTGCGTCTAGTTTCCTGGCAAGCTATCAGTTCATTCACAACCGAACAAAAACATAAGAAACACTCAAGTTGCACCTCACTCACTCACCTAAATAAATCTCCACCTCCCAATAATATTAGGTACATACCTTTGTCAAAGTACGCAGGCAACAAGTGTTCTTAAGGCAAACTTAACTAATTCGACCTAGAATATGACGACGACAACGGAGACAGTCACAGTGCAATCGACACTTCCCTTCATGGAAGTGCATGCGCTATATGCACCTATTGCCACTGGCCGCCTTATTGTTCGGCCGATTTGCCTTAGAGACATCGAAGGATTCCATGCTCTTTCTAGCCAACCCGAAGTCGCAGCTTTGGGTTTTCTTCGCGGAGCTCATGCCGAGTACGATATCATCCAGAATTTCGCAGTCATGTTAAACAACATGAGACCCTGGATTGAGCAAAAAATAGACTTTAGTATCCTCCTCCAGACTCCAGATGGCGGAGAAGGAGAATACATTGGACTAATGTCTATCGACTTTCCGGCGGAAAATTGGCCGGTTCTCTCGTACAGGCTTCGGAGGGAGTATTGGTCGCAGGGATATATGTCTGAGGCTTTACTAGGCTTTTTAAACTTTTGGTGGAATCTTCCTCGCGGTTATGCGCAAAACAGGGTGAGCTCGGCCTCTTTACACCCTAGTGAGCGTACGGCTGGTATCCCAAACGTCAGCGAGAGGATGTTTGCTACTGTAGAAGATGGCAATCAAGCAAGCAGAAAAGTGCTCCTGAAATCAGGATTTGTGTCTGTTGGGCAGTATGGCCAAGGCACGGAAGCTTTTGTTAACGTTTTCCCGCAGACTCAGGTTCCGCCAGCAGCTTATCGAGAAAGGTTTTGGGGCAAACAAAATGATAATACTGGTCCAACAAGCCTACCATTTAATGGTTTACATATATGATAATGAGGGCATTATCAAGTTCCCCCTTTCGAGGACAATGTCTTAAGTCGCACAATGTACCTACTTAACTATTTCTCCAACTAGAGATTCCTCTAGTTGCCCGAACAATGTAATATCAAGGATCCTAATACATAACGATCATGACAATTGATAAACACTTCTATGTCATACATAAAGGCACATCTATCTCGATAGACTCACTATTACGGCCTATTTATACATACCTAAGTAAGGTACCTAGGTATTTTAGGAGGTAGCGAAGCGTGAATAAAAAATTCCTCCCAATATGCTATGCGTCGATAAGAGAAGTCTTTGAATTCAACACACTGAAATACACTTAGATTTTGACACCATATGATTAGACGTGATAAGTCAACTATTATTAAATCTGAGATAAGGTAGTAAATCGGTAACGGTATCTTAGAGATAGATGAAAGCCTCAAATATGCCACCTGTTAAGGAGTTGCTGCCATTGAGGGTCCTAAGTAAAGCGTTCTAGACCGTCGCATGATGGACATTGCTTCACCTGAGGTCTGCTCGGCTGCCCCGGTGGTGGTGGTGGATATAGCGAATAAATCGCGGCCTCGTCCAGTGGCGTTTTTAGCAGCGCTATCTACGGTTGAATGTGATAGATAAGTATAAAATATTAACGCTCGATAGCACGAACGAAACTAGGCACGTACGAGGTGGCTATGGGCCAGACAGGGAGGCGTTAAAACGACCAGTTTACCTCTGCTGACATTGGTGCAGGTACGCGTGCCACCTTTTCTGACGACAGTCTGGCCAGGTTGGCTATTCAATAGTTGGTCATCTTGGGTTAGATATCATGCGTGGAGCCTGGATCTTAAGTAGCGGCGTTCAGCCGCACCAAAGTGACTGGTAGGAGCTGAACATCTTGTCGTTGCGCTGTACTGTCTCCATAGAGTAGATGATATATATTGCGAACACATCGTCAAGAATCGTATCCAGCCATCTCAACACTCTATCTCACTTCAAGTCAAGTACTATTGAGGCACTCGTCACGTCTTTAGCAAATAACAACCTTTACAATTCTTCAAACTGAATCAATACTCTGAATGCTGGTGCGGTACCAGTGTCGAACGGGCAGTAAAAGCACTATCTGAAGGCAACACGAATCCAAGAGTCGACACGATGTACCCCATCGACCAGAGCCGGAATTACTACAGATGCTCCACGCAGAAAAACCGTCTGCCTGTTCTCTGGCAGCCACCACTTTCCGAGGACCCATCGGACTCGGATTCCATCGTCGTGGGCATGGGCGACATCGTCCCGCGCTGGGACGTGTCTGGATCCAACACGACGCTCGAGTTTTTCGTCCGAGCCGACACCTTCCCGTCCGCTGACGACGCGTCGCACGCCGCCCAGATGTTCCAGCAAGCTGCGGACGACTGGAACGCGCTTGGCCTGGGCATCTAGATCTCGCAAGTCACCGATGAAAGGAAGGCCAATTTCGACCTCGTGTACAGGGTTAACGGCAGAGCGGACCAGGGCCTCTACGCCGAGGCGTTTTTCCCGCACGAGCGCCGTCGCGACGTGGTTGTGACCGACTTTGCCCTGAGCGCGAAGGAGAGGGGCACCCTGAAGAACGTGTTTCTGCACGAGATCGGCCACATCCTCGGTCTCAGGCACGAATTTGCGCTGGATAAGGAAGAGGAGGGTGCCGTGCGGTTTATGGAGGAGAATCCCGTTTCTGTGATGAGCTACACTAGCCCGCCGACCATGCAGGAATTCTACAAGCTCGAACCGGGTTTTAAGATCGCTGGAAGTCCTATAGTTGACTTTCAGCCCGAGCTGAGGAGGCAGACAAAGGCAGTTCCGCCAGTGTAGCTAACGATCGTCTGACTGTCAGGGGTTTCCCCAAGCACTGCTGCTGGGCACATCCGAGAAGGGTCTTCACTCATTATAAGATGGCGTGATTGGCGGGTTTCCCCTGGTAAAAAGTCGGTCTCGGCTACTTGAAGCTGGAGATAGCTAGGTTAGATAAGGTACCTAGATAGAGTGGTGATGCAGATAGGACTTGGAAAATATCATATGTTAGAGCTCTGTCTCCTTTGAGGGGTTACTATAGACGTTACCTTAGGTACCTAAATTTGCCGAGATATCTGTCAGTTGATGTTGAAGCACTAGGAGAAAGTTATTTTTGCCTTGTACCAACAGGGACACTATACACGAAGTCTTTAACGAGTGAAACATAAGGCATAAATAATTGGCTTTTGTAGGTATTTACTATTCCTAGTTTTGTAGAACAAGAGTTCTGCTAGTTATGAAAATGAAACAGACAGCACAACTCGTACCAAACAGACCAAACACTCACTTACCCAGATAAACAGTACTATACGGCCTCAACCAGTCAACCAAGGTGTTCTTCTAGGCATATAGAAGTCATTGTCGCAAGATCAAGTCAGTAACCTGAAAGTGTCAGAGGGATACTTACTGCCTTAAACAAAGCGCAGAAGGCAGATGTAGACGAAGACGCAAGCGAATAGCCCCGGGTGAATGGCCAAAAGGCAGCATGCACCAGCCACACTGAGGTAGAAGTACGCGAGCGCTACGAACACGGTGAATGTCTCTTGCCAGAACGAACAGAATACGAAAAAGAAGAGGGCGAGAGTCCATCCGACGAGGAATTGGGGGATGGGTGCGAAGTCTGCCATAGTGACTGGTGATAGTAACGTTTTGCTCTAGGACGTGAGATATTCTGGAGTATGGTCTATGAATATCGAGTTATGTTGTGTTGGATGATATTCCAAGGTTTGGATCCAGACTCTGCCAAGGTTAATATAGCATAGGTGCGCATTGTTAAGGCAAAGACAACACCTATTGAATGATCTATACATGTTCTTTAATTCCTTTATCCACCAACTCATTCTTTATTCACGACCTGATTTATGTTATTTTTAGTAATTATAGCACTGAAAATGAACGTACATTGTTAGTCAAAATTAAGTAGGTGTCTGGCTTTGATTGAGCTTTTGTCAGACTCACAGCTTTCAATGTATCTTGCAACACTCTTTACTGTAGGATAAATAATTCCACGATATAATTAACAGGTAGGTAAAATGATGGTGCGTAGAGTTTATGCAGAGCTATAGTATAGGTAGGTAGTTAGAACCGGGTATTGATGCTTTAATCCGATAGAATTTCCTCAAAGGCTCACTCACCGAATCTTACATTTCGGATATAGTTTCGGTCAAGAGACCATTGTGCAGATCTATGATAGGTTAGGCACCTATCATTAGGTAGACTTTAAGGCTTTGATTTGATCACCCGATTTTGTGGAGGAAATAGTTACCTCAATAACTGCAGTGACGTGAATGTTTGGAATCATACCCCCTGCGACTATATTAACCAAGTACTAATGTGGCGGCGGCTTAAACATGCAAATAAAGAAACATAGGATGACAGTCAAAAGGAAAATCCATCATCTCATTGGTAGAATAGTATCGAGAAGTTACGAAGAACAGCATTTTCGAAGCTAGCATCTTTTACCTAGTGCTTGTTTGAACATCATAGGGTGTAATATGGCATATACTCTTTTATTTTTATCACTGAATCTGCAGTATCCCGAGGCGCATTACTTACCTATTCAGCGACTCATAGTCGTGTTCAAACTGTCTAAGACATTCATCAAAGCGGAGAATACGGTGAAAACAGGCTCAAACAACCTTAACGCCGATGATGTACCTACATTGCGATCATCTGCCTTACAAGCCTTAACTTAACTGTGCTTTCGAGTAAACTTGACTGTTCCATATGCCATTAAGCTTTGGCAACTTGACGGTCCACGACATCAATAATGTCAAGGCGTAGACCACGGGATCCTCGCCATGCGTAACGCTACGTGGCCGACACCACAGCCAACATCGAGCACCTGAGAACTAGAGGACAGCGCCATTAGGTACCTGCTACCTCAGCCATCTTATATTTCGTACTAGGTAAGTCCTTACATACCTTAGGTAGATAAGGGAAAGGCCAATAACTGCCGTGTTCTTAATGCGCAAAGTGTTGCTTGTTACTCAAAAGTAATCTATACCTTCACTTTGACTGAAATAAGTAATAGTAAGATGGTAACGGGGATTCGGGCTGCTAATAGAGGCCGAGTTATGACTCTTGTCGGGGAAAGATAACATAGCTGCAGTTTACAAGGAGAAAAAAAAGAATAACTCGCAAAAGCGCGGTAACGGAGAATGACTCAGTAAATACACGCTTAGTAACTAAGCACTCCGATCATCATAACTTACCGAATTATCCGTGATGGATGCGTATATGCGTATCGGTAGGGCTGAAGAGACAGGACCCTGCTCCCGCTCCCCCGATTAATGTTTCCAAATTTAGGACGAGGCAAGGCTTTTGCTCCACTAAGAACAACACTCTGTTTAACGTCAGTATACAATTATTATTCAATTATGCGAACTACAATCTTAAGAGGATAAACTGCCTAAAGGCTAATAGAGGAGGATTATAATAGCTGAGCGTTTGTCTAGTGACTGCCTAGATATTTCATCTATATCTCATCGGATATCTGCCATACATTCATTTTCTTATATGGCATTATTATAATATTTGTTTATCTTCCGTCATCGAAATATCCATGGCCAAGAGCCAGCCTCCTAAAGCCTGCTGCTGTAATACTAATTGTTCAGATGAACATATGTCTCTAGTCCTTCGTAACACTATTAAGTTGCTTTCTTACTATCTCACGCCCTGATATAGTGGCTTGTGACCATAGCATTGCCTTCTTCCCACCACACTTTCCAGCTCTCCAATGTCAGATCAGAGTATTGGTTGACGACCCTTAGAACACAAAACTTACTGTCATTGGACCTTAAAGATGTAAGCACCTAGGTAGGCAGCAATACGATGACGTTCATGAGGGTACCTACCTAAGGTACATATATTGAACAATAGCCTAAGTCAATGCTACACAAAGCTAAAGACGGAGTTTGAGAAGCACGTTCACAGGCTTCTCAACAGACCGAACATATCTAGGTAAGCTATGGAGAAAGCGTACAAAGTTATCAGGTATATATCATACAGTGGCTTTTAAGCCTGTTGACTTCTTGTAAACAATGTACGAGGCCAGTGCTTACCTTGTACCGTGGGTGTCTCTCCTCAAACATCTAATGGGGCTACAAATCAACCTTCAAAGAACAATGGTCCCCTTCTTATATCTACCACTCCCTTTGAAAATATCAGCAACGACCCCCTTTCTAAGAACAGTCATTGGAACCTAATGTACTGCCACAACGCAAGTCTATGCCTTTCCATGTAGGCATGGTATATATGCCGGCGATGGATATCATAGAGCCCTATATACATTATACGAACTTGAAAACCACACTATGGATTGTAGTCTCGGCGACCCCTCCTCCGTATATACATGTAATATCATAGGGTTAGGGCTAAATAATATCATCACGAAGTTTCTTCAAGTACTCTTATATGCCTACTGCCTACTGCAAGAATAGGAAGGGAAGGAGGTCCTTCCGGAGAAGAAATATCTTAGCTACTTCCTCAACTTGGACACTTGGAAGGGTGGTTATCTAGGATCAAAGAGGAGTCTTCTAGAATACCCAATGTCTTACCTAGCCTACAATCTAGGACCGTAGAGAAGCTTGTCGGGCAGCTGCCAAAGCCAAAGGTCCGAGTTCTTACAGCAACGCCGAAGGAGCCCAAGAAAGAACTCGAGGCTCTTAGCGTGTTCTTGACCTCTCAGTTCCTTCCTTTAATTCCTGCTACATAAAACTACAAGGAAAAATACCTACCTATCTTAAGGCTCTGTACTTCGTCGCCCTCCGTAGTGGTTTTGCAAATCATCTCTTCCCTCTTCCCCCTTCGGTTTCCTTTCCACAACTCGAGAGGACCTGCCACAAAACATTACTTCGTCGGTACGTATTTCAAAGCAATATCTACCTCTTCCCTAGGCAACCCTACACCGTGTGATACGTCTACACATATCTTTTTTTGTCAATTTAAGTCTCTATTCCCTAGGGCTTTTTTTGTGTGTGTGACACTGCATCCTCGCGCGTCCAAAACAACATTGTCATCTTTCCATTACCGACCACCAACCAACGCGAGGCTACCTGACACTAAGTATCTGACACACTGAATCAATCAGAGTAACTCGCAGTGCCTAGTATCTTTGGTCTTTGCGTATAATATTTATTGGTAAGTTCCCCCAACAGTGCTGGCTGTGAATGAGGATATGATCGTGACTTTACTTGGACGCCTCCCCTCACCCCTGTTGTTTTCGCACCTACTTTCGCATCTGACCTATCGCTTAACACGATGATTACAGGACTTTATTGGATTACCTTTTTGCCTTTACGGTACTTTACAGGGTGTTTGTTTAACATCTACTTCGGGTCACTTGACCTTAGCACAGTAAGTACCTGACCTAACCTTGCCTAACCTACCTAAAGTAGAGAATTGCAATTATACCTACGTGGGGGGCGTGGATGATTAACCTACATGGATACTAGATTAGCTATGGCGAATCATCAAGATCATTCGTCCCAGGGTCCCCGGGATCTAGGCTACGGCCTCCAGGGCCCTCGTCATCCTGGCATGGGCTACAACGGAAACCCTGCACAGCAGGAGATCCAGAGAAATCCCCTCCACCGAGCTGGTGAGGAGTCGGGCTTTCTCGACCCGCGAGTGTTGGGCAATGGTGGTAACCATCCCAACGCTGCCGCCGAGAACTCGTACGCAATGGCTCGTGGCGTGCCTCAAGGCTTGCTTCAAGACTGGCCTCAAGGCGTGCCTCGCAACGTGAGCCAGATGCCTCTAGGAGCAGCACATAGACATACCCTGTGGGCGGGTGACCAAGGTGAGTCATGGCTTCAGCCTGATTTTTTTTCTCTCTTTCTTTTTTTTAATCGATGATTCGAATCTATCTTCCTACGCTTCGCCTCGTGTTGCCGCCTAAAATATAATATCCCAAACTAACAAGTATATAAAAACCCAGCAGATCCCCAGAATCCCCGACCGGCTATTGGCACACAAAATCCCCCTAACGACGACGACAACGACGATTGGACGTATGCGATCGAAGTGATACCCGGTCTTGATGAACCTGGTAAGTTTAAGTTTGATGTTTTTTCTATTCCATGTTACATTTTCCCTCTCGTTAGCCTAAGCCCTACAGCCTTCAAGCCCAACAGCCTTCAAGCCCAATCAGCTCCCTTCACGACGCCCCCTTATCCCTGTCCCGTCCACTCTAATATTTATGTACTTTGTACCTGCCAAGCCAAGTGTCTTGCATGTACTGGTTAAGGGCATAAGGCGTGGCATGGAATTATGGATAGGTATATCGTTACACGGATTTCTCGGCTAGCGTGGAATGAGCCGTCCACACCGTCCGTGCGAATCTCTTTAACGATTGAGCCCTACACTGTGCGCTACCTTCAGCTGCCAAACAGCCAATCGCCAATCACCAATCAATTAATCGTGCATCATTTCATCTCCATCTTGAATGAATGCCTTACAACAACTTATACCTTATACCTTATACCTTATATCTTATACCTTTACAACTTATTTCTTAATTAATATCCTCTTCTCTGTCGAGTTGCTAATCGTACTCCTATCACTCCAGGTCAAGAATTAGCCATAGGCCACACCCTCGCTATCCATCAGTACCTGAAAAGCCGATCTGTCAACTACGTCTTAACCGTTACTGCACCCGTTGAAAGGTCCGGCCTTTGTCGACAGTTCGCCCTTCGAAAGCAAGATCGATCCAACAACCGCCTGAGACTCGAGTTTCTTAAAGCCTTTAGCCCTAGCCGGCGCTACAACAAAGAGTTCCCGCGTTACTCCTTCAAGATGAGCGTCATATTCAAGGACCGCGTGGTTCAACCCGCCGGTCCGTACCCGCCCGGCATCGACGGCCGACATGATCAGGAGGAAGATAACCGTTTTTCTCCGGGTCCCTCTATGAACGGTCTTGCGGGATACGGTGTGGGGGACGATCAGCTCTTACTTCCGGCTTCTCCCAGCTCTAACGGCTTGGATTCCCCTTCTCCTTTCGAGCGGCCTATTTCTCCTCCCGAAAGTCTCTCAACACCGGGACATCGCCATGCCCGACCGCCTCGCCTAGGGCCCGTTATCAAGCCCACCCGTGTTGCAATCAAGAATCGCGATGGAAAGTTTGCTTGTTCCTTCCTCGGTTGTACCGAGGAGGTGAAGGTGTTTAGTCGGAAATGCGAATGGAGGTAAGATATACTACCCTACCGTCTTTGTATTTATCTAAAGCACCCAGTTTTGCTAACTCTTTGTTTAGCAAGCATATGGATAAGCACGACAGACCCTACAAGTGCCTAGCGCTGGGATGTGAGAAGCTCGCCGGCTTCACGTATTCTGGCGGCCTCTTGCGCCACGAGCGGGAGGTTCATAATAAGCACGGTGGTCCGAAGAACCCTCTGAACTGTCCGCACGGAAACTGCAAGCGCCACGAGGGCAAGGGATTCTCACGCATGGAGAACCTCAACGAGCATCTGCGCCGAGTGCATACTCCTAACGAAGCTAACGCCGGGGCTGCGGTCGCCCAATCGCCCGAGGCCGAGCTCGACGAGAACCCTGCCCCCCTTCAGCAGGCGGTAGCCGGCCAGAAGATAGGCGAGAAGCGCAAGCCTGAGGATGATCTCCGCGAGGAGGTGAAGCGTCTCCACCAGGAGAACCAGAAGCTAAAAGACCAGATTCTCGCACAGTCGATTAACAGTATGGCAATGATGCAGACTATTGGTCAGATCAATGCACGACTAGCGCAGCTTGCCAACGGCGGCCCTCACCCCGAAGACCAAGCCCAAGCCCAAGCACAAGCCCATGTTCAAGTTCAAGCCCAAGCTGGACCCCCCAAAGCCGAGCTTCTACCCGCGGCGGCACTTCCGCAGGCCATGCCCGAACCCGACCTCAGCGATCCCCACGCCGCCGGAAACGCTGACCTGAACCCACCCGTGCCGGACTAGGACGCCTTCATGCAGGACTGGGATCAGCCGTTTACCGACGGTGCGGGCGGGTTTCTTGACGATTCTGAAAATGACGAGGAAGAACATGACCAGTAGGGCGAGTTTGGCCCCGGCGGACTTGGCGATGATGACGAATGATGAATGAAGAAGAATAAGAAGAACAGCTCGATTAGTCAGTCCTATTCGAGCTTTGCGCAAAAAAACAATCATCTTCTCCTTTTCTCTCTCCTTTTTGTTTTTCTTTTGGTCGTTTGTTACACGAAGATACCCCACTATTATTTTCGATCTTTTTTTTTCTTCTTCTCCTTTTTTTTCCCGTTTTGCATGGCATGGCATGGAATGGCCTCAGGCGTTGGCGGCCGACTTACGAGGTACTCGGACGGATCAAGATTATATACGAGTTGGCACGGATAAGGAGGTTCAGGCGTTGGGGAGTGAAAGGGTGTTTAGGGACCTAACATTATACGCATTTTCAGGCTCGGCACATTTCTCCTCCACACCCCCCCTTTTTACTCTCTCTCGGAGAGAGAGATAAACAAACGAGCAGACTTGTTTCTCATTTATCCTTCTATAGGGGATACGGGTGGGGGTTTTCTCTTGTTTTATTCTCTATTGTTCTAGGCGGAGGACCTGGATTTTCTACGAAGGAGGTTGGTTGGCAAGTTGACGAAAGTCTTCCAGTACGGGGGCTCGAAGCCCGAGATTCCCTTCTTATTCTTAGTCTCGCAGGTGGTTTGTACCACAGAAGGGTGTGGATATCGACAGAAAAAGACGAGATCAGATGAAGGTGGTGATGGAGATGGAGATGACACCAGATGTGAAGGATTATTTGTAAAGATATGATTGTCCCTCTTCCGCGGAGGGGGATGTCTTTGTAAGTAGCTGGACTTTGTATTAAGTACAGACGAGACCGTTTCTGGTATCATTTTGGAGGTGCAGATATGCTACCTAGGATATGTCCGCTACAGTTGAAGAAAAAAGGATATGAGCTTCCTGCCATCGTCGTGGTTCTTTCTCTCAGGGGTGTAATATGTGTCGTTACTAAATAAACCCTCGGTATATCCTCAACCACGAGTAGGCTCCAATACACGTCCGACTTATCCCAACAAATGGAGGCTTTAAAAATCCTCCAGTCATCTTAAGAGTAGTACAAGAGACCGGGCCAATCGGATTATTCGAAGCTTTACGTACTGTAGCCTTTTTCACCCCTGAGGAGATAGCTTGGGATTGAAGTCCCCTAGGAGATGACTTCCTAGTGGTGTCTACATATATTCGACCCAGCGCCCTTAAGGGGGTTCTGCGTTTTGATCGAGGAAATGGGCAAGACAGGTAAGGATGTAATATGAGGTACTCCTCAAGATGTGCAATTTCTACGCGTTTCGAAGTATTCTCAAGTATTCATAAAATTTCATCATTTCTTTTTCTCTTCTAGCATCGACAAGGGTCGGGATTACCTCTTATTGGTGTACTAATCACTGCCCCTTTTCATAAGTAAAGTGTAGCACTCCCTTAGGGGGTGCTGCGTCGACGTATCTACCTAGGTAGACAGTTGTTCTCGAGTCTTTTAAATCTGCCTTATGGCAAAGGCACTAAACCGATGTTACGCAACATATGTACCTATATATTATGCATCTTTGGCGAATTACATGGCGGCGTTGCATTGGGCGGTTGTGGCTTAGAAGTCAGATATCGGGCGTAAATACCTACCTCTACCTACCTACCTATCCTACCTTAGGACCCAGAGCCTTGCAATGCAAGCTCGTCTTCCCCCTCCCCTCTTCTTGTCATTATTTTTACAGTCAACCACAATAGCTGCCACGATGGATCCATTTTCTATTTCCTCAGGAGTTGTTGGGTTCATCTCCTTGGGACTAACTACTGCTGGTGGGATCATCAAGTACTGCGAATCATATCGATCCCGGGAGGCGGACTTCGCTCAGTTAAAGCACCACGCTGAGGAGCTAGAGTCGTTCCTCAGCTCGATCCATGACCGAACCACAGCGCCGCAAACTCTTCCCGGAGACATCGATACCTCTTTGCAAAAATGTCGCGACGCCTGCGATGCATGTCTGAACGAGGTCAAGCGATTGAATTCGAAGTACACCTCCCACCCGAAGCCTAGGTGGAAGCCGTTAAAGCGGTTGAAATACCCTTTCGACAAGGCCAAACTCGACGATCTCCGATCTCGCTTACGAGAATTCCATGCTAGACTGCTGGGATTTATGCAGTTGGTTAATCTGTAGGTACCTACCTACCTAAACTAACATATGATAAACACCTGATACTGAGAGTTCTGGTCATTGATAAATACGTTACAGGGACGCTACGCGGGACATAAGAAGTGTCGCCGTTTCGGAATCTGCCAAGATAACACTTTCGGTAGAAACGGTCGGAAGAGAAGTTCAGTCTTCTCTATCGAATGTGCAGCAAGTAGTGACCAGCGCGATACATACTACTGCTAACCATCTGGAATCATCCTTCCGGCGTGACCTTGGAGAGACCGAGGTGCATTTGATGTCATCCCTAGACGGAAATCGCAATCAACTAGAATCGTCCTTTCAGCATAGCCTTGGAGAAACTGAGACGCATTTAATCTCATATTTGGAGAACAACCACAGTGCCCTATCTAACCAAGTCTCCCTAATCACCGTGACTCAAGAAAATCAATTTTCGTCGTTCAGGCAATACATGGATCATCGACTCAGAGTCTTGGAGCAAAATCAGCAAGAGTTCTTCACCAGGGCCTTATCTGCGAGCGCTGAGGTTGATAAACCAGAGGAGGTCCTCAATTCAAGCAATGCTGACTGCCGTTGGATCAGACGAAGCGCCAGGGAGAAGATGAATCTCGGGATGTCCGAGCGCAGCATTTTCGACTCTCTTTGCACCTGTTCAAAGATGCAAAAGCGCCGTTCGACCAAACAACATCAAGACGGTTGCGTATATTCCTTGAAACAATACGACAGTTGGACTTTCAACAGAAGTTTTCGAGTCTTTCGCCGGGCGGTCACTGTAGCATGCAGGTTCGAGTATGCTCGAATGAATTGGGCTCGCGACTGGCGTGTCTATCCAAATATGACGGTTCGGATGACTGTGCCGCGGTCCTCGCCGGCATTCACTACAATGGAAAAAATTAGCTTTGACTTGTACCGTCATGTACAGGACATGGAAGAATTGTTTAGGGATTGCTTGGTTAGACTGAAACTGATATTTATGAATGGTGAAGGATGGCCAACAGATGTTAGAGAAGATGGCTCAAACTTGATACATGTTTGTCTATTCAGCCTGCACTCTATCTTCTACTCCTACTGCTGGAAGCAACTAACGAATAACTGCCACTTAGAGGTTTCTTGTAGATTGTTACGTCTTTTTAATATCGGCTAAATCGTATGAAAAGACCCGCCCCATTATCCAATTCGTAGTCGCGTTGAAAGAGTTGGGCGTGCCTATAGATGACGATTCAATATTTGGGTGGGTTAAATTTGTCAAAAAGAAGAGCTATAAAGCCTAGACTAATCTTCCTATAGCACGCCTCTTGCTTGCATCGTCCGAACTGGGCGTGGAACGAATCCCTCCAGCTTAATACTAACCCATTTTATGGGAATCCTTGAAACGGAACCTGCTCCATTTGATCGGTTAAGTGATTACCAGGTCGTGAATATATTAAGATGGAGAAATCCTGAACTATGTGAATGTGAGCTGCCGTAAGCTTTCTTTATTTGGTCGCGGTCGAACTAACGATGTTGTAGTGATTAAGTGTAACGACCTGACCCGCCTAGTTCTTCGTCGCTGCAAGCCCGACATTCTGGACCTTCTTAGAAGTAATCATTCTCTCATAGATTACAATGCTGGCCCGAAACTAACCACGCTCCACTTCGCGGTCCCTTGGCCTGAGGGGCTTTCTCTCTTGATCGAAAATGCAGGAGAACCCATCCAATCGATAATTAACGGCTTCGACGGATATAACAGTCCTCTTCATTACGCGATAAATCTGGGAGAGCTTAATTCTGTAGCTTTGTTGCTCAATGCAGGTGCAAGCATTGATCCAGAGACATTCTCCTATTTGTCTAAGCTATTAATAGAGCAGGGTGAACCAGCCGAGAAAATAATGCATGTCGTGGTTGAATCACTGGCACGGCAGCGAAGAGACTTGTTACGAATAGCCTTACAGTATCTTCCTAAGGATACTATTGAAGAACTTCAATTGCGGAACGAGAGGCTTCTTGACGATAAAGCATTCGCCGTCGTAGAAGCGCTAAGGCGACAACATGCTCCCATATCCACGGCCTACGAGTTCCTAAAACCCGGTTCAGTATACCATTGGGAGTATTTAACCGCCCGCATAGCTCGAAAGCTCTTCGAAGTCGGCTTCTGCAACATAAACTCCAGGTTACAAGGATACACTCCGTTGATGATACAAATTTTAACAGCTCCAGCTTACGAGGATTACATTTTGGAACTTATTGTCTGGTTTAAAAATCACGGGGCTGACTTCCATACACCAGTTGATATCCCCCCTGATATTTCTCCTGCTCATGACGCTGTGAAAACTGGCATCACGACTTATGTCAGCCCACCGAGACCACCTATCCACTTTCTCATGTTCAGGCTGGGTCGTAAATTAACATATATTTCTGAGTACGAAGACCCTGGTCAAATCTTCACAGCAAACCAGCCGGTACTTTCTTCCTTCTTTGGGGACGACACGACAGACTCCTGCATTTGTTACTGCGCAGCCCACGGGTGCACTCCGACTTCCAAGTTTCTCATTGCTATTTTGGAACAGATTAGGTATTATAGGGATAATGGTGATATCAACGAAACTCTCAGGGTAATACGATGTGGCGAGCCAGTGATATCCGAAGAGAATAAATCCAAGGTCTCATTAGAATACATCCGTCTCATTACGCACTGGAGTCTTGGGATGCGTCATACATGCTGTCACCTTGACGATTCGCCCGAACTAGAACAAGGCTGCAACTTAGTTCATGTGTTGGATATAGGCGAGATCCAAGAGATACGAGAGGAAGAACGATACCTGGCGAAGCGGCTAGAAACGCTGGTAGACGAGTTTGAGAAGAGATTCCAGGAGCTGAACGTTCCGCTAAGCCGGTTCATGGAAGAATACATGATTCCTAGACTTGAAGAAGTCAAAGAAGAGCGGGATGAGTTGTCAGCTGAAGAGTTGCACGCTATTAGGGAGACCGGAGTTATTCTGTATGAAGATTGATCTCTTAGTGATAACCTGCTTTGTTGCTGTTTCTATAAGATAATACGACGTTTCCTTCTTGCTCATTTGCAGCTATGTACTAGGAGGTAGCTAAGGCTTTTGAATTTTAAAGAATTATAGATTGTTGCGCTACCTAGTACCACTGTAAACCACTCAAGGACTTCAAATTTATGACTCTCATACTTCGTGTTTAAACAAAAAAAAAAAAAAAAAAAGAAAAGAAAAGAAAAGAAAAAGCATTCAAATGAACATTCTACCTTGGTACCTTATGTGTATGTCTTCTACATAAGAAATATCAAAGCTTTTTCTGGTGCGATACCTTTAATTTAAGCTTGGGGTATATCATGAGTTCAAGCAAACACCTCAAGAGTTTCAACGACTTGAGCCTTATTAAGTGACACTATGCTGTAGATGCACAGCCTACCTAAGTACCTCATATAATATTTAGAGATAGAAACTTTTCGAAATTTCGTACCTAGGTAATTATCACGTAAACTCGATCAGACCGTAAAGAAGAACCATACGCGCCGCGCTCAGGAAGCTTGGCGGGTAAGATTCAGCCATCAGCAATAGTCCTTCATGACTAACGAATACTTGGAGATCTTATTCTAGAAGCTTACGGCGGCGCGGACGAGGGCTCCTAGAAAAGCACGCCTCGAAATATTTAGCCTAGGGCCGTACTTATACGCCGTTTCGGCCGCCACCGCCGTGGTGATGCCATGCGGCCTTGGCACAAGTACTACTATGATATCAGAATTGCTAGGTAAGATATGGCTGACACTCATGACCACCACTTCTTGATTTCCGTGCTTAACAGCCGGTAACTCCGGGTTTTCGGGTCCCGATAGCTCCGTCAGATGATCGGCGGGGGAAGTGTTGGAGACACTTGGTAATTAGGACAGATAACCCCCAAGGACTGTGTCGTCAGAGTAGTAAGGCGGCCTATGATCTCTCGATGATCGTTCAGCTTACTGCTTACCGCACGTTTCAGATCTGTGTAATCTCTGTAGCCTATTATCTTGAGTCTTTAACCTATTATCCAACGATCCGAGATCCACCTTGTGCAGAAGAATTATTATGTGTTGGGGAAACTACCTAAGATAACTACAGCCTGAGTTCTATATATCCTTCGAAACATTTTAGCCCCTTCAAGCTTACTACCGAGAACCCTTTCCTCTGCCTACTTTTCTTACTCGAGGACTTTCCAAGCGAGACCGCCCATAACACGAAGTAAAAGGATTCAGCTTAGGTTACTTGTATTGTCTTATGTATTTATACCTATAAGCTGATGGTTACCGTGGCGGCAGTCATTTTGCCGTGTAGGTACTAATCTTGCAAAGAACTATATCGCTAGTGATAACTACGCCGTTCGAGAAATTCTACACACAGGATAGGCGTAATACCTGATCTAACGGCATGATTCATTTCTAGAAACCCACTACCTGTAAAAACCTTGGAGAAAATATATTAACTCCAAAGCGAGTGATCAGCGCTGTCGATTCAGCTAAGAATTATGGGTATTCTTACGGATCGGCTTTGGTTATGATGGCAGAAAAGGAGCGTGTAACAGTATGTACAGCAACATCTTTCCAGGAAACATTCATCGATTATCTGAGTAGCGCCTTTTTAATTAACGCAGTGCTATTTTCACCAACGATACACCGTAGCCAACGACGTTGACTAAGACTTCATTGTCCTAGGAAGCTAGCTCGCCAGATCTTACATAGACAGATCTTGGCAACACGTGTTCAGATAGCTCCGATGTCAGCTTATAAAACTAGATAGCTAACCACAGTTAAGGTTGAGCCCGCAAGTCTGATATTACGGGGGAAAGTAATGTTGGTTCGAGGACTTTATGCATGTTGGGACTAACTTGAATGAGTTAACTCCCCGATGAGGTGCTTAGGGTTAGACTTACGAAGAACCAGTGCCACCATATAAAATACTTATACGTTAAGTCGCAGTCGCTAGTTGAGTGTGACTGTATCTTATAAAATCGTTCCAGAGTAGCGCCACAACATCAAGCCAGGAAGGAATATGAGAAGTATGATGCTATTTCTGACAGAGTGAGAGGTAGTTACAACGGGATAGGACAAGAAGACAAGGAATTAACTTCATTGTTTTCCGAAGAATCCTATTGTAACTGTCAGAGCTGTTGGTTAGGTATACAAACGTTGGAAGCATCTTTAGTCTCGGATGCCCCAACTAGAATCCTAATAGCGATGACATGTCAGAACATCTCAACTAGACGAACTTGGCGCAACTCTACTATTTTGTGAGGGGTATGAACATAGAGTAAGGATGTATTTCAATTTCTCCAAGAGTAAAAGCTTGAAGCCAACCAAGTAACATAACAGGTACCTAGAGAGGGAACTTATTTCGCGATCTCTCACTGCCTAGGGGTTTGGCAAGTCTAATCAAGTATTAGGTACATAGGTAGGTAGTCTACCAAAACTACCTATCCAACTAGACATCGATCTAGTAGAAGAAAAATGTTCTACCTAATAGATGTACCAATAATCTCAAGAGTGAGGATTAGAGGATGCCTCACGGTTGGCTGTCTATAGCCTATAAGGACTAGCAAGACTGACGACATACGGCATTGATCCTAACCCCGTAGAACTTTCCTCAGCTCTCACACAGCCATGTACTACTGGGGCTGCTCGTACGAGTAACCACATGTAAATCCTACGCAAATATTACCCGACGTGCAAAAGCTTCAAATCCCAAGTTACATTTTCGTACGAACTAGGTATTATCTGTTGGTTGAGGATTGCCGGGAGGATGTGATGCCTGGGCTTGGGTGAGCAACATAGGTCCCTGAACAGAGCGTCACATAAGATCCGGCATCCGTTATATATACCGTAGGTAGTCGAAGCAATGTCGTGATATATTTTGTCGAAGCAGTGCAATCAAACCCATAAGATATCTTCTACTTACGCAACAGATAGTTTCAAACAGCTCTCTTCGCCACCATGACGTCGACCTCTCTGTCTGAGCTTACACAGCAGCTTCTTGCCAAGGCTGAGAAAGTGGAAAGCCTGGCACCTCAGTCTACCGGCCAAGTCCTCTTCCAGTTGGAAGGCCAATCCCCCGAGCTGAAGAAGGCCCGTCGAGAACTCCTCGAAATCACCCAAGAAATCCAGGTTCGCGCCAGGGGGCCTGCGGACCTCCTCGAGCAGTATCAAATCCAAGTACGGATCCACGATGCTTCGTCTCCTGATACCCATAAGACCTAAGACTAACCGCACTTCCTCGCTATTGTAGTACAATGCCCTCTCCTGTCTCCGGTGGCTCCTTCACTTCAAAATCTTCACCCACGTCCCCGCGGACTCCAAGCCCATAGCATACGCGACCCTCGCCTCGCTCGCCTCCGTGCCCCTGGGCCGTCTGCAATCCGTGGCGCGGATGGCCATGACGGCGGGTCTGTTCGCCGAGCCGGACCCGGGACACGTAGCCCACAGCCCGCTGTCCCTGCGCTTCGCGACGGACGCGCTCCTCCGCGACTGGGCCGTCTTCATCACGGAGTACGGGGCGCCGGCGACGCAGGCGATGACGGAGGCGACGGAGAAGTGGGGCGAGTCCAGGGCCCTGGACCAGACGGCGTGGAACGTGTTCGGCGGCACGACCAAGACCTTCTTCGAGTACCTCAAGGACGTCCCGGGCATGGTCGACCTGTTCAGCAGGTACATGCAGGGCCAGGGGCTGAGCGAAGGGATGAGGCTGGAGCACGTGCTGGACGGGTTCGATTGGGCGGGATTAGACGATGACGCACACATCGTCGATGTAAGTTACCATCATATTCTTGCGAGAAAGTAAATTAATTCATCTAATACTGTACCTGATACTAACAACTAATCCTATCGGAAAGGTCGGCGGGTCGAACGGATTCGTATCCGTGGCTCTCGCAAAAGCCCACCCCGGATTCAAATTCACGGTCCAGGACCTCCCGGAGGCCGTCGAAGCGCTATCCTCGACGCTCGCGGACCTCCCCGACGCCATCGCCTCGCGCGTGCAGTTCCAAGCGCACAGCTTCTTCGACCCGCAGCCCCCGCAGCATCCCGCGCCCGACGTGTACTTCCTGCGGAAGATCCTGCACGACTGGCCGGCCGACCGGGCGCGCGAGATCCTCTCGCAGCTAGGGGAGGCGCTGAGGAACAGGAAAGAGGAGAAGGAGAGGCCGGGAAGCGCGCGCATCGTCATCATGGATATCATCTTGCCTGCCCCCGGCACGATCGAGCGCACCCAGGAGGCGATGCTGCGCGTGAGAGATCTTTCCATGGCGCAGGCGTTCAATAGCCAGGAGAGGAACTTGGGCGACTGGGAAGAACTGTTCGAGAGCGCGGAGCCGAAGCTACGGCTGCTCGGGTGGAAACAGCCTCCTGGAAGCGCGATGGCGGTGATGGAAGTGGGTTTGGCTGAATAGTTGAAGTGTTATATTGTACAATAGTAGATAGGTAGTACCTAGGCTAGGTACCTAGGTAGCTTTCATATTCTATACGTGTCGTCGTCTCTGTAATAGGACTTTGTCTATTGAAGCAACTACATCAACTACATCTGTGATTATCAGATCATACATAACCTCAAGTGCTTAAGCAAAAGACAAAAGACAAGAGTCAAAAAGTTTAAAGAAAATAACTTCGATTTCTTAGGTACCAGGTTAGGCAACTTAGAAGTTAGGAAATGAGACTATTGTGCAATCCGATCCTATTATTCGCGAGGCTTCGACCTGCCTTGTCGGGCACAATCTGGGGATAAAAGGAATCAACTAGGTAGTATATTATTATTTATATTTAGACCTGCGGCGTTAGCGTGATGCACGATGCGATTTTCCGGGGTTTTCCAGCTGTTGAAATTTCATGAAGCTACCTAAGCTAGATGTGTTTTTGGCCTCTCATCTAGCAGTTCAGCTAATAGTTAAAATCAATAGTCACGACCAAGAGTACTATGTGTTGTACTAGTACGTAAACAAAAACAGGGCCCGGCAGTAGCGTTGGTGACACCCGTCAGTTGATCTGCAGGTTCCCGTGCATTGGGGTCACCGGCATTTGAAAAGTGTCTTGGATCCATTATTGACTGTTGACAGCTGAAATACGAAATATTGTGTAATCTACTATGGTGTTATGGGTAAGCATAGTACTATGTATTCCGTACAGTTTTTAGAACGCGCCATCGCGCCTCGAGCCAAGGCGGCTAGATCCCGCTATATTAGGGAGCTCTCTTAACCTTAATTTGGGCTAACAGGCCTAATAAATCTTGGTATTGTACGTAAAATATCATCTTTTTATTCTTGTACCTGATCCTGCATCTCGGAGTGATAAAAGAAAAGCTAACCAAAATACCTAAACAGTTATTACCAAATAGTTGTGACGATCATCCCCTCCCCAAGATATTAAACCTCGTCATCTTGCAGCAATAACAAACATGAAATCTCGATCTCGTATGACGCTAAATAGCTGAAATATGATAACTCTACTGACTTTTCATCACACTTTCTTTCTGTCTAGGTATATTTGGCATCATGGCTTGAAGGGAGGGACGAAGCTAATTATATATCATTTAAGTAAAATGGCAAACGCACCGAAAATAAAAAATAGCACCAAGATATCACCATTTGACTCCGGTGTCAGTGAGGTTTTCAAGACGTCAAATGGTCACGTCTGTTGGCCTTGGTCTTGGTCTTTGTCCCTGCCCCCAAACCCTTACGCCGTGGGTAGGTAGTATTCAAAGGGGGGGTGCTTGAACATAACCTTAGGTAATGATGCATAGACCGGCGCAGCGTAAAATAGCTACCTAGTACCTAGTACCTAGGTAAGTTAGAGTTAATTTTGGGGCGATTCCTGCCCTTTGAATGGAGAGGCAAAGAGGGAGAAAGGGCTGAAGCGTTGCCCACGGACCGTGGACTCCAAAAGCTGTCGTTACGGTGCATGGTAAACACGAAAAATGTCGTGATCTGCCAAGTGACCTAAACTTGCCCTGTCTTACCATTTATAGGAATATTCGGTAGGGATCATCTGCCAGGGGAGCGCACGCTCGACGTTGTCCGAGAACTTGCAGGTGTTTTTCGTATACCCGCCGGTACGTACGTATACGAAACCGCTTCTATGAAGCTACCTACCTCTAAGCTATAAAGCCGCGTGTTTCCCACGCCTTTCTTTCTGCTCTTCAGTAGAAGAAGAGGCAACATAGTTTTTCTATATAGCTTTTCTTGCGGTTCGTCAACTAGGCTAGGTTTCAAGGAGTTTCAGGCGTTGACTTATTCCTTTACATACCTACCTACCTAAGGTACCCTAACGATATCAAGCAATCATGAAGAACATACTTGCCTTGAGCGCTCTGCCGCTATTCTCCCTCGCCGGAGCTTCGTCACTTGAACCTCGCGCCAGCTCCCCCTACGATGCTGTTATTATCGGAGGTGGCCCGTCCGGCCTGAGCGCTTTGAGCGGTCTCGCTCGCGTACGCAGGAATGTCCTGTTGATCGACTCGGGAGAATATCGCAATGGTCCGACCAGGCATATGCACGATGTCATTGGCTTCGACGGTGAGTTATAGCTGCCGCGTCACAGGCTGTGTTACCTTGGTAGGACTGACGTCGCAACAGGAGTCACACCCGCGTACTACCGCTGGGCAGCCCGGCAGCAGATCGCCCACTACGACACCGCATCCGCGATCAACGGCACAGTCACCAACATCGAGGCGCTGAACAACAACACGCAGTTCAACGTCGCGACGTCCTTCTTTAACGGGACGGACGGCATCGTGACCGCGAAGAAGGTCATCCTCGCGACCGGGCTCCGCGATATCCTGCCCGACACCCCGGGCCTGCGGGAGAACTGGGGCAAGGGCATCTTCTGGTGCCCGTGGTGCGACGGCCACGAGCACGCCGACCAAGCCCTCGGCCTCCTCGGCCCCATCGAAGAAGCCGCGGGCCTGGTCCGCGAGATCTCGACGCTCAACTCGGACATCATCGCCTTCGTAAACGGCACCGACACCCCCGAGGGGCGCGCCGCCGCCGAGAAGAGCTTCCCCAGCTGGGAGAAGTACCTACGGATCCACAACGTGACGGTGGAGAACCGCACGATCGCCAGCATCAAGCGGCTGAAGGACGGCGGGGACCCGCCCGCGGACCCGAGCCTGCCGACGGCGCCGGAGAAGGACCTGTTCCGGGTGGACTTCGCGGAGGGCGCGCCGGCCGAGCGCGCGGCCTTCTTCACGAGCTTCCCGGACGAGCAGCGGTCCGACGTGGGCGCGCGGCTCGGCGTCGCGCTGTACGGCGGCCGGATGGCGGCCGACAACGCGCGGGGGCTCGCGACCAACGTGCCCGGCGTGTACGCCATCGGCGACGCGAACGCGGACAACGTGACGAACGTGCCGCACGCGCTGTTCACGGGGAAGCGGACTGCTGTTTATCTGCATGGTAAGTGAACCAAATCTAACCCAACCCAACCTAACCTAACCTTAGATCCCCCCAACTTATTTTTCTCGTTCTGTTATCGTGTTGGATCTTAGGGAGTGAAAAATACCTATATATGCTAACGTGGGTGGGATACGCAGTGCAACTCGCGCGCGAGGAGTCCGAGAGGGAATTAGCAGGCAACGGCACGGCGGTGGCTCGTCGCGAGCAGGAGCTCGACTTGCGGGCCGTCTGGGAGCAGATGAACCCGCGGGATCTTCTTTACGCCGGCGAGTTCGACCAGTGATTAGGTACCTAGTTACCTAACATATAGCTACATCCTATCTTCCTATCGAACGTTATATGTAATGCTGCTCGTCTCTCAGCAATTCATTATGTGTGCTAGGTAAGGTACCTAATGTTAGGTAGACTTGGGTGCTTGGAAGAAGAAAGGGGGAGGGGAGGGGAGGATGTCAAGGAGATAAAGGAACACAGCTTGTACATGACGATGTGATAACACTACCTAGGTACTTACCTGTTTGCTAGAAATTGTATAAAATTAGATATATATACTTGGTTATACTTTAAAACTCGAGTCCATCTTATAGTACTTCTAGACGAGTTCATTTCACATCCATCACAGCGCCAGAAGTATCGTCAATTACTACGATCCAAGGTCGAAGCTATCAACCCAGGAATTAGAGTGCTTACCCGTTACAGCCATCTAAAGTAATAAAACAGCTGAATTCTATGGTCTCCTTTTTGATTCATAAGGTCGTCGAGCATCACGCATCTCAGTCTCTTCACAATAAACAAACTCAAGGCACACATGTCAAACCTATCATGACCAAGCATGCATTCCATTGTCTATGTCCGCGAGGTCATTACCGAACCTCACTTTACTCATACGCGCGAATCTCGCGTCGCGTCACATTTCATATCGTGTTCCCTGAACCCACCCACCACCATTCTCAACTCCTCCGTCAGACCCCCATCATTGGTCCCAACCGCCGCCACTCACAGGAAACAAACCCAAACCTTCGCACTTCTCAATCCTCAACCCTCAACCCCTGAAGCCTTCACGTCTCAAACTTCAAAAACCTCCCCGGCGCCGTATCCCCCACCCCCTCTCCTAACATCCACCAGATCGAGCCTCCACCCCTCCCAATTCTTCAGCCCGCGCTTCAGCTCCCGCACCCTCTCCAGCCTCCTCTGCGCCTCCTCCTGCTGCGCCTTCCGGAACGCCTCCTCGTCGAACTCCAGGTCGTCCCCGTCGTCGTCCAGGAACCCATCGTCGCCGCCGCCGTTATTATTGTTGTTATGCCCACCCGCCTTCTCGTCCGCCGCGGTACCGCCTGTTAGCGCGTTAATCCCGCTCGCCAAGAAATCCCCGATGCCTCCTCCCCTGTGGCTCGGCTTCCGCGCCGATCCCGGCCCGCCCAGGTCAATATTCGTAAAACCGCCTCCGCCGGGACTCAGGAGGGCGGGGTCGGTCTCGGCGCCGTGCTCCATCTCCCTGCGTCGCTGGTGCCAGATGCCGCGGCGCAGGTCGTATATCTCGCCCTCCAGGTCGCGGATCTTCTTCTCCATGCGCTGCCGCTCCTCATCTTCCAGCTCGTCAACCCCGTCGTCGTCACCGCCCCCCTCAGCCGCGTCCTTCTTGCGCAAGCGCGCGTTCTCCGCCTCCAGGCTCTCGATCTTCGCCTTAGCGTCCTGAGCCTCTTTCTCCGCGCGTTCCTTGTCCTTGCGCAGCGCCTGCGACCGGCTGTCGTTCTCCTTGTGCAGGGTGCCCAGGGCGGCGACCTTCTTCTCCAGCGCGTCGACTTTCTTCTCGAGGTCCGCTTTTTCGCCCTTCAGCTCCTCGACCTCCCGCTCGAGAGTGCGCAGCTTGGTCTCCGCGCTCGTGCGCTCGCTACCCTCTTTGACGGCGCGCTCCGTCGTGCGATCGAGGTTACGCTTCATGTCTGCGAGCTCGCGCTGTGCTTTCATCGCGGCCTGTTCGGAGCGCGCGAGCTTCTCCTCCAGAGCTGTGATCTGCTCGCGGTCGGTGCCGCCTGCGGAGGCCTGGCGCTCGGCTTGGGCGCGCAGCCGCGAGATCTCGAGCTCCATGGTTTCGATGGTGGCGGACTTGGAGGCGAGCTGGGCTTGGAGTTCTGCTGGAGGAGAGGACATGGAGATAGAAGGCGATGAACCGTGGCGCTTCGAAGCGGCGGACTGCAATTGTGAATTTTGGCGTTGGAGGGCAGCAATCTCTGATTTCTGTAGTAGTAATTTGTTAGGCAACTTGGGATATAGACAACATGAACAGGACGATTTCCATACCAGCTTCTCAACTTGGCTATCCTCGCCATCGCGATCGGCTTCCCGCAGGTCAGCGAGCTCCTCTTCGGCTTTCTGCCACCGCCTTTCCGCATCGCCGGCTTCTTTCGCGAGCCTCTTATTCTCCTTCTCTAGGTCATCTATGCGCGCCACTTGCTTCCGGTATATATCGGGCGCGGTTTCGCCTTCGGGGCTCAGAGGGAAACCGGTAGGAGACACGGTGCCTTGTCGGAAGGATGAAGAGCGGAGCTTAGACTGCTGAGGTAGCGAAGTTGCGCTTGGTGTCGTAGGAGAGACTGGCGGCTCTGCTGGCACATCTTCAGCAGAAGCAGTGGCGGCAGCAGCAGCATCAGGCTCTTGTGCGGGAGCTGAGTCGGACGTAGCTTCGGCGGCGGCAGTGGTAGTTTCTTCTTTGTCCTTGTCCTTGTCCTTATCCTTGTCTTGTAGTTTCGTAGCCCCTCCTTTCTTCGCCATGGCCTTCTTCCTCTGCTCGAGCTATATAAATCGAGTTTTAGTACCTAATTGACTCCCAAATGAGAGGCCCTTGGGTAGTAAATGGCATCAAGCTCATACCTTCTTTTTAGCCGCAGCCAGCTTCTCGGCCTTGGCCTTGTCCTCGTCAGCCATTTTATTTTTTTGGTAAATTAGACCTTTACTGAATAAACCCGAAGTGTTCGGTATTTTTCGGTGTATGTCCTACAATCAAATTCTTGTGAAAATGAGTGTAATAAGAATTGCGAATGTTAGTGAAGGTTAATGGTTTGTCAGACGAAGTACGAAGTATTGTATAGTTCTATTGTATTAGGTAGGTCGGATGTAGTACCTAACCTATAGTACGGTTTAATGGGCTTAGGTGTCCAGAAGGCAGCTAAACTTTCCCCAGACTGGAGCTTTGGTTTCGTGATGGCGCTAGGTACGTGATAGGCCCGCGCACGAGCCACATCAGTGTTAAAAAAGGTACAACTTGTCAAGTACCATATACTATCCTTGAGAGGAGGTAGCTAGGTTAGGTACATAAATACGTCACAAGGAACCATTAACCACAACCTCAAATTGAAATGTCATTCAACTCGAAGTTCTCTCTTGTTAATATGGAATTTATATATAAAGCACTCTTCAAAGACAAAATATCAAATTTTATGGACATCTGGTATAAGTTATAACAAATCATTTTCCATGTATAAGAGGCTATGCTTTAGCACCATAACCATGACCATGACTCAATACCCGTTACGATCGAGACGGTTTGCTCCTCTCAGAGAGGTTGCCGGTGGACAGCATCATGACTTGCCAAAGTTGCACGGGTTAATATTCGATGTGGACGGGACCCTGTGGTAAGTTATACGATACAATAAATGACTGCATATAATATCTACCTACCTGTTACCTAAGTTGGAAAATAAGAGGGAAAGGGGAAAACATATCCATCTCAGTTATGTCTTCCAAGTCAAAAGTAAGAATCGATGGACTAAATAAAAGCCGTTATAATTTCGCATAAAAGAGTTTGGAATTATGAGGCCTTTTGTAAACAGTCGTTCTGGAAAAAGAGAGGATTTTTTTAAAAAATTATAAACCGGGCATATATACCTAATCATAGCCAAAGAGTTGGGCCCCTTAGAACAAATATCTCACCATAACACACACACATATATATATACCTCTCACTAACACCTCCAGCCTGCCCCAAAACCACATGTTCTCCGAAATGCGCGCGGCCCTCCGCATCCCCAAGCACGTCGACATCCTGGAGCACATCTACTCCCTCCCGACGCGCGCGCAGCAGGACGCGGCCATGGCCTCGGTCCGCGCCATCGAGCAGCGCACCATGGCGTCGCAGATCGCGCAGCCGGGCCTCGCGGACCTGATGGCGTACCTCGACGCGCGGGGCGTCCGCAAGGGCATCTGCACGCGGAACTTCGACACGCCCGTCTCCCACCTGCTGGGCAAGTTCCTCGCCGGCCACGTCTTCCACCCGATCGTGACCAGGGACTTCCGCCCCCCGAAGCCCGATCCCGCCGGCCTGCTGTACATCGCGCGGAGCTGGGGCCTCGTGCGGGCCGTCGAGGGGCCGGGAGACGAGGGCGAGGTGCGGGAGGTGCTTAGCGAGGAGAGCAGTGGGAGTAGTAGCGCGCGGGAGAAGGAAGCTGCGGTTGGACGGCGGGGAGAACAAATCAGTGAGGTGGGTGATGCGTCGGGGCTGATAATGGTGGGCGACTCCATCGACGACATGACGGCCGGAAGACGGGCCGGCGCGGCTACGGTATTGCTTGTGAATGATGTGAACGCGCATCTGGCTGAGCACGAGCATACCGATATGGTGATCGAGAGGTTGGACGATCTGATCCAGGTATTGGATCATGGCTTCGTGGGTAGGGAGTTACCTCATAACCTGTAGCTCTAAGGCTTATGAAGGATGATGTAGGGTAAGACGGCTTCAGATGCTGTGATAGTTATAGGCTTACCTTCGTATCCCGGAATAAGAAATACTATATGTCATACAAAACCATGAGAGTAAAAAACAAAACCTGTTAGCCATGTAAATGTGAAGTTCCTCCCCATTACTAACCTCTCAATTAAGGATGGCGTAAAAATAAAAAATAGAAATAAATAGTTTGGCATCATATTTGCTGTTAAATATCATGTCATTCACATATGCCTCAAATGTCAATACAGTCATTTCATATCTTGTCGCATTTGTACTGACGGCCACGCGCTTCGCTTAAACTAATTTGTTAACTACATCGAGCAGTTGACGTTTATGGCTTCCTCCTCCCGAGATCGTTCTTTTCGCTTTCGTATACCTCTCCCTAAAATCGCTGACATCGTCTCTTTCGCTGGGACATGCTGCTAGACATGTCCGGGATATAATATTTGGTGTGTGGGATGTGTGAGATGATCAATGTCCACAACACACGATTATGCCAAGCGACCACAGACACTTGACAACCATGTTCCTTGGCGCTCCGAAGTTGAACCATGTATGGTCTATATAGTGAAATAAGACGGCTTGTAGGGTCGATGTGCCACGGGCTTTATCGTGACGAATACCCCGCGCTTCCATAGCCACCATTCGACGGATGACCGAAAGTTGCTTGCCGTCTGCTCTCTCTCCGCTGGTCATCCGGAGTTCCTTTCCTTGGCGGAGGTGGTGGCAACGGACCACCGGGAGGTGCAGGTCTAACTGGTAATGTGAATGACGTTCCCATATTAGCACTAGCAGGCTGTGAGAGGTCAGCAGTTGCGATCTTAGGTATCGATCCGGACGTCGCGGCTCGTTGTCCTAATCCCGGATGCACTGCGGAACCGGAAGAGCGTCCAAGACTTCCTATACCATTTCTTGTAGGTGATCGGCTCTGCCCGTGACTGTGATCCCTCGGTGATGCAATGGCGCCTGCGATCGGAATCTCGCCGGAAGTAGGAGTGTAAGCGGTACTGGTGTCATTTTGGAAAGTAGGAGACTCGCTGGATCGCAACAGGTCCCGAGAAGATGGCGAGAGCTGAGGTTGTAAATGAGATCTCCGGTTGTCTTTCTCCATAAGTCCGACAGCCCATTCTCTCAAATCTACGGGTGTGCGTTTCGCCGCTTGAACAAATGGATCTCGGTCCTGCATATGATTAGTATGAGTTAGGTATTCACCGTGCTAAGTTTCGAGTGCCGCTTACCCATAGTTCCTGAGGCGTCGGCCGCTCATCGGGTACTTTCGACAAGCATTTTTGTATCATATCTTCCAGTATGGAAGGGAACGCGTCGCTCTTGGGAAGCTTTGGAGCCGGTTCATGGACGATTTGTTGTAAGAGATCCAATATGCCGGCGGGTGCTCCATCTCCATCGGACAGTTGCTCGTTCGCAAACGGAAACTTGCCAATAGCTAACTCCATTATAGACAAGCCAAAACTCCACACGTCCGACTTAACAGTATACTTCTCGCCTTGGATTCGTTCGGGGGCCATATAAGTCGAAGTACCCACGAATGTGTCGGCGATAGAATTAACCAATTCTCCCGATACTCCAAAATCGCAGAGCTTAATGTGACCCCGGGAATTTACGAGAATGTTGGAGGGTTTGATGTCTCGATGCATGATATGTAGTTTCGAGTATAGATAAGTTAAACCGCCCAGAATCGCCTCCGCAATCTTACCCAGAACGTCTACGCGGATGGGACCGAAGTGTCGCGACACTCTGTCGAGGGATCTACAATCACCTAGTTAGATCCACACGGTACTTTTGTGATTCACCTTAGTTCCACTTACCCAACGTCCATATACTCCATACACATAATGACATCGTTATGCTCGTTCAGGAAAGCGCCATAGAAGGTCACGATATAATCGGAGTGACAACCGTGCATAATCTGAAGCTCACGGACAATTCGCTTCCTAAGTTCTTTCTTTGCCTCGACATGAATTACCTAGAACAAGCCTTGATTAGCATTTGTACCCGAAACAAGTGTCCAATAAATAGGTATAGTTACCTTCCGAGCCATCGTAGTTCCGGTAGGTAAGTGCTTGACTTTGCTAACAGTGCCTCCATTTCCTGAACCGAGTTCTTTTACAATCTCGAGATCTTCTTGTCGAAGATCTAGATTAAACTCTATGCCAATTTCAAGCTGAGCTTCTTGGCCTACCTCCTCGGCTCTTGACCCACCATAGCCCCAGCCGGCCTGACGGTCGTTACTTGACGCTGCAGGTTGTTTCGGGGCGGCAGGAGTCAAGGCTAGGCCTTTGACATTCTTGCGCTTCATAGAGCGCGGGGCGAATGCGTCGGTCATGATGTATAAACCCGTAGGTGCTTGGGAGATATTTGGATTCGTGAAGCGGAAACTACCACGTAATATAGGTCCGATTTAGGCGATTTTGAGCCGGCGTGGATCGCAGATGAGCGGACAATTTACATGTCCACCGGCAGATGCCCGAGTGTTGGATATGTTTCGAGCAAAACTGCGGCGCCTATGTGTCGCGTAGGTCTCTGCCCCTCACACGGACCCCGAAAAGATCTAAGTTGGGAATCGAATTAAGATCTGACAAGAGACAACCCCGTAGTCTTTTTTTTTTCTTGTTCAGGAGTAACGAAAAGGTGTCAGTTGTACGACCCTGCACTGTTGTGCGATAAACCGATAAATGGAGTTATGGTACGTAGACTCGAGAAAAAAAAAACAACTAAAACTGCCCAACTGGTTTCGAGGTCAGCAAATTAGATGATCAGGTGTTGTGGAAGGGAAAGTATGCAGATGGATGCAGCCGCGCAGGGGAAGTACAAAGACCTGACGCATGTAAAAGAGGTAAGTAATAATAGCGGTGTTAACACTGGTAGCGGGTAGCAGTGTTATGGAGTAACAGTGCCACCTGCACCTAGAAATTAGAATGGATTGTAGTGGGACCCGGCTGGGTTTACCGACCAGACCGAAAAAGAACAAAGTGTTATTGGAAGTACCTCCTAATACTAATAATAGAGGTATGAACCTACCTAACTTAGGTAAGGTGATATTGCTTAACTATACCTATCATTAACCTTACCTAGCTAGGCACATAGGAGTTGGGCACCGAAAGGGGGATTTTATAGAATTGGGTTTTTAGAAATTTTGTAGGGTGTAAACTCGATAACCATGAAAACTTCTTCAGGCCACTAACTCAAGTTATATGAAAATCTTGAGTTTGGATACATGCAATATAGGGGAAGTGTTCGGTAAGGTTAGAATTGTGATGAGTAGCATTGATAAGTCGGTGTAATAAGAGGTATGCATTGTATTGTACATGAAAAAAAGGAGAGTCTAATATTTCTGATTGGGGATAACTCTCAATGTCGTAGAAAAAAATGACAACTCACTTCGTTTAGTTGAACGATATAAGATTATAGAAACTTATGTCCTATAATCGTAATGGGAAACAACAGGACGGGTTATGTCTAAGACAAATTTGGCTGTTAGTTAAAATACGCTTGCTCTCTTTGTTCTTTACACACACAAGCACGCACATCTTGGTGTATGGAGTGGGAATGCAAATGCAGATGCAGATGCTGGATGCAGGATGCAGGATGAGGTAGAATAGGTACAGGAAAAAAAAAATCAATAGAACTCCCGATGCAGTTGAGACTTACCAAAAATGCGGAGCCGATTGCCGGTCTTAAGCTATAGCCGCATATAAAGGATAAAAGGCTGCAGGTGATATTGAAAAATTCGCCTTGGATGATCACCAGAAAAGACAAAAGTAGGAATCAAGTCGGTATAAGAGTTGTAATAACTTGTAAGTGGACGGATCACTCGTGTGTTACTTTGTTTGTGGTCTAACACAAAGGGGCAGGAACACCCATAACGCATCAAAACCATGCTATGTAGGGGATTTAGATATTTGAAACGGTATCGTCATGCTCGGTTCAAAGCGTCTAAAGGCGTATTGTGAGTGGAAGATTTATGAGAGGGAGTGGTTCTTATTGAAGTTGATTGTGGTTAGAGGCGTTTGTGTCCACTAAAGAGTCTTTTGTAGACGCTACCTGCTAATTGAGCTACGAAGAGCGGTTGGTTCAAGTAATGAGTACTTGGAATAAGGGGTTAGCGGGGGCTCGCGGGGGCTCGGCCTTGCCCAAGTAAGGATGAACCCGACAGCTAACCTAACCTTGCCTGATGGCATCATGTATTGTACCACGGGCAGCAAACCACATGGATGCATCCTAGGTTAGGTTAGGTACTCCAGTGTATAAAAATAGTGGATATATGTAGCCTACATACATGGTATTAGTGATAGATTTTATTCGACATAATAGGTAGAATCATCCTATTAATCGAATTCCTAAATCGAAAGCTTGGTTTTCTGTTAACGTAATATAATATACAGTTTAGGATTTTAGGATAGCTCAAGTCAGCCGTAAGCTGCTTAAGAGCCTTGCTCTACTGCCTAATGCGGCCTAAACCTTCATGACCAAAAGACTTTTGCCACCCCCTTTTTTTATTCATACCCGTACCATCTTCACATAAACCGTATATCGTACTAAGATCAAAAAGAATTTCACCAAAGACTCCTCCTCCACTCGTATCCTTCTCATCTACTTCATACACCCGATTTTGGGAGCTGATGCATCCTCCCAGGCTAGCACACACGTTCATTTACCCCTGACAGTGCCATATTCGGATAGCCCCTACTTATTCGGTGTCGCAGTCTCGACGAATTGGGTGCATCAAAATCGAATAGCCGTTATGATTGGTTGGTTGGCCCTTAACCAACACCATAATCTCTTGGCTCTATCAACCAGAGCCATACAACCCACCTCAACAGAATATATTGATCTAAAAGCTCCTATTTTTTATATTTTCTTTTCTTTTTTTACAGGACTTTGCGTTATTATAAACCTTTGCTATGTCTCCTAAAGATCCGAAAATTTATTATACGTGAGCAGTGCGAAAGTGAAACAACATGAATTTATATTTCAATAAGTAAAAGTTCCTTAGCTCATGGATTGTTATGACATAAGCCGTAGGAACAATTTTCGTTATAGACGGCATTTCTTCTAGAAGAGTACGAGGTACTGAGGTACCTTTCGTCAAATGTGAGGGTCCATTAGATACCTAGGTACCTACCTACCTAAGGTACCTGCTGCGTAAGCATACATCTTATCGATAGAAAGACAGATAAGCCCATCCTAAATGTGACACGTGATATTATGTGGCTTGTTTCTACCTTAAAATTCTGACCAAATGCCATGTTCCGCGCTTTGTCCAATCGCGAGGCTGGCGGTCGACGCGACCTAAATTTCTAGCTCCCCAAGGCTAAAGAAGAAGAGGTCAACTTGGAACTTGTCGGTTGCCCCATCAATTGCACCCTTTAACCTTCTTACTCACTCTTTGGGATTGGAGCTAGCACCGCGATCATATATTTTATTTAAGGTCGCCTGCGAATTCCACCATTGAATCAATCAACTATACCTATACCTAATAAAAAAAGATAAATCATTTCTTGTCATTACCAATAGAACCGCGCTTACCTTCTTTCTACCCTCCGCCGCCTGCCTTTTCAAGATGAGTAATTCTATGAGGGACTTAATTTCGGGCGAGGCCGAGCTCGACGACGAAGAGGATGACGAATCCTTTGATGAGGAGACCGGTGAGACTCGGGAAAGATCACGAAACCGAAACCAAGAATTAGATGACTCTAGTGAAGAGGATGAGGACGATGACGATGAAGAAGAAGCTCGAAAGGTAAGTCGCATTCGTATTTGGCTTATTATTGTAACTGCATCTATTTTGCCGCAGGTAGCTAACTAACTGCATTTCACTAGGTCCGTGAAGGCTTCATCGTAGATGAGGACGAAGATGAAGACGAAGATTTGCTCGAAGACGAAGATGAGCGACGCAAGCGAAGAAAGCGCAAGCGACGACAAGAGCGTGAAGAGGAAGCTCAGTTAGATGAAGAGGATCTCGACCTTATCGGAGAGAACATTCCCGAATGGGAACGGAAGCAGCCCTCGCAAGTACGATAAGTTACCAACATACAAAGGGCTCTTACCGTTTTCTAACATACGCATGTGCAGGGCAAATTCAAGAGACTGAAGCGCGGCCACCGTGACGATGATCCCCGTGGAAATGAGCGACGCGGCCTCGACGACATGTTTTCCGATGAAGACGATGAGCTTGCCGATGAACAACCATACTCAAGACCGAGCCATCGCGCCGCGGCGGGCGAGTTCGATGATTTCATTGAGGAAGACTTCCCCGAAGATGAAGACGAACGTATGCGCCAAATGGAGGATATGGAAGTCGCTCGCCCGCGAGACAAGGGCATAGCAGGACGAATTGTCGACCGGGCTGGACTGGATAAAGACGCTCTTGAGGACATGGAAGCAATCTTCGGAAATGGAGAAGACTACCAATGGGCCCTAGATGAAGAAGAGGAAGAAGAGGAGCGCCAGAGAGAGGAGCAAACTCTCGAACTGAAGGATGTGTTTGAGCCCTCGCAACTGGCGGAAAAGCTTCTTACCGATGAAGATAACGCGATTCGATTTACAGATGAGCCCGAACGATTCCAGCTCGATCGTAAGCCTTTCAAGCACCTCAATATCCAAGGTGAACAGTTCAAGGACGAAATTCAGTGGATAGCGGATCTGATGTGGCCAAAGAAGCAACTGTCCGGTGACTTGCATGGCCCTTTTCAAAAGGCTGTTGGTAAAGTTCTGGAATATTTCGTTCTTGAGGATCTCGAAGTGCCCTACGTCTTTCAACATCGGAAAGATTACCTCATCCACGCTCGCAAAACCCGGAACCCCGATCACCGTGATGACCCCGAAGCTCCAGAGTATATCGTCAACGCTGAGAAGCTTCTTACGCAAGACGACCTTTGGCGCATACTTGAGTTAGATATAAAGTATCGATCTCTTTTTGAGAAGCGCGGTGTGCTCGAAAAGACGTGGGATAATCTACGAGAAGCCATGCAAGTGAACGACGATATGATCCCGGAAATGCTAAGTCAGGCTGTCACGATGGAGGAGCTTCAAGATTTACAGGACTATATTAATTTCCAATATGCCTCACAACTAAAGGACATCGCTGCCATGAACGGTGTAGTCAAGGGAACGAAGCGTCCGGGCGCCAAGTCGTCTGTTTTCGAACGTGTCCGCAAGAGTAATGCCTACAAATTTGTCAAGGCCTACGGTATCTCTCCCGACCGGTTAGCACAGAATGCTCTGCGCGAAGGCAAAAAGATGATTGCAGACGACGAGCAAACCTTGCCGATCGACCTCGCCGATCGCCTCACTGATAGCGATTTCCCTACCGGCGACCAAGTTCTCTACCAGGCAAGACACATGTATGCGGAGGAGCTATTCATGAGCCCGCGAATGCGAAAGTATTTCAGGCAGAATTTCTACATGACGGGCGAGATCAGCTGCTTCCGAACGGAAAAGGGACTTCGAAGAATTGACGAATCCCATCCTTATTACGAGATTAAATACCTTATCAACCAGACGATTAGCGACCTCGCGCGCCGACCGGAGCTCTTCTTGAAGATGATGAAGGCTGAAGAGGAAGGATTGATTGAGGTTAGACTCCGACTTCAAAATGAAAAAGATTTTCGACGTCAACTGCAGGCCGAGTTTGTCTCAGATAACTACAGCGAACTTGCAGATGCTTGGAACGAGGAGCGTAAGAAGGTCCTCGATATTGCATTCGCTAAGCTTGAGAGGGTAATAACCAAGGGGGTCAAGGACTCGTTGCGAACTGCCTGCCAGGAAGAGCTCCTCAAGCTATGCCGGGAAGAGTACTCTAAACGACTTGACCAAGCACCCTACAAACCAAAGGGCATGGTATTGGGTACCACTCCGCGCGTCCTTACCTTGTCGAACGGCATGGGTGATCCCGCTCGAGATCCCATCTTCTGGGTCTGGGTTGAGGAAGATGGGCGGGTCATCGAGCACGGCAAGTTCGGAAACCTTGCTCGAGATGAATCGCAGCGTGAGGCTTTCGTCGAATTGATTGAACGGAGGAAACCAGATGTTATCGGCGTTAGTGGTTTCTGTACCGATACCCATCGGCTGGTCCGGGATTTGGAAAGTCTCGTGAACGAGAAGAACCTCACGGGTCCTGAATTCCCAGACCCTGATACCGACGACTATCGAAGCGAGCTGTTAGAGGTCGTTGTTGTTAACGATGAAGTCGCGAGACTATACAAAGACAGTCCCCGGGCGCAGGCTGACCATCCGACGTTGACATCAAATACTCGTTACTGTGTCGCTCTTGCGAGATATCTGCAAAACCCTATGAAGGAGTATGCAGCGCTTGGGAAAGACATTACCTCTCTATTATTCAATCCCTGTCAGCACCTGCTTCCTCAGGAGAAGTTGTTGAAACATCTTGAGACGTCGATGGTGGACATGGTAAATCTCTGCGGTGTTGATATCAACGAAGCTGTCAGCGATGCATATACAGCCAACCTGCTTCCATACGTCGCAGGTCTAGGCCCCCGCAAAGCAACAAGCGTAATCAAAGCTATCAATACCAACGGTGGTGTGGTGAACTCGAGGGACGAGCTTGTTGGCGACCCGGATAATAATAAACTGCCAGTGGTTGGTCCGCGAGTCTGGAACAACTGCGCCAGTTTTCTTTATATTGAATATGATCCAACAAATCCGTCTTCGGAGCCTTTGGATAACACTCGTGTTCATCCTGAAGACTATGAGCTCGGTCGCAAAATGGCAGCAGATGCCCTTGAGTTAGATGAGGAGGACGTGAAAGCTGAGACCGACGAGAACGGCGCCGGTGCGATCGTACGCAAGCTGTTCCGTGAGGATGAGCAGGAGAAGGTCAACGAACTTATTCTGGAAGAATATGCCGAACAGCTAGAGAAGAATTATAACCAACGAAAACGGGCGACTCTAGAGACCATTAGAGCAGAGCTGCAGGCACCATACGAAGAACTCCGCCGAAATTTCAGTCTCTTGACTCCCGACCAAGTCTTTGTCATGTTTACGGGTGAAACCAAGGAGTCTCTGACAGAAGGCATGATCGTCCCGGTTAACTTACGGGTGGTCAAGGATGACTTCGCTATTGCCAAACTCGACTGCGGTATCGAAGGCCGAATTGAAGCCCACGAGGTCAATCACCGAAGCAACGTCTCAATCAGGGATGTTATCCACGTCAATCAGACTGTTCAAGCCAAGATTGTGGATCTTAATCGGAAGGATTTCCTTGCAAAGCTCACTTTGCGCGAAGATGCGCTTCGACGACCTTACAAGAAACACAATGACCATGATCGTGGCACTTGGGATTTTAGACAAGAGGACGACGATAAGGATGCGTTACGAGAGAAGGATAAGACGACAGGTCGCACGCAACGTGTAATCAAGCATCCGTTGTTCAAACCCTTCAACTCTACGCAAGCGGAAGAGTTTCTAGGTTCCCAGTCGTCGGGCGATGTAGTTATCCGACCATCTTCAAAGGGTAACGATCACCTTACGGTCACTTGGAAAGTCGCGGATGGAGTCTACCAGCACATCGATGTTCTCGAACTACAGAAAGAGACCGAGTTCTCAGTTGGGAAGACACTTCGTATCGGCGGCAAATATACATATACAGATCTTGACGAGTTGATCGTGGACCATGTCAAAGCCATGGCCAAGAAAGTTGATGAAATGATGGGCCACGAGAAGTTCAAGAAGGGGAGTGTCGCGGATGCCGGTAAGTTTCCTAGGTAGAACCTCGAGGCTGAACAAATGCTAACTGCAACATAGAAAAATGGTTGACATCGTACTCGGACGCTAACCCGAACCGTTCGATCTATTTGTTCTGCATCAATCCCAAACGCGCAGGTTATTTTTATCTGTGCTTCAAAGCGAGCAAGACCTCGCGAATTAACATGTGGGATGTGAAGGTAGTGCCCCACGCTTTCGAGATGATGGGATCCCAATATCCGCATATGCTTGCTCTTTGCAATGGTTTCAAGCTTAGATTCAACAGCGAGATTAGCAGATTGCAACAGATGAGGCGGTGAAAAGGGTCGCCAGTAGAAGGTAGTTTGTTATTCATCTGCATGTATCACTAGGGCGTTAGGATGGCAGACTAGCTACGTTTTACTCATGAGGATGATGAAAGCCGCATAGAACTTCGGATAGGCTGACGGAGTCAGAGTATTAATACTATGAAGACCCCCAACTTTTCGTATCTGGTAGATAGTTGAGTTGAGTGAGGCAGCTTCACGCGTACTTAATAGTTATGAAAAAAAAGTCAAATAAAATTATTTTTCCTCACTGCCGATGCACACACACAACTTCCAACTGGTGCCTTGGTGATTAGTAGAAGTTTAGGAGCATTTTGTATTATTCACCCCTACTATTTTTGTTCTAAGCCGGTATGCGTCGTGAAGATATTTCCGATTAGCGAATTATGTCATTCTTGGGTTGCATTGCATTTGCGTCTATACCTTGTAGAAGATATAAAATGTGATAAGCATGGAGGTTGTTTGTATGGTATGAATCGTATCTTCAGCCTCAGTTAAACTACGTAAATAGCAACTGGGATAGTCATCCTACGAAACCCCGTAAACTCCATCAAGTTAGCGCCCTGTAAGACTCGGGAAATCCCTGAAGTCATCGACAAGGATAACTTTGAGGGTAAACGCTTACTTCTTCAAGGAAAACAAGCTCACTTTTACTCAAGTCCCAAGCCAATAGGAATCCCTCCAACTTCAAAAGGGGCAACCATAGTATCGGCTCAGTAACGTCTTCAATCCTTCCGAACTTTAATAATCCTTCGAAACTCTAATTCCTCCTGTGAAAAAAACGGGTTGGCGTTCTTGTCAGACTTGAATATACACCTGGGAGATTATAATGCTCCTTGTAGAGTGCTATACTCCTTCTAGAGTGCATTGCTCCTTTCGGAAACACTCCTTTCAGAGTCCTTTAAAATAGTGGCTGTTCTCAGCACGCGGTTCCTATCATCCCTGGACACGGATAGCTCAAGTAGGGTCGAAAAGAAAAAAAGAAAAAAAAAGCAAGCTCAAGAAGCTATTGATCTGTCCTTTAGATCCTTTCGACTGTGCCGCCGGGTATGCTAGTATCTCGAATCAACATACGTAGTAAGAACTCAAATCATTACCTAACATGATTCTCTTCATTTTGTGATAACTGCTAAAGCCTGAGTAGGTAATGTACACGGTCTTTCTGGATTTACTCCTTGCGCTAGCTTTCTTTGTCAGACTAATACCCGTGGGTGCTGACAAGCTCCAAGGAGAATGACAAAAACAGTGAAGCACATCTGAGTACCTAACTTGCCACTAAGGCAAAGGATGTTCACTTGACTGGCAATAAGCAATCCCCTTGTTGTCTAAGTCGCTTCGCCAGCTTTACTATTACTCTTCCGCGGGAAGAGGTTCCTGACGTTCTGATAACCTACTTCGTATCCAAAAGATGATATATCTGATTGGTTAGCCGAATATCGCACGAGCCGCGTGGGAATACCAAGCAAAGCCTCGCTCTGTACTCAGAATTGAAAGGAAAAGATTTGCATTCCCAGTGAAAAAATCGAATGCTACCCTGTTGATCGATTGCATGCTTGGATTCCCGGAGATGCGGGTGTTGTAACTTAACCACGTTGGTGTAAAGGCCCACCCGTGCCGGCCGTGTTGATATAGGTATTACTGATATTGCTGAAGGGAGATGAATGATAACATCGATCCAGACTATAGGCTCGATTCGCTACGGAACTACTCAATCCCAAATTACCCCATGGCAAAAGACTGGGATGTGAACCGCTTTCCGAGAGAATCCTTGAATCCTAGTCCTTCAAGTAGACCGTGCATTATGCACCACACAACAGACCAGCGCTTCCAATAACATCTCCAGGATAACCGTTACTGACGCCATATGCTGTCAGCCTTAAACACCATATAGTATATGTACAAGATCCTTAACGAGCCAAGAGAGTTACGAATGTCACTGCCCTAACCCCACCTTGCTGACACCAGGTGACGAAGACACATCGCTATACCGTCCAAGCGTTTCCCGGGAACACGTCCCCATGCGTGTCAGCTTTCGGCTAACCTTTCGGTACCAGGGCCAGGCCTCTTAGGTTAGGTACGGAACAAGGTGAAGGGAATAGTACCTAGATGGGGATGGATATCATCAACTGTACCTACCTATCAGGACTGCTTCGACATCAGTGGCCAAGCATTGGAAGTCCTTCTCACGACGCGTCATTCGTTCGTCCGATTCGATCTCCCGCAACCCTAAGGATTCCGGAGGATTTGGACATGTAGGATAAACCATGTCGTCGTTACGCGCGCTGACTGTGTCGAAGACGAGACGGGTGAGGTCAGCCTTCACCGCGAGTTTATCTGAACCGGGTAACTACCTAACCTAACCTAGACCTAGGTAGGTGATAGCCAATGTGTAAGAACTTTTTTGAGGACTCATAGGGCTAGCAATATCGGAATTTAGATAGGTAATACCATCTTTTGTAAACGCCGTCTCTGGTCGGCGTATACTCAGAATTTCATTATATAAAGATCCCACGAGTACGCTCATGTCATGGAGAGTATATGTGAGAAACCTCATGGCACATTTAACATTGTATTGGCAATACTATATCATACTATAATATCTATTTTGTTGTTCACTTGCAAGAGAACGAAAAAATGGCTATCGCCATCTGGAATACGCGAGATGTCATCTCATTGTTCCAGCAATATGGCACCGCTCTGCTCGCCGCGGCCCTCGGCGCCTGGGGTTGCTACATCATATCCCTCGTCGTTCATAGATTGTATCTAAGTCCCTTGGCTAAATTCCCCGGTCCGAAGCTTGCCGCGCTCACGTCGTGGTACGAAATCTACTACAACATCTTCAAGAAGGGTGGTGGGCAGTACATCTTCAGGATTAAGCAGATGCATGAGAAATATGGTAGGTCAAACGTATTCCCCGAAAGCGGACAGACAGCTATGATTATGGTGGTAACTAAATGTTATGGAATAAAGGCCCTATCGTACGGATAAACCCGTTCGAGCTTCACATAGATGACCCGGCATACTTCGATGTCGTGTACGCGACAAACAAGCAGTTCGACAAGGTCGAGATGTTCGCCCGTAGCATCGGCGCGCCGCTCGCAGCTTTCGGGACCGTCGAGGCCGGCAAGCATCGTCAGCGCCGGGGTGCCATGGCGGCCTTCTACAGCCGAGCCAGGTCACGGGACCACGGCCACCGAGTCCAGGTGGTTGTCGATCGCATCTCTCGTCGCTTCTCGACCGAGTACGCTGGCACTAACAAGGTCGTAAACCTCTCCTACGTGTGGGGATCGCTGTCGAGCGACGTCATCATGGAAGTGGCATTTGCTCGCCCCAAGCTGTTTACTGAGGCCCCCGACTTCAAGAGCTCCTTGGCGATAGGGCTGTCGGATCTGCTGTACACTAGTCACGTTTTCATGCATTTCAGCACTATACAGTATCTGGTATCCGCCTTGCCGGGTTGGCTCACGAAGACGTTCGTACCGCCGATCAAGTCGGTCGTCGAAGCCCAGGAGGTAAGATGCGCGCCAGCCCCATCCAAGATATATATATGTATACAGAGGGTAGTTTCCGACTAACTCGAACAACAGGAAATCGGAAGCCAAGTAGCCGACATGGTGGGCGGCCGAAACAACGAGGCCAAGGAATCACCTCTGCCCACTCTGTACCGCGACATTCTCACATCCCGACTACCACCCGAGGAGCTGACGTACCCGCGGCTACGGGACGAAGCTATTTCTACTATCGCCGCCGGAATCGACACCACGAAGTGGACGTTGAGCGTCGCTTGCTACCACATCCTAGCCAACCCTGAGGTCCAGCGACGTCTGCGAGCGGAGCTCAATGAGAGGATCCCTGACCCGAACCAGATCCCCGATTGGTTCGAGCTGGAAACATTCACGTATCTAAATGCCATCGTCAACGAGAGTAAGTCATACATATCTATCACCTACCTTAGGTACATACCTAAGGTACTCTATAAGCAAATGCAATGCTAACTTCTCCTCCCCCTTTAACAGGTCTCCGCCTAGCCTGCGCCGTAAGCGAGCGCATGCCGCGCATCAACAAGACGGCGCCGTGGACGTACCGGGACTTCGTGATCCCGCCGGGCGTGCCGATCGGGATGGACATATGGACGATGCACCACAACGCGGTGCTGTTCCCGGAGCCGAGCGTCTTCAAGCCGGAGCGGTGGCTCGGGGACCCCAAGGTGGAGCCCGAGCTGCTCGAGAAGGCCGGGTACCTCCCGCCGCTGGACGGGAAGACGAAGCCGCTGACGCACTACATGGTGGGCTTCGGCAAGGGCACCCGCATGTGCGTGGGCATGTACCTCGCGTACGCGGAGATCTACATCGGGCTGGCGACGATATTCCGCCGGCACGAGCTCGAGCTGTACGAGACCACGCGCAGGGACGTGGATATCGCGTGCGAGATGATCTTGTCGCTGCCGTGGAAGGGGACGAAGGGGATTCGCGTTAGGGTTAAGAAATGAGCGGTGGGTGGATAGATGGATGATGGATTTCCTCGACTAGGTTAGGGTACCTGGGCACATAGATTTTAGAGAATGGGGAATTGCTAGACGAGGACTTGTATATTCCCCTTAGTTCTGGCTGGGTAGGAATTAGTACGCCGGTTTGCTAGGGATAGGGCGTAGGTACCAGGTAGGTATCGCTTTTGTATTGTATATTGGGGTTGGCTATCTCCGAAGGGACCTGATCTGGATCTAGATCGGAGAAGACATGGCTGGCTGCTGTGATAATAGCTTTGATACAGACTGGAAAATTAGATATCGTGAAACTAAAGATGTTGAATAGGTGCCTACAATAAGTTATCAGAAATATCTCCCCTTTGGGTTTTACTTCCGTGGTTGTGGCCCTATCCTAAATGGATCAAAGTTCATTATAGATTACGTACCTCTATATACCTCTATACTCCCAGGGGAAGTTACACTTATAGATACGCCAAGATAGTACCCCTTTATTACTGCCTAATATCCCCCTCTTCTACCTTTCCCACTCAAGAAAAGGGGCGGAGAAAAGGGAAAAGAAGATTCCGACTTTTTAATAAAATGGCAACACCATAGAGGTAGCCTCGGGTTTCACTGTCTCCTTTTCTCAATATTTGAACTAGATTATTTCACTCTTCGAATTCCAAACAGCGTGTGCCTACACTTTTAGTTGAGAAGAGCGCCATGCTGCTCTTGGCTGATAAGTTTTGTATCTAATACGAGCTGGGGTTTTGTAATATGGCGAAAAAGCTATTACATTAGGTATGTAAAAGAACATAAAATGAAGGTATTCCTGTTGAGTTCTCTCGTAATGCGCGATCGCGTGACTCACCGAGGCAGCCTCGACAAGGCAACAAACTAGGCGCCTAGGTAGCCATCGAAGATAACTACCTGCCTAGGTAGGTAAGCGTTGGAGAAGATGGCCGAAGGATAAAGAATAGTATAGGACTGACTTGAGGCTTGGAGCCGCCGAATAACTCATGTGAGACATGTCGCCATAGCTAGAGCTCGATCGAACAGTTCGCTTGCGCCACGCCGGCCATTTATATAGCCTTCAATCTACTACCGGGCCGACGATCTTTCTCGGGATCAGGCTAAGAAATTCCCTTCCAACAGGCTTGGTATAGTTCTAAGTGTAAATACTAAGTCCCACCTGACCTCGAAACTTTGGGAGTCCTCTTTTGTCAGGTTCCTATATCAGTATCATCACATGGACATAATATTTTCTTAAGGTGTATAGGTTAACCGAAGCTTGTATTGAAATCTCTTCTTTTTCAATCCAACATGGGTTAGGGCTATTAATTAGCAGAACCGTTAATGGTTGATCCTGCAAGGCTGACAAGTGATATGTTAGAAATATTACACTCCAGGGGCTATCGGTATTTTTTCTTACCTTACCTGCTACCAGGTAGTCATCAATTCTTATTTATTTAAGTACCTACCTAATAATTATGTATACTACTACCAGTCGTTCCTGTTGCGGCCCCAGTAACCGGCCTGAGTTGCGGCCCTGGTCGCCTCGTCGGAGACCTCAACCAGGGATTTGGATTATTTACCTGGTAGGTAGTCTAAAAGTTGACCAGATTATAACCATCAATCTTCATCACCGTGTAAAACATGAAACAACCGAAAGAATCAGCCTTACCAATCAAAATACAGATACCTAACAAGACTTGCATAATGTGATACACGACAGCTCACAACCGCCCGCTGTTGCTGCCTGCCTGGAAGTGTGGTTACACTGCTCTGTTGGTTCAGGTGAGACCTCAAGATTCTACCTTATTCTAAGTTTATTATTCCATTTCACCTTCTTTAGGGGACGCCGAGTTATACACGTGAATCGGCATGTGGCCGATCTTGTTCGATAATGAGCAACACACTCACCGAACAATAGGGTTTCGTGACTTTTCTAGAAAGTCCACAACTCTAAATCATCATTGATTTACAATTTATTTAGGAAAAAAAGGTAGTATACAAATCTGTATGCAAAAGATCAACCTTCGCGGACTAGGTAATTACCTAGTATCTACGTTAGGGTGATACCGAGACAACTACCTCGCCTCTTTTCCAACTGTAATATTATTCAGCTCATAGAACATAAAGTTAAATAGCAGAAGGCTGTTAGTTTCAAGTATTCCAATTCGGGATGGAGTGATCGAGCTGTAGGAACGGTATTGTCCAGGTGGCCCCGACATGACCTTAGGATGCTACGGACGAACTATTGTCTGTGCCGGTACCAACATACCACACCGAGAGAGTATACAGTATTCCTTGGGCTGTGAAATCATTAACAGGGAAAATTCTTTCGACGGGCATGACTTAAGAACGTACTAGTAAAACAGAAAGAATAAACCGAGGTAGTGAATAGAATTTAGAGAACTATTCCAAGCAAATATGACTTTCCGCGGCAAGGCTCTCAGGAAGGAATGAAATAGAATCGTCGAAATATACACTTGCAGCCTGCCGAGAAAGTAAAAGAAGAAAATACGTAGATTTTTGCACTTCGATGGGTTAAATTCGGCATGCCGACATCTCGGCTGCCACAATCCTAAAAATTCCACGTTCATGCGTGAGAGTCTATGTTGTCAGTCTAGTCAGTCGTCGTTTGCTAGAGGACTCCCACGGAATCGCGAATCCATCATCCATCATACATACAATCTAGCAAAACTCACACAGGTGATTCACTCACTTCCCTCCTACTTAATCCTAATTTCCATAAATATTTCCCTTTCCTGTCTTTGCCCTGCCCTGCCTTGCCCTACCTGACCTAAACTAAATTCATCCCGAACCAAAACAATCAAACAAAGAACAGCTCAGACCCAAACTAGCGACAAGTGACAATGAAACGCGGAGACAATGGCGCGTGGCTTCACCACAATACGCTTTGTGCTCTGATGCTCTGAATCTGGTGGCAAGAAACCTTGATTCACTACAACACCATGATTCAAGCACAGCTCTACACGCTTTAGTTATTCGGCTTCAATACATGGGATTACTATATATATTTATTTCCTTACTTTCGCTCCACCATTTGCTGCTCGAATAATTCCCGAGTTCTGCGTGAGGTAGCGGAGAAACAAACATCTATTTCTGGACAGCTCGCTCGTCGCCGGTATTATACCCTATACTTACTTACCTCCCAAACTTAATTCATCGCGAACCGCAAAGACTTAGAAAGCCGGGTAAGACAATAATAAATAAAGGCTTTTTCCCCTTGGGAAAACAAAGGAGGTGGAAAAAGAAGGAGAAGAAAAGAAAAGAAAAGAATCGGGACTAAGCACAAGAGCCCTCGACAAAGAAATCTACCTAGCTCCATGGCATCCAACAACCACCGTCACCACCACCACGGCCGCCGATCCAGCCATCACGTCCCGCCCAACTACTTCCCCCCCAGCCCCCTAGGCCCGGGTCCAGCACCGATGTCGATCCCGATCCCGGGCCCGCCGCAGCCTCTCTACCCCATGCCCCCCTATCCCACCGCGCCATACGTGGGATATCCGTATCCGACCGTACCCTATCCCATGTCCCCTTACCCCTTATCTCCCATGCCCCCCCAATCCCCCCATCACCCCCGCCGCCCACCGCCGCGCGTGCCGACCCCCCTGCACACCATCGTCGGCCCGACGCTCGTCGACAACTTCCTGGAACGTGCGCATACGCGCCTCGAGCCGCCAGGCGGCAGTGGCGGCGGCAAGAACAAGGCGCACGTCTTCTGGACGGAAGACGACCTCAACGACGAGCTCGACGCGCAGCTCGCGCTCGTGCGCCGGGGCGTCCAGGACATCGCGAGCCAGGAGTTGGGGCTCCCAGGGGACGTGGCGCCGCGGGTGACGGTGCGTCTGTGCCCCGCGGACCTGAGCGCCGAGGGCCAGTGGCGGGCCGGGCAGGGGGAGCTCTGGCGGCGGGGGGCGACGGTGCTCATGCCCAAGGTGATTATCCGGATGCCGGAGCGGCGGGACCTGGTCGGCAACAACAACAACCACCGCCATAACCGTCGTGATCGTCGAGGAGAAGGAGGAGGAAGAGGAGGGCCGAGTCTCGGGGATAGAGCATACATGGACGCAGCGAAGCGCGTTCTGGACGCGGTGATCCACGCGCAGGGGCTAAACCGGTACGACGCGCGGACGAACCTCCGGGGCCTGCCGTTCGATCCGAAGGGCGACCTGGCGCACGCGTGTTTCGAGTGGCGCGATACGACGAGCGCCGGCGAGGACGTGTGCCATTTCATGCCCAGCCACGCCCACGTGTACCTGCCTACCAAGCCGAAGCGCGTCAACCACCAGAACACCTGGCTGTACGAGCGCTTGTACGGGGGCCACCCCGGGGCCATGGCGCACCTGACCAAGTGGGCTGATCGTCGGGGCATCGATTTGAGCTTTCTGATACCGATTCGCGTTTAGAAGGAAAAAAAGAAAAAAAAGGAAAAAGAAAAGAAAAGAAAGGCCGAGTCCCGTGTCCTTGGCTGAAAATGGAAGGCTGATTCCATGCGGCATTGATTTAGGCTGGTAGGCAATCGAGTCCGGAGGAAGGCGGCGCTAAGGGGGTGAATATCAACATTGATATTTGAATTTATACCCAATACCTTAGGGGGTACCCAAGGTAATAAAGCTTTCGAAATTGATACCCTCTTGCCAGGAGTCTCGCTTGGGACTCCTTGGGAACAAAGGAGTTGTTTTGTATATAGCTTTGGCTTCAAAGCTATCGTAGTTAGAGCTCCTCACGGAACAACGAAGTTGTTACCCTACCTCATGCTCTGCGACGTGACACCTCTTGAGAACATAGAATTAGCTTACCATTAACTCGTAAAGTATGGACTTTAAGTGATACCCAGTAAGAAGGGAGATATTTTAATGCAATCGCGTCTATTAAGTTCGTGAATCACTTTTCAATACTCTAGGAGGGGTCATGGTAGATCTCCATTATCGGTCGTTAGGTAAGGAACTAATGGTAGACAGGATGAAGATTCGGGAGTATGATGATGACCACAAGAGATATCATACCTAAGCTCCCCATATGTTATCCCCCCATATGCAAATACTTTTGCCGGATCAACGGTCCAATGCAGTCGTATCCGCGGTAAGATACCCGGGACTTGCGAATCGAATATCACCTCTACGCCTCCCCCTTTTTTTCCCCCGGTCCCTGAATAACCCCCTTCCATACTTGGACAATTGCGATACACCTCAGTAACCGTGGTATCAAGCGGTAATTAGCCACCGGTAGGCATACCACCATCCCCAACTCGAACATAGACTCCTTATGGCATCAGTGGCTGTCAGCCTTCCTGTTGCCAGTCGAACTGAAGCTACGCAGCTCCTCAGACTTTCTGGTAGAACAGCAGGTAGGCAACTTTGTTGTCCTTGATATTGTCTTTAATCTGCTTTCCTTTCATGTGCGCGTTGTTCGATGCTCCGTTAACCACGGAACTCCACTTCTTTGCTCCGTTCGCCGGAGCGCTGACCTTATTCCATCCCTCGTCATCACCAGCTTCGTCGTCACCGATTCCTTCAAATCTATTTCCAGAACCGCTCATGACGCTGTCCTTCTCAACCCGTGCCGAAGGCTTGGGGCCATCCTCTTCAGAACCTCCTTCGGCAACATCCTCACTTCTCACTCGTCGGATGACTGTGTCATCCATGCGAATCCATTCTACGCCATCTTGGCGTCTGAGATCGACTGTGTAGTGTCCACCGCTTGCATTTTTGCCATGGTGATAAACAGCAGCAATCAGTCTGTATTTAGGAAAGCCTGCACCTTCTGCAGTAAGGGCGTTTCTCTTCTGTCGTGAAAATAACTCTTTGGGAAGTTCAAGCTCCAGCGGATATCCAACCTTCTTCCAGATTTTGACGGTCCCGGTGCCTTCGGTATCAAACTGGAAGCGCTTTAGGTGCAATATGAGGACAGGCGGCAGGGATTCGATAAGAACCTGTTTGGTGGCTGTGGCATCCTTTCCCCTTGGTGATCCAAAATCACCGTGTAGAATTTCGGGCCTAGTGAGCGCCTTCAACGCATCGACAATGTTGTTAACTTGAGGTGAACCAATGTCCAATTGAAGAGGCTGAAAGGGCTCTAGAGTTACGGAATCCTTTAGGCCTCGTACTCGCAATTCAGATCTTAATTGACCACCAAACACCTTTGTGATAGGAGAAGAAGTAACTGGGTGTCCAGAAGAACGTGTAACTGCAGAGCGTTGACGTCGTCCCACCTCTAACCAATCGTTGGTGTCTGGCGTGCTAGTCGGAGATGTCGCCAAAGGAGTGGCAGCTGATGAGTTTGCAGCTGTAGTTGTAGCAGACAAGTCTGGGAGGTTGCGCATAACTTGCGTGCACTCGTCATGTAGTGCTTCTAGAAGGAAACCCAGGAACTCTTCAGCGTCTTGTTGATGTCCACGCTGCATAATCTTGTTAGACCATCTCAACATAAATGCGTCGGAGAACTTACTCTCATGCTAGCGAATCTAGGGAGCTTCCTTATAGCTTCATAGACAAATTCAGGTGTGAATGGCTCGCCGTACTGTTCGAGTTCTTCGCTCTTCAATCTCCGCCGAAGCTGTTCAATAGAAACTGCTGAATCAATGACTTTGTATTCGCGCATGAACATAATCCTAAAATTATTAGCCTAACCAGGGGTAGAGTACCGTTACGATTTGTAGTTACTTACATGGCCTCAATTAGGGGGGTCTCGCTTTTAAAACTATGCGCCGCTTTTTTGCTGACCTGGTCCAAGAAATCGTAAAACGGAATGCAGAAAATGAGAACTTGTAAAACCTGAATAAAGTTAGTCCAGCTTCTTCTGCAAGTCAAATATCGAAACTAACCGAATTCATATAGCACATGTTCCCAGTGTTAATCAAACCCCTAGGCTCTAGGAACGAGATTTTTTGACCGCCACCCACGCGGAATGCTCGCAGGGCCTCGGCCAAAGAACTAGTGTTTGCCTTTATAAAACTGCCTACACCCGCACCTCCATTGCCCAAGGCATTACCATCAGAGGCATTGTTTGTTGTGACACCAGTGCCGGATCCCGTACCGGCGGCGCTCGTCGAAGGAGAAGCAGCGGACGTTGTACGCGAAAACAGTCCGGTCCAGAGTTTCGGAGCAGCTTTAACGGGGACGGGAGCAGGGGTAGGAGCAGGGGCAGGTTCTACTTTTGCTTCCGGTTGAGATACTTGGGAGGTCTCTGCAGTATCAGCAGACTTTTCCTCTGTTGTTTGTTGCGAGGGCTTCTCTTCCACTGGCTTGGTTTCCACACCGGACGAACTTGTGTCTTTAGACCCTACTTTAGATTTTACCGGTACAATCGGAACAGCTGGTATAGCTGCAAGAGAAGCGGTCTTAGCGTGCTTGCCCGATGCAGCGGCGACAGGCGGACCTGCTTGAGCTGGCTGAGGAGGGGTGGGAGAAATAGATTGTGAGGTGTCCGAGGACACATCTTTTGTCGACCCAGCTTCAGGCTGCGCTGGTAGCTCTGTATCTGTGTTAGTCGGCACGGCAGGAGTAGTAGATTTTAGTGTAGGGGTTGCAAGTAATGAGCCGTCGCCTCCCGAAGCCTCCTCATGCGACGCAGCCTCCGATTCTACTCCCTTAGGCTGATTTGAGGGCAACTCAACATTCTCCGCATCAGGATTCTGTATTCGCCGTCTTCTCCTAGATCGAGCTGACTTGGTAGGAAAGGGCACGTCAGGTCGCGACAACCAGGGTAGCTACAAGCGGGGGTTAGCTTAGGTAAAGTCAGTGTCTCGAAAAGGATTTTTTATAACGTACCGGTGGCCTGAACGGTGACTCGGTCGCCCGCAACTCCACATCCGGGGCAACAGAAGCGGCTTCCTGGTTTTGCGGCGTAGGAGGTGTTAACGGAGTTGGAAGAACTTGGGACGAGTGTGTTGAAGAAGGTGTTTCGGGTACCGGAAGAGGCGGAGGTGGTGCTGCAACGGTATAAGGCGGAGGAGTCGAAAGCGCTGGTGAAGGTTGTTGCGGCGGAGGTGGTCGAGAATAAGGCGGCTGAGGAATAGGCTGCATGCTCGAGGACACGATAGGAGGGTATTGTTGGTGAATTATGGGGGGAGATCGTTGAGCAAACTGGTTATATTGCATATATGAAGCGTTGGCCATGGCGCCATTCTGATAGTGATGCGCAACCTGAGGATAGTAAGTCTGAGGATAAGGAGCCATGTAGCCGTTATGGTGGTACATGGCATTCATGTGTTGCTGGTGGTGATATTGATGATGGGATGGATACTGATGCTGGGGTCGCCGTCGACCACCAGGTCCCGGACCAGGTCCCATATCAACTTGTCCTCTAGCTACAACTGCTCCTCCGGGAATACCTCCTGGCATAGGCTGCCCAGCCGGCAGATGATTACCGTTCATCTTGCCGGCTTGGGGGTGACGAAGCAGTGGCTATCCACTGCTTCTGCGACTTAAACCGTCGCCGATATATGAATTGGTATTTTGTTGGCGCAAGGTTGACGAACGGGCAACCTGGTGAGTTATTGTTTGCACGAAGGCTGCGCGGTTGGAAGGTAAGGTAAACGTCAAGTCGTGTGTTATCAGCTCCGGTCCACTTCCGTAGCCAAGAGAGACGATAGAAACGAATGGCGCTGCCTCATAGGAGCCTTAAAACGAGAAAGAGGATATTACTATGAGAAGGCACGCGACGAATAAAAAAAGAAAAAGGAATTTCAACGAGGTAGGTATAGAGCCGACGAAGTAAATACGGCACTACCCAAATGTTTTGCGCGTTGAAGATGTTGTTAAGATTGACCAGGGTTGTTGTGGTCAACTGGAGCTAATAATTTGTGTTCTGACTTTTTCTAAAGTTTTCGGACCCTTTTGAGATTTACCTACGAAGTACCTCAAGCTAAATACCTAATAATCCTGCGCACCTTCTTGATGGAATGTTGCACCGCCATGAACGCCCTAGCCACATTTAATACGTACCTGCCTACCTATCTAGGTACCTAACGTAAGCGCAAACGTTACCTAGGTTAGTAAGGTACCTCACATACTTCGTACCTGCCGTCATACAACAAAACTTTAATAGGTTAGGTACCTAACCTAATGTACCTACTTGGGCATCTACACCGTGGAAAAGCTAGGGAAGTAAGTACTTAAGGCCTATAGAGAAGTTAGGTTAGGTAGGAGGTACCTATGCAACCTGTCCGCTTGAAGTTATGGAGATGTTCCATGGGTTGGACGAATGAAGTTATAAGATAATCTAACAAATGGTAGTTCTGAAAAATCTTTTGTAAATGCTATAAGGACTAAGACCTTTCCTTGTGAGAAATCCAATACCTACATGTATTACTCATTAACTCAACGTCAAAGGTCAGAACTCCTATGTATTATGTATGAATCCCCCTTTTCTACCTACTAGGCACCTACGCATCTATATGAAACCCTCTTTTGATAAAAGCCACGATGCCATGCGATGTTATGCTATGCTATGCTATAATATACTAATTTCCATGGCTGTACATGTGTTCCTCATGCCAGCAAAACGAAGTGTGCCGTAGTGTTGCCCCTGAATCATCATCTTCAAGTTCCAATAGAAAATAAGGTACTCTCTACTCATCTCTAAAAATCCATCTTCCACCAGGTCGCATAGCCTCTCGATATCTTTCATCAATAATCCGACGTGTCACCTTCGCCGCTTCTTCTCTATCTCGTTGTTCCTCTTGAGTGCTTGGAAAATCTGCCCGCCAGAAACCTACTGGCGATGCAGCACGATGAAATCTGTGGCGATGTCTGCCATGTTCGTTGGCAAGCTCTCGCGTCTTAGCTTCAAACCACATATCTTCCTTCTCTACTTTAGTCATAGTTGATAGCTTCCAGGCTTCGTCACCTAAGTGTTTCTCTAACAAGGCTTGGAAGTCTACCGGTCCTGTCTGGTCGCGCTTGGCTCGTGCTTGCAGCCGGAATGCCTCGCCGCAGCATCCATCTTGAACGCATCCCTCCAAGTTGGCTCGTTCATTCTTGTTTCGAACAACGTCGGTAAAGGCATAGTCATACCCTTCATTAGAACGCGGGTTAATTTTGAAATCGGCGATCCCAAGTTCAGATTTGGGACGCTCTCGCAAAGGCCGAGCACTATTAGTCGTGCTACCTTTTGCCTTGTCACCAGGTTGCCGCTTCGCGCTCACGTTTCCAGGAGTTTGTTGCTCACGTAGGGCCTCTGAAGTAACGCGAGGTTGAAGCAACTTAAATGTTTTCTTTGGATCGCCCTGATTAAAAGGTAGTTCACGCCTCTCCGGAGCTTGAAACTCGAATCGCTTCGATAAATGCGTAGGGTCTGATTGTACACCAAGTGATGTATGAATAGCCGCTTGACCTGGCGAAGGGGTGTTGAGGAGATCCTTAAGACGGGCTACCTTAGGTCTCTTCGTGGTAGCTTTCGGGGTGTCAAGACCCCCATCTGAGAATAAAGCTCTTCTCCTTGTCGCATCGCTTCCAAGGTCTTCTAACCGGCCAAGTGGGTTAAAGCTAGCGTGCGACTCGGGAATTTTGACCGAGCCTGAAACTGTCAAGTTTGCAGATTCAAGACTCGTCTTATTTCGCTTCCTTGGTGTGACTACCCTGACTCCATCAGCATCAAAATCAATGCTCTCCTGTGGCATAAAATGAGGCCGTTCATCTATAACTAGAGGATCGAAGCTGTCTTCCGTTTTAATGTTAGTAATGTTTTCAGTCCGGTCATCGTGTTTTCTTTTGCGCACGCAACGCTCCGACACGATAACCGGGGGGTCAGAGGAGGGTTCGGTCTTAATGAGCGCCTCTGCCGCATTGGTATCTCGGTTCTGTGGGAGAGGTGGCAATTGATATGATTCCCCATCCACGGTGCTGATGCAACTTTCCGAGACAGTGGTAGTATTTCTCTCTGGACTAACCCGCGATACCGTCTTTGCTCTTATCGGCTCCGATGATACTCTATCAGGAGAATTGTTTCTATTTCTGCCGACCTTGATGGCTGTTGGCTGTCCTGGGGGAGCTCTCTCCAATGAAGGGGTAAACCGCGTGGCCCCCTGGTCATCGTGAACATCAGAGTCGACGGATTCGCGAGCAGCCACTTGAGGTTTACGCAAAGGTGGAACCGGTGTGTCCGAAGAAAAGCTCTCGTCGAATGGTCCGGAAGCTACTGCGGCCGCGGAGTCCAACTTGGCTTCCAACTTTTTGATTATCCGACTACGCTTTTTGCATAGTTCATCTAACTGGTTTGCATGATCCATCCATTGATTATAAGCTTTCGTCTTTTCTCGAAGTCGCTGGTTCAATTTCGAGTGAGCATCCTCAAGCTCCAAATACTTGGCATGTAATTTAGTATAGTTCCCGTTCAGTTTTATATACTCCTCTTTGAGTCCAGTCAAGTCCAGTTCATCAACATTGGGATTTCCAGATTTGGTAGATAACTTAAGATTTGAAACTTGATTCACAGATTTGGGTGTAAGAGGTGATCGAGCATCCCTAGTGCGATCCAGGGACGAAGCGCCGGCACGATTATTGCCCCTAAGCTTCTGGACCTCCCTCTTCAGAGCAAGGTTCTCCTCCTTCAGCCGGTCTGCGTCAGAAATCTTAGACCTCAGATTTTGGAGTTCAGAAGAAAGCCGAGCATTTTCGTCTCTATAGGATTTGAGCCCTATTTTTCGAACTTAGTATTTCATGATGATTTAAAAATGCATTGTATATATTGGTTCGAACTGCACGCACCTTCACCGAGCTCATCATCAATTCGATTACAGACTCCGTTTAAAGCATCGAGCAGGGCAGGTCTACCAACATCCTTGAACCAAGTCTCCATCTGGTAATAGATTGACCCGCACTCTCTATTTCAGGTTAAGTAATAAAAAAAAAAAAAGAAAAAAAAGAAAAAGAACATTGCTTATGGATGAAGTACAGTAAGTCGTTTGGTTAATTAATCGACATTGCTGGTTTTAAGCAGTACACATTTTGGGTTTGTGGATTTTAAAGGATGAAGAAAGGTACTTGGTGTAATGACGCGTGTTGGAAGAGGCGACACGCGCTAAGGTTAGAAAGTGACTCCCTGAGGTCATGTCCTCAATTAAGGAAATAATGAAAATATGGTTCGTGCGCTACTAAGCTACTTACCTAAGGCAACCACGGATTTTGGCGACATTCCGCATTTGGAATATGTATTGATTCAAGCAATCCTATTGGCTCTCTCATTTAGGTCAGGTACATGCTCGGACATGCTTGTGGATGTATCACTGTACCAAAATAGATGTCTGCCTGCCAGGCAGGCCAGATGTATGAAATTCAATGTGCAAGCCACTTGCAAATGGGGATAGGTTTCCGATCGTGAATGAAATAGGTAGGGCTGCATATGATCTTCCATCCCGCATAGCGCACGAATTCTATCCTCTGTATTAAGATGCAGCCAAATGGACGATCAGCTCGTCACTGTCAAGGCATATGCCAGGACTACTTACATGGACGATTCGAGGTCCGTTAGTTCGGAATACCTATTGTTTCCTATACAAGTCCTCGGAGAGTTGAGTTCCGGGACGGCAGGTTCCTGGAACTCTACCTAATATCTGATTGTTGTATTGTACTAATTGGAAAGCATTAGTGCCCTGGCAATAGCAAAGGCGCATACCTTCGATTTGTCGATTTGTTGTAAAGATGATTGGGTACATATTCCAATATAAACAAATCTATCATATGCTACAGGGCTGGAGGTTTCCGCTGACTGCCTACTAACCTATTTTTATATACTTGTCAACTGGCATCCCTATCAAGTCCCAGCCATGGGCGGGATATGTATGAGGTTTATGAGTAGGACTGGTAAGAGTTCCAAAGGCATTTTGATAAACGTCGTACTATGTGAAACGTACCAGATAATATAAACTATATTCTTAAAATACCTTACATCACTCATCCCTATTAGGTGATCAAGATACCTACCAAAAAAAAAAAAAAAAAAAAAAGGACCAGAAAGATATCCATTGGATCTCGATTGACAGGCATATGACTCTTGTTTGCCGTAATATAAGGTATCATATATGAGTGTTCAAAATTCAAATATCTGTGATACAATAACTTGTACTACTGCACAATTCAATATATGTAAATGGCGGTAAAGCATTGCACGTGCCGTTTAGGCGCTAAAATTGGGCAGAATAGCCAGCCGAACGTCCTAAATGGAAATTGGCGAAGCCCACAAAAATTTTTGGTTTAGCAATCAACCACTACCTAGGTATTTGCATGCACAACGCAAGAATTTCAACGCCGATTAAGACGTTGTATTGTTCTTGGTGAGATCGATAATAATAATAATACCTACCTCCATTCCCTCTCTCGTCCCAAGCTTAGCAGTAAAATCCAACATTCGTTTCCCTTCGTTGGAACTTGGAAGTTATACCATTTCAAAAGTATTATCCCTAAGGTACGTTGTATATTTTTTAGGCACCTTTTTTTTTTCTTCCTCGACACCTGCAAATTACATGGGACATCTCGGAGGTACCTAACATTAGGTACGTCTGCATTTTACTAGACGTTTGGAGATACAGTTCTACATCCTTGTAGCATCTCAGGTACGCAGAGAGGAAGGTAAGGTACATCCTATATATGTACCTGCCGCTTTACATCTCATATATTTTGCCCCTGCTGTATTGCCGCTGCCTTTGAAATCTCTGCTTTCCGCGCCGTTGGTTTCGACCTTTACCTAGACGTTCGTCACCCCACCAATACAACTGAGGTCCTTCCATTACTTCCACAGCCTAACTAACCTAACTTACCGACATCCTTCCGTCAACATACTTTTTTTTTTTCCCTCTCACTCGTTGTTCCTCCTACTACACTTTTGATAAAAAGACCATTCCCCATACTCGTACGTCGTCTCTCACCATTTTCATATTGGTTCCTCCCAACTAACAATCCAATCTCGTCGGAAGATTTAGTACGACACCAACATCTATTTTCATCGTCGCTACTGGATTAAGGCTTACATTCTACTCCAGTTCGAGTCAACAGTAATTCAAAGCTGTTGCACCAAAGGTATCAAACTTACGGTGAGCATCAAAACTTTTTTTTTCATCAATGTCGAGTTCATATTTTTATCATTCGTTCACGACTATTGAACCCCTCCTTCCTGACCACCCCTCCATATCCCCCCTCCAAATCCATCCCCTTCTGGGTGCACTGAGCATCACCCCGCTGTACGGGCGTATTGTACCATATCACTACGACCATATCACTACGCACTATGCACCTCAGGAGATATTATTCCTCAAGTTCCCCCACCTCATCATATCACATTCATGACGAATCGGTGTTCTCATCAGCCCTACACGTGCCCATCTTGCCTTGCGCTACATCGTCTTTTCGTATATCTCTTACTTGCTACCAATCTCCTGGGTCGCTATCAATACCTTAGGTACTATCTACAAGTCCTTCAAAGCTTCCAATGAAATTGTAAACTGGTAGCTTGAGGGGTGGCGCTTAAACTTAGGTTTAATCTAGGTAGGGGAAGTGAGGACTGTTTGCCTTTAACTACCTAACCTACCTAACCTACCTGTCAAGCGTTACACCGCACACCTCTGATAATATTCCATTTTCTACGGAGGTTCACTCACTGACGCTATCTATCTTTTTATAGACCTCGACCATTCGCATCATCCTATAAGTCCACATAATCAAGATGGATTACCAAGGTTCCCCTCGTACCTGCTACACTTGTAAGTAGTTATATTATTGATTTTCTTCCTCGGGACAATTATCCTATTTCTCGTATGATTTTGGTAACTCCTTATATTTTCAATTATACCGTATTGGTATATTGCGTGGTCTTTTATTTATCAGGCACTTATCCAATTTTGCTGAGAGCATTTTCATATATTTCCTTGACTTTTTCTGTACTAGTCTTATTAAAGGCGAACTTTATGTATTGTGTGCTACTTATTAGGGCACTTCATATCTTCTTCTCTTATTTTTGTCCTTTTCCTTTTTTCCATGGGTGCGGCATCATCTAACATAATATATTTACGTAGGCGGTCAGCCTGGACATCAGGTATGTCTCACAACAACGAGTTTTGAGAGCTGCGAAGCAGTTGGTTTCCAAGAATATTTTTTTACTAACAACTTTTCAGACCCGAGAATGTCCCAGCCGTGGCCCGTCTAAGTGGTAAGTATTCTCTTCATTCCTAACTCATTGGATGATTTATACTAATATTTTTTTGCAGCTACAACTGTGGCGGTGAAGGCCACTTCAGTAAGCCTCCCGGCGTTTTCTTAACCCCAACTGAACACCATCTAACAAGAGACAATTGTAGGTCGTGATTGCCCTGATGGTCCCAAGGACACCAAGTCCTGCTACCGGTGCGGTTTGACGGGACACATAAGCCGTGACTGCCCTCAAACTGGCGCCGTAGGTGGTGGCCAGGGCGGTAGCTCGCAGGAATGCTACAAGGCAAGTTCTCACGAAACGGGCTGTTTGCCTATTAAGTACTGTCAACTGACTCTTCTGGTTACAGTGTGCCAAGCCTGGCCACATTGCCCGCAACTGCCCCGAGTCGTTCGGCTCCGGCTCTGGCAATTATGGAGGTGGTTTTGGCGGCGGCTATAACGGAGGCGGCGGCCAAGGTGGCAAGACCTGCTATTCTTGTGGTGGTTATGGACACATGTCTCGTGAGTAAAGCTGTGTTTCTAGTCACTATCCTTTCATTCTAACAGGGTCTTAGGCGAATGTGTCAATGGCAGCAAATGCTACAACTGCGGCGAGAATGGCCATTTCTCCCGCGACTGCAGCAAGCCTTCATCGGGTGGAGAGAAGATCTGCTACAAGTGCCAGCAGCCTGGACATGTCCAGTCTCAGTGCACCAACTAAGCAGAGTCACCATCAAGATACCTCGAGCTATTTCTGCGACGCGATGACTTCAGTGCAAATTCAATTTCTTCTCGACAAGTTATGAAGGTGGACGGCAACCGTGGCCTTTGGGATGGTTGCCAGAGCAGTGGATGATTGGGAGGGTCAATCTCTGATAATCTTCGACAAAAACCCTTTGTATATTCTCTTATGGGCACCCTTCGCGAAAAAGGGCTGGTTTATTATGGCAGGTCGTGATTTGGTAAACTCGAGTGATCTTACTTGGTCGGACTTATGGCACATCGGAAAACAAGGGGGGAAATCTGGCCTGGACCCGGAAAAGTTCTGCTGCGGAACGCGGAGTCATGGTTTTGCTTTGCTTAGGGACATCAAAGGTTTCTCGTTCTGGTTGCGTTAGCACCGTACAAACACATTTCTGCGCAGTGGTTTTTCTCAGCCTGGGAATACTGGATGCGAATGAATTTCGTTAATTATCTTTACTTGTGTTCTCTTCAATTGGGTGCTTATCTTGTTTCCGATTTCGTGATATTAAAACCGTTGTGAAATACGTACCTACCTAACCTAAGGTAGCTTGGTGTCTTTCAGGTAAGGAGCGCACCCCGGAGATCCCAAACGGGCACTTCATCATGACTCCTTGAAACTTGTGGATTCTACCTCTTATGGTACAAATAGCGTGCACTTACTTACATTGTTGAACCTGGTGATGGTTGCGAGACACTCAACAGTTGACTACCCCTTTTCTTGCATTATCACATTGTCACAGTAAACGCACCAAGCAGATTTCGTGATGAGTGGTTGGTGTAAGGCGCGAGCTCTATCTCTATCATGCTATTTAGAATGGTATCTAGGTGAGGTTTTGAGGTCAGGTAAGGTAAGGTAAGGTATCTATCGACATACATGTATATATAATAGGTATGTATCTATGCCATCCATCCAATCAAGTCCTACCCGAACGCCAACTCCGGTGGGTTTTGTGTTTTTTCCCAGAAAAGGGGGATGGGATGGGAGAGGGGAGAACAAGAGAGAGAGAATCCGAAAAAAAAAAAAAAAAAAAAAAAAGGTCTAACCAGTGCTGACTCTGTCCATCGGAAATGACTTTGCTTTCGTTATACCTATCCTGACTCTATCCTGATTCCGGCTCAGGCCCTCTATGTGATATGTGTGCGCCGAGCTCCGTTATTTACCTACTTACAACAAGAGAGCGCGGGCGTACCGTGCTTCTACCTAGGTACCTGTACCTAAGCTCTTAGAAAGCGGTGTACCGTCTATCAAGATGACTTTTTTTTTTTCTTTTTTTTCCTTCCCGATGAACCTAAACTAAACAATTCCCGTAACAGACGTGTACGTGTACGTGTATCGCCATGCCACGCCGGACATAAACACGTCCGTAGCAGCAAGAGAAGAAAAGGCGGCGGCGGCGGCACACCGGGTTCTAGATCCGAAGAGGGACCTGTAAATCTCCCTTCTGCTTCTCGTCTTCCTTCTTCCGGGACAAGAGCTGCGAGATGATGAAGTGGCTGACGTCTTCGTCCTGCCAGTAGCTCATGTGCGAGGCAATGGTGTTGATGGGGTTGAAGTCGAGTGCGCTCCTGTTGAGTGAACTTGTTAGCATTATGCATACCTAAGGTACTTATCATATCCGTCTTTCTAGTTCCATGCAGTTTCATTCTTTTTTTCTTTCTCTTCCGGACAAGGGGGAAATATGGAGCAAGATAATATATAATATAATAAGAACTTACTCCTGGATGCTGTAATCCACCCTGCCGTTCCGATTCAGCGCGCGCACCTTCGCCTCCTCCCTGCGCAGTTTCTGCGCCTTCAACTCCTCCGCGGCCCAGGCCTCGCCGAGCTCCACGCCTTCTTCCGCGCGGCTCGCGCTGTTCTTATGCTCCTCGATGCGCTTCTTCTGGAATCGCGAGTACAGCGTCTCGAGCTCGTCGTCGATGAGCGTCGCGTCGTAGTTGCTGCTCGCATTAGCGCCCGAGGAATTCTGGCGCGCGAGCGCCCTCTTCCGCGCGTCCGTCTTTTCCGACTGCGCGTTGGTGTCGGAGATCACGTTGCCTGAATTGATATTCGTTCCGGCTCCGGTGGTTATATTTTGCGAGGAGTTATTGTTATGACTGTTCGCGGCGTTGAAGTTTGCCACATCCTCGTTGGTCAATCCGAGGCTGCGGTTGAGAATGCTGCTGGCGATGCCAGCGCTGAAGCTGGACCAGAGACCGCTGACGCTCTGGCCTACTTTGACGCCGAGACCTGATAAACCTTGCGGGGCCACGGCACCAAATATGCCCTTTTTGGTATACGGTAAAGTTTGCGGTTTAAGGGATGACATGGCTGGCGAGATTAGCGGCTCTAAGCGGTAGGAAATCGGATCAGAAGGATGGAAGATATTGAATAGTTGTCCCACTTTAGGCGATGAAACCGAGAACGGATGACCTGTGATAGCCGAGAGCCTTTGGTCTGATGATATCGAAGGAGAGAGGAAGGGATCTTCGGCGTATTCTGGATTGAGGGGGCTCTCGGAGGGTACCGTATTTGGCTTGCTCCTGGCCGCAATGGTACGACCTTTGAGCATTTGGAAGAGTCCAATAGGAGAGCCAAGGCAGTAAAAATCTTCCACGTCAAAGTCGAAGCTGAGGTCTTTGTGATCTTGGGAAGGTTCAGTCCGCTCTTGAGAAGACCAGAAGCGCAAGGAGGTACGCGGGGTCTCTGGCGGTTTTGACTTCTCTTTCTGTCTACACAGAATATCAAACATGATCGCCGAACCCAACGAATGACCGACGATGTGGACTTTTCCTTTAAAGTCTGGATTGCGCTCTAGGAAGAGTTTGTAGATTCTGTTTGACTCCTTTAGGACGATCTCGGCGATTTGTTCTCGGTAGGCGCTCTGGTAGAGAAGAACGTCTAACGCAAGGTCGGATATAAGAGAACGGGCAAAAGCAACGCCCTCGATAGTAATATCTTCTAAAGATGGATCTGAAAATTTGTTAAGCTACACTGCGGAGGGGTTGGACGTTTTAAAATGAAGTTACTTACACTCGTCTTCTTCAGTCGTGAGGTCGCCCAAGTCAGTTTCGCCTTTCTTTTCCCGCCGTTTGGGGAAATCTAGCAAATGTCTCCAGCAAACTGGGAGGACTTGGACTTTGCAATTACCGGGCCCGTTTTCATTTTCCTTGTTAAGAGTCTTTAAATCTGCTGAATGAGCATATACCGCCTTAAAAGTCTTTCGTAACATATTGACATCATGGACGAAATTGACGCTGTCCATCCTAAAGATGTGTTAGCATTCTCAATGAGATATGTCTCGGCAGTATGGAAAATACTTACCGAAGTCCTAGAAGCTGTCCAATTCCATGAGTAACAAGAACAAGATGCTCGATATCTCGTCCTTGCGTTTCGCCGTCTTGTCCATTATAATCATCTTGGATTTCTTGCTCCTCACGCTTTCGGATTTGCTCGTCTTGCTTCTCGGGATTCTCAGAAGCCTCAATAAATGATGAAAATTGACGCTTTAAGCGGTTCCCCTGGCGTTCAGTTTCTGTAGTTGCTTCATCGTCTTCTTTGTCTCGGTCTGAAGTATCATCTGATTTTGTGCCAGATGGGTCAGACCTCCTCTTGAGGGCCTTCTCTTGTTTATCGTCCATTTTATCAGGGGGAAAGGTAGCGGTCATGGGTGTAGGGGGTATTTTGCCATCTTTTGTCTTCCCAGGCTCCGAATAGCCACGCACGAGCTTTACGCCATTCATATAACCGCCACCAGCAAACCGCTGATATACTGTTGATGTCACCCAGGAGAAGACACTTTCTGAGGATAACCACGCAGTACTCGAGTCCTGGTAAGTTGCTATACTGTTCATGTAAGTGCCGAAGAGTCGATATGTTTGCGGCTGATGCTGCACCGTGGGTTGCAAGGGTTGGGGTTTAGAAGAACTATCAGCTTGCGACTTGGCTGCCGCCTTTAAATTTTCTGAGGATGGTTTAGGGGTGACATCTTGTGCCCCACGGACACTTGGCGCGGGATAAGTCCATGGCTTGATTTTCAAGTAACCTTCCTCGAGCTGAGCTGCTAGGTTCTCTTCGCAGGGTCGCAACGTAGAGCCTTCTTGATAAAACCAAGTCCCACGGCGGACTTCATAGATGGGTCCTAACCAGTACACAGGCGCCAATTCACGTTCCTCTATGTCGACGTCGAACAAGAAGTCTTCATTAACTGGGACTCGCAAACCACCTTTGTGCCTGTCTTTCTCCTCATCGATGCTAGTATTGGCTTCATCCTCCGACGAGACAGCCCTTCTCCGTTGAGAGCTAGAGCGCATTTGCTTGTTTACCGAGCCTTTCGTTCGTTCCTCTTCAAGCTCCTCCAAGAGTTTCTGGTAGGCATTCTCGATCGACCTCGAATCGTTTTTGGAGAATGCAACGAATTTCTTCGGCGGTATCTGTTTCGACGGGTCTTCCTCTTTCCTCTTTGACTTTAGGAAGTTCGGCGTTCGTTTAGGAACCTATTTGAAATTAAAAAACAAAACAACAATCAGAAGACTGTAACCAAGGCAGAGTTGTCTAGATATACTATGTACTCACATCCACGGCATGAAACCACATGACATTCAAGGGCGGGCATTCCGGTGGGTATCTTCTAAAGCTCTGACCGTATAGCGTATTTGTGCTATGGTCCTCAGCTTTCTTCGTAGGTGGCGTCTTGCCTGTTTTAGGGGCGACATCTTTCGGAGTTGGTGTGGTGCTTCGGCTTGTCGTCCATGGGTTTATAGAATCCACAGCGCTTGCAAGATATGACTTCTCTGTCTTCTTGACCTCTTTCTTGACCTCTTTCTTCTCGGTGGGCGCATTGGCCTCTTTATTTCCTGGTGACATCTTACCGGGACGGCCGGGAGGCCATCCGAAGATTCGTCTTTTGGACAGGCGGGAGAATTGATCGTTAGGACGTCGTAGGAACGGACGGATACTTTCGAAGGTTCGTGCGGCACGAATTAACGGATTCGCCAACTTGACCTGGTGGTTAAAGAAGGTAAGAAGTAAGATGAGGAACCCCCAAACTCAAAAAGCCAAGTGGTCTCAAATATGGTCAATCTATTATTAGGATCGTTCGTCTGGCCCGCTTATGACTTTTTCAGAAAGGGCTGGCAAGTCTGGAAATCGTTGGGTTTAAGGAGGGCAAGTCGATAAGGACAGGCCAACTGCATGTATGTATAATATTTATACATAAATAAATCTCACTGTCATGGAGATGTCAAACCGTTCCTTACAGCAAGTCGGATCCCCTTAATAAACTTGTTGATGGGGTAAACAATGAAATAAGAATATTCGTATTTATCTATGTAAGAAATATGAATGTAGAGAAAAAAAAATTAATGAAATATCTACATGAGGGCACGCACGGATGTATCACATGGTAATAATGAAGTTCGAGGTTAACTTGTTCAGGTGGATGTAAATTGGACCTTGCTGTCCTTCTGTCCTCGCCAGCCTTAAAAATGGTAGACTCGGTACGGGTTACGGTTATTAGTGCGCAGGTACGGCATGATGACTGACCCCTGTCCTATGACGAGCATATGGATTAATGAGACCTAATATGTTGCATAAAAAGTGCCTGTACTATGTAACCCCGCTATGAGGCTTTCCACACTAGCCCCTAATTGTACAATTAAATCCATCCTTATCCCAGTCTGAGATCTTTATCGACTTTATCGGTGCCGATAGGATGGTGGGGCACGACTAGATGACTCTAAGGTTAGCTCAACTTTTCGCAAAGACTAAAATTTCCATTTGGTTGAAGGTTCGTTTTGCCTCGTTTTGCCTCGCTTCGCCTCTTACCTTAGGTAGATTTCGACTTGATCAATTATTGCCTAGAGGTGCCGTTTCTCTCTACGCCCTTTTTCTTTTTTTTCCCTTTCTTTTTTTCCTCTTATTCCAAGATCGACAGAAAATATCCCCCCCCCATATGTGATGAATCGTCTTCTACTCACAGCGATTGGGGCGCGAAACGAAATACCCGATTTCGACTGACCATAAAACCCCTTGCGAAAAAAAAATAAAAAATAAAAAATAAAAGATACCGCGACGCGCGCGTTGCAAATACCGTCGAAATGGCTACCGCTACAATCACCAGCTCGGTCGCGCTGGTCAAGCACCAGGTCGTCGATAAATTACCCAAGAAGTTCAAGCAGATAAAGTTTGGCATACAGTCTAACCAAGACATCGTCAACCAAGCCGTTATTGAAGTTTCCGATCGGACTATGTACGATATCGACAGGGGCAGAGAACCGACGCAAAATGGTATACTTGATAAACGTTTGGTACGTGGCTATTATTGTAAAGGTGGATATGCTGGGTATGGTTACTGATATAAATGCTTCCCAGGGAACATCGAGCAAGACTGGTACATGTCAGACATGTGGTCTTCGCCTTCAGGACTGTACCGGTCACTTCGGCCACATTCGATTACCTCTACCGGCATTTCATATCGGCTATATCAAGTTCACGATAACCATCTTGCAGAATATATGCAAAGATTGCTCGCGAGTATTATTAACAGAGCCAGAACGGCGAATGTTCCTGAAAGAGTTGAGACGGCCCTTTATCGACAATATGCGACGAAGCGCTATATGCAAGAAGATCAACACGCAATGTAGAAAAGCGAAGAACTGTCCCTACTGTGGCGCGGTGAACGGTCAGATTAGGAAAGTTGGAGCCCTCAAAATTGTCCATGACAAGTTCGTTGCATACAATAAATCGACATCGCAAAAGAAGCAACCCCCACCAAGCAAGATCGAGTTTGATAACTCCTTTCTCGAAGCCAGGAAACACGTTCACGACCTTGATAAGCATCTGAGGAAAGCTTTCGAAGACCTGAATCCTCTCAGGGTTCTAAACTTGTTTAAACAGATCAGTCCCACAGATTGCGAGTTACTCGGGCTCGATCCCTCGGAAGGACGGCCTGAGATGTTCTTATGGCAATATCTCCCTGCGCCGCCCGTGTGCATCCGACCATCCGTAGCTCAAGAGGGTGCGAGTAATGAGGATGACTTAACGACGCGTCTTGGAGACATAGTATGGGCATGTGGTCTCATACGTGCCGCGCTAGAAAAGGGCACTGCTCTACAAACCATCATGGAACAGTGGGAATATATGCAACTACAAATTGCAGTATATGTAAACAGCGACGTTCCCGGCCTGCAAAGTAGCGGAATGAAAACGACGAGGGGTGTATGTCAACGTTTGAAAGGAAAGCAGGGTCGATTCCGGGGTAATTTGTCCGGAAAGCGTGTCGACTTTTCTGGTCGAACTGTTATTTCGCCCGATCCAAATCTGGCCATTAATCAAGTTGCTGTTCCCGAACTCGTAGCCAAGAACCTGACGTACCCCGAAAGAGTCAACCGCGCAAATATTGATAAATTAAAGAAATGCGTGCTGAACGGCCCTTACGTATGGCCAGGAGCCCAGGCCATCCTCAAACAAGACGGCGACCAAGCATTCAAAGTGTCCCTAAGGTTTGCGGACAAGGAATCGGCTGCTCGAGATCTGCGTGAAGGAGACATAGTTGAACGTCACCTTGAGGATAATGACATCGTTCTTTTCAATCGACAACCGTCTCTTCACAAGCTCAGTATCATGAGCCATTTTGCCAAGGTCCGACCATGGAGGACCTTCCGCCTCAACGAATGTGTGTGCGGACCTTACAATGCCGATTTTGACGGAGACGAGATGAATCTCCATGTTCCTCAGACGGAAGAGGCTCGTGCTGAAGCTATGGAACTCATGGGTGTTAAGCACAACCTGGCCACGCCGAAAAATGGAGAGCCTATCATTGCTGCGACGCAGGATTTCATTACAGCTGCGTATCTTCTTAGCAGCAAAGATAATTTCTACGATCGCAGGACGTTTACTTATATCGTCATGCAAATGATGGATGGTGTCACTCATCTAGATCTGCCGCCTCCGGCCATCTTTGCTCCTAAGCGACTTTGGACCGGAAAGCAGATCTTTAGTATGCTCATGCGGCCAAACAAGGCGTCGCCAGTTAAGGTGAATCTTGATGCCAAGTGTAAAGAGTTCTCAGATCCAGTACCACCACAACCTGGCCATAAGCCCTTGGCACCGGACATGTGCCGGAACGATGGTTGGCTAGTTGTGAGAAACTCAGAAGTCATGTGTGGTAGGATGGACAAGTCGACAGTGGGGGCAGGCAAGAAAGATTCTATCTTCTACGTCATTCTACGAGATTTTGGTCCAGACGCAGCTGTAGCGACGATGAACCGGCTAGCCAAGCTCTGCGCACGAGTGCTGACGATTCGCGGCTTTTCAATTGGTATCGGTGATGTTTACCCTACGGCAACTCTTACTGAACAGAAGCAAGCGCTTGTAGAGGAGGCCTATAAGCAGTCAGATGTTTTCATCGAACAATTTAATGCGAATAAACTGCCGAAAGCGGCCGGTTGTACTATGGAAGAAACACTGGAAAACAAGATTTCTGGTACCCTCAGCAAAGTTCGACAAGCCGCGGGAGACTATTGTATCAAGACGCTTAGTAAAAATAATGCGCCTTGGATTATGGCTTCCTCTGGGTCTAAAGGCTCAGTTATTAATGTCGCTCAGATGATTGCTGTCGTCGGGCAGCAAATTATTGGAGGAAAACGTGTTGCTGATGGTTTTCAAGATCGAACCCTTCCGCACTTCCATAAAAACACCCGCCAAGCGCCCGCAAAGGGCTTCGTTCGAAACAGCTTTTACACCGGACTGGTCCCGACTGAGTTCTTGTTCCACGCTATTTCCGGAAGAGAAGGTCTAGTCGATACAGCCGTCAAAACTGCAGAAACTGGGTATATGTCTCGTCGTTTAATGAAGTCGCTGGAAGATCTCTCAACTCAATATGATGATACTGTCAGAACCTCGGGTGGAGGTGTGGTACAATTCCAGTTTGGTGCGGACAAGCTCGATCCCGTCGACATGGAAGGTAAAGCTGTACCCGTCAACTTCTCTCGAACTTGGTCCCACGCCGAAAATCTCACTTGGAAAAACTCTGACAAAGCGCTATTACCCTTCGAGATTCTAGAGCTTTGCGAATCTATTCTACAAAAGGAACGCGAACGCTATCGAAGACGGGGGTTATTACACGGAGAACCCCTTGGATACAGGGATGATAGCGACTATGCTATTGATGAGCACGAGAGCGCCCGAAGGTTTCTCGATACTGTGTACGGCCACATGGAAGGGTTGGCGAAGAAGTTGGCCAATTTCCGAGCTGCTTCAGGCCTCGAGCCTATGCTTACGAGGCCTAGTGGTTCGCTAGCGGCAATTAATAGAAAAGAAAAAGGGGCAGTTCCAAGACTCGCGTCAGAGAGGGTTGCAAAGGTTTCTGAGCGCACGGTTAGGAAATTCATCGCATTATGTCTCGAGAAATATTCCAAAGCCAGGGTTGAGCCTGGCCACGCAGTCGGAGCCGTGGGTGCTCAGTCGATTGGTGAGCCAGGAACGCAGATGACCCTAAAAACTTTCCATTTTGCTGGTGTTGCCGGAATGAGTATTACGCAAGGTGTACCGCGTATCAAAGAAATCATCAACGCTTCGAAATTGATCAGCACGCCAGTTATCACTTGCCCCCTACAAAACAACAGACAAATCGAAGTAGCACACCTTGTGAGAGCGAGGGTTGAGAAGACGTATATCGAAGATATCCTTCGGTACGTCGACGACGAATGGGGACCTCACAGAACATTCATTACTCTTCATATTAATACCGAGACCCTGGAAGGATTGCATCTTGGCATTGGCCTCAAGGATATTAAAATGGCGATCGTTAAACAAAAGAAACTGAAGATACTGGACTCGGATATAGAGATATTCGAGCAAGATGCCACCATTGAGGTAACTGTCAGGCCCCCGGATGCGGATTCTTTAGCCAGACGCGCACCTAAAAGTAAGGCGGCAATTGCAGAGGCGGCAGCAGACTTGCTCGTTCGGGTAAGCCACCTGAAGCGTGTATTGCCGTCAGTTCCAATCTCGGGATATCCAGATGCAACTCGTGCAATCATCCAGACCGAAGAGGACAAGAAAGATAACACGATTAACTATTACACTGTACTCGTCGAGGGTTATGGTCTCCGACAGTGCATGAATACGGAAGGTGTTGTTGGTACCAAGGTTCGCACGAATAGTATTCTGGAATGCCGCGACGTTCTTGGCATCGAAGCTGCACGAACCACCATCGCCGCAGAAATCTCGAGCGTCATGGGCGATATGGACATCGATCCGCGACACATGGAGCTATTAGCCGACGTCATGACTTACAAGGGCGAAATTCTCGGCATTACTCGATTCGGTCTATCAAAGATGCGAGACAGCGTATTACAACTTGCGTCCTTCGAGAAGACTGCGGATCACCTGTTCGACGCCGCGTCTGGAATGAAAGCAGATCGCATCGAGGGCGTAAGTGAGAAAATCATCATGGGACAGACCATGTCGGTTGGCACAGGCGCGTTCCAAATGGTGCGATACCTGGGCCACAGAGACGAGCACTTCAAACAGTTACCAACTGTCTTCGAAGACGTGTGGACGGAGGAGCAGGACTTGTACCGCAAAGTGAGGAAGCGGACCAAGATATAACAGAATGTATCTCCCGGGAAAGATTATTCCAGTTAGGGCGATGATATGATTTGGTTGCTTCAAAATAAGTTTCAGTGGCTGTAAAACATTTCTGGCGGTTGCTTCTACGCATCGAGTTGCTGTCGTCTGTTTATTTTTTGCAACGAGCTATTATTGAGGTGGCGATAGCATAATGTTTGTAGTGTACACTTTTTAGGTTAGGTACCTGTTTTACCTAAATGAAGTCGTCGAAGATGCATCGATATAGGAGCACTAGGTACCTTTGCCTGCGCGATAATCAATCTTCTTGCATGACTCAATACATGCCTTGTGTCTAAGTATCATCTATTAAGGGATAAGAAATACCTCAAGTTGTAGGGTGCCGATTCTACTAAAATTGCCGTTTGCCTCTATCTTCTCGGTGGTAAGTGTCAGAATACGACGCTATTGTGATTTTATTCCGTAGGGCTGGAAAGACGCACGTGGGTTTCACGTTATATTTAAACGAACAGCTCGTTGCTAGCATATGTAAAAGCGAGCGTCATACGATCTATTTCCTTAAATATCTTCGGATGTAACGTTGTTTTCGGCTATGAATATGCTATATCCTGTGGGTAGCTCGTAAGGAGGTTCTTATACAATACAATACACTTTTGTTGAGCGTCCGATTCCATAAACCTTGTACTTATTAGACACAACCCGGAAAAGTTTGGATTATATTGCCGATATTTTTTGAATCTTAGGTATCCCTAGTACGAGGCTAGTAATGTTTATGTGTCTTGACAGCACTCCTATTTTGACCCCTATTCAACCTTAACTATGTGAAGCTTAAAACTTGAAACGGATTTAGCAACCTTAAATAGAAGATCTTCAGGTACGAAGAGCACCGGTATGATGCCATTACGGACCTATAAATATTACTCTGCATTATACCAGTTTCCAAGAAATATCTCTATCAGGTACCTAGTCAAGATAAGATATATTTACGGTCTTCATTAAAGCTGCTCGGAATTGAGATTTGTATTCTGTATCCACCTTGGGTGTTTATGTCCGTTAACCTTGATGCTTTTGCCATGTGATAGAACCTCAGTTGATCCAAAGTGTGGCTTCTGAAACGAGCCGCTCGGAGGGCCCCCCTTAAACTAACAGCTTCGGCTCCTCAACCTTCCCATCCTCGAGATCAGAGCACACAGCAATCTACCAACCTTACGCGGACACCCACTGCTTTCCCACCAAACCTCAGCAACCTTACTATACCTTTAAAAGCTTGGAAAGAAAAAATGTTAAAAAAACTTATTTCTATATAATATCGAATGATTAAATTTCGTGATAGTATATTTTGGTAAACAATCTAGCCTGTGTTGTATGTTTTATCTTGAAACATTCGACGAAATTCACTCTCCACCAAAAAGTTTAACTTTTTGTTAGAAGAGAAGATATTTTCTTCAGCCTTACTACGGGTTTATCCATCGACTAAGGCCAAGACTCAAACTATCATCGTAAACAGATAATTCTCGTAAAGCTCTATCAGCACTGAAAGAAATATTTCAGATTTTTACCATTTTGTTTGACCCTTTCATGGCCTTACAAAACAAAGTTGACATGTTTTGGTTGGAAAGCAGTGGGTGTCCGCATAAGATTGGTAGGTTATTGCATGTGCCTGGTGCCTGGTGTCAAGTGCCAAAATATGCTTCTTTCTTGTATCACATATCAGTCTAGATGGTGGCAAGCTAAACAGCCGAGCTTTCATATAACGGACATCCGTGGTTGAAAATGGTGCTTCTGAGCCGCCATATATCTAAAGCCCAGCATTACTACGTTAGACCTTGCACCATTGTGAAAGGATATTTGTTTTTACATATAGCCTGAAGTCCATCCTCATACGTCAGTATCACTCCCGTGAGTTCGCAAGTATGAACTATTCGGAAGTTGAATGGCAGGGAGGGTACGCAATGGACCTCTATATATATCGAGAATTCATTGATAGGTATCGCCATCGAGTTGGCATTAAAAGGGAGGACGGGGGACCGTATCCAACACATTTGCTCTTCAAGCAGTTCCATCTTGGTTATCTTAAATTCTTTCTCATACTTGCAATCCAAGCTTCTTATTGTGAAATCTCGCGCCCTGTCAACACCGAGTTCTCTTCACAATAAAGGCAATGAATAGGGGATACATTCCCTTACTGATAGCGTTGGCTCAGACTACAGGGTCGTTGGCGAAGACGGTGACATACGACTGGAACGTGACCTGGGTATTTGCTAGCCCAGATGGATTTGGAAGACCAGTCATAGGGATAAACGACGCCTGGCCTTGCCCGACGATCGAGGCAGATGTTGGCGATTTCGTTAAGATCAACTTGAATAACAAATTGGGGAATGAGACTACTGGCCTCCATTTCCATGGTATCAATCAAATAAATTCGAACTTCATGGACGGCGCCGTCGGTACGAACCAGTGTCCACTGCCCCCAGATCATGCTGTCGTATACAAGTTCTATGTAAGCAGTCTTGAAGGATCATGTATCATTACAAGGGAATAATAACATACTAATGAGAAGTATGAATAGGCAGATGCCCCCGGTACATATTGGTGTAAGTAGATCGGTTTGATGATGACGACCAAGTCACACTCATTATTGATTATAACATAATAGATCATTCCCATAGCATGGGGCAGTATCCAGATGGCTTTCGTGGTCCGCTCATTATTCACGATACTGATGATCCTTATAAGGATGATTACGACGAAGAAGTTATACTTACCCTTTCTGACTGGTGAGATTTGGCTGACTCATTCGAAAAAGGCTTCTTCGTGTTCTCACATGTCAAATAATATAGGTACCGGGATCAGACGCCAACACTAATGGAGGTAATGATAAATCCAGATAATACCCAATTCGCACCGCCGCTTCCAAATAGTACGCTCGTCAACGATGGCGGTAATACTCACATCTCTGTCAAGGCTGGAAAGACTTACCGTTTCCGGATAATTAACTGGTCTGCAATGTTCGCTACATTCATCCAGTTTGACTCCTTGGACATGGATGTAATTTCGATGGACGCATCATACGTGGAAAGGCAGTCCGCGAAACAACTAAGAGTATCTGCGGCACAGCGGTTCGACGCTTTAATAACCATACCTGAAGATGCCGATCGGAACTTTCCGTACTTAGTTGCGTTGGACATTAATCAAGACTATACAGATAAGGATCCGCCGAGACCGGTCGTGTACCTGTTAAACGTCACGGGGATGTTGGTCACAGACTCCGACAAAGACACGAGCGGGACTCTGACGGTCGACAAGTTCGAGCCTTTCGACGATTCGACTTTCCAGCCTCACGATAGCAAGGAGGTGTATGATCCGGTCGACAAGCAGCTGGTGCTAAATTTCGACTACTGCTTCGACATCAACAACTACCCTAGAGCGTGCTTCAACAACTCGACTTACATCGCGCAGAAGGTGCCCGCGCTGTACACCGCGGCCTCCCTGGGGGAAAACAACACGGAGACGGCCGCGTACGGCCCCGTGGGCGCGTTCGTCGTCGAGTACGACGAGATCCTCGAGATCGTGGTGAATAACAACAACGACGCGATCCACCCGTTCCACATGCACGGGCACCAGTTCCAGGTGCTCGCGCGGCCGGCGAGCCAGGCGGGGAACTGGAGCGCGGACGCGGTATCCATCAACTCGGTGCCGCCGCGGCGGGACACGGTGGCCGTGAACCCCAAGTCGTACGCGGTCTTCCGCATCAAGGCCGACAACCCCGGGGTGTTCCTGTTCCACTGCCACGTCGAGTGGCACGTCGAGATGGGGCTGAGCATCACGCTTATCGAGGCCCCCGACAAGCTGCGCGACTACTCGATCCCGCAGGACCACCTCGACGCGTGCGACGCCATGGGCATCCCCACCACGGGGAACGCCGCGGGGAACGAGGACTGGGCGGATACGAACGGCTTTGTTACCGTCCCGCCTACTACTTATACCGGGTAAGTTCCGCGAAAAGCTTAGATACCTACGTTAGGTACGCTTCTCTGGAGATGTGGAGTGCTAATGGCCTTTGCTGCGCAGTTCCCTGTATACGGAGTCCAGTTGAAAAGCGAGATTTGAGGCAGAGCTATGTCATGTCATGTGTTGGAGGGAGTAGAAATTGTTGCAAACAAATTGGTGTCTGGAATTTGGTATTGTGAATATCTGAGTATATTGTTAGTGATTGTATTCTGTTTTGCCGGGACATAAGACAATTACAAGTACAGATTTCCTGTTCGTGGAATGTATAGGGATCATATTGATATCTAGTTCGAAAAGTTAGTATATTCAGGACGTGGAGCTTAAAGCGTCCAAGTCCATTTCAAAGCATCGTATGCTATTATAGGGTACCTAGTAGGTAAGAAGAGCTCACGTCGATCCCAAATCAACCGTCTCACTGCTATCATATGCTGCTTCGAATTGCTTTTCTTCTATGAGCTGATGGTCATCTATTTTGAGCTTACACCGGAACTGCGGAACAAGGAGGCGTATATACAGATCCCGGACACACCACCTCCACCACGCTTACCTTGGGCACCTAAGCGTAGGTATCTAACGGCTACCAAGGCACCCTTCACTACTGCAGGCCACCCCTGACGTCGGTAGCTTACCTAGCTACATCCCCAGTCTCGCTTGGTGGCCCAAGAGATCAGACCCCGTTGTCCAAGGCACACCCAGTGTTTCCGGCGCCTAACAACGGGGTGCGTTTGTAATCGTATCTGGGAGGCGAAATTTGCCATTGGCTGAGGCTAGGCTGTCGTCAGCCCTACGACTGGTTTCAGCTCCATGCCCGCGGGAAGGATCTTAGCTTGGCGGAGCGTACGTCGTCGGGGAGGGTGTGGAGGTGCGGTCTGGGTTTTCTTTGCGTTGCAGTTACACACGAGCTGTCCACCTACCGTATTATCTCAGCTTACCTTAGGTTTGGTACCCTTATGGCTGAGTTTCGTCAGCATTTTATTTCGTTTTATCCTTTCGCCCCTCTCTGGCGTGGGATATGATAAGACCAGAGTAATGCACGATTCGGCACTGGGAAAGGAAAAAGGGGGGGGAAGGAGAGGGGGAGGGGTGTGTGTTCGGGTAGGACTTCGCGGAAATAAAAGCGCTTTCGATTCATCTTCTGCCAAACCATCGTCCAAACTGGGGTTCCCTTGATCCGAGTCCGAGACGGGCATAATAGAAGGTGGCGAGGGGAAAACGAGATGGGTAAGGGAGGGAACGCCATCTAGAAGGCCGATACGAGGTTAGATTAGGTCTGCGTAATACCTAACCCTGCGCGCATCAGCAACGATCACTAACGATCGAGGAGGGCATTGGTATGTATGACTGGAATTTGAAAAGACTACCTAACCTAAGATACCTAACGTAACCTATAGCGTTTCGTTTGCAAACCGTAGGATCATGCCATAAGTGAATCGTGCCGTCAGGATACGTGTTGGATCCGATTAAGATCGGATGTTTACCCAGTTTATCTTTTGGCTTACCGGCGATACAGTTATGCCCCCTGAAAAAAAAGGGACCACTCATAAATCTGATGCCAACACATTAAACACCGAGATCTTATAATCAATTTATATCTTGCTAGGTTGGCTTTATACTATTTACGATAGGATGAACCACCCAGTACTATACAGTGTTTCTTAGGGAACGATCGACGATGATCTTTATCAACTTAGAAGAACGAATACCAGACGGTATCATGGTAGCGGAAGTCTTACCAACTTCTTAATATCAAGTAAATTTGATCGTAACGAAACCAATAGCAAGAATTCCGGGTTGAGCTACCAAAGAAGATAATGGGTTAGGGGATCTACGCCCACGAGCTATTCTATACAAGCAAGTGAAGAATCCGTGATTTGTTCGGGGTATATTTAGCATAGCCGGTCGCGTGGCTTGTATGTACGAAGATCGAGTTCGTCGGCCCGTTTCAGGAATGTGAAAAGGAAACAGGAAACAGGCCTAGCGGGTTACAGGCCTTCCAAGTACGAAAACTATAGAGAAAGCACTGGGCTAATCATACCAGTGTCCAGCTTGTGGCTGTATTACCGTAGCAGACCTGAATGATACAGCTCTGTTAGGCAATCGACGTGCATGATAAATTTGGGCTCAGCGCATCTGGGCTTGGGATTCTGCACGATAACAGAACCGGAGGTCCGATAGTCAGCAGCATTGGAAGTGGTGGGTATTTTTGGCCCAGGCCGATGCTAACAAGCTTCCCATCTTCCAATCATCGTCGCCGCGTCCCATTCATGAGCCACTCGAGCATTGGAAGAACAAGTTCAGGAGAAGGTTCGCCTTCGGATGAATGGAATTAGGTTGACGATGTTGGTAGGTAGTCGGTCTCGACGACGATTATCTACCTAAGGTAAGCTGACAGATATCTTTTTCTTTCTTTTTTCTCTCTCTCGATAACGGGCGAGGTTGGGACGCCGAAACTGAATCCTTAAGGCGCGTGAAAGATGTCTACCTCCCAGGTAAATTACATGTAAATTACCTAGACCTTTGAAGTCCGGACTTCACACGCGCGCCACACACAACGCGCTTCTAGGGTATGATCTTTCAAAGACGGAGAAAGGGAGATAGGCACGATAAATGGGATCGTGTTTTACGAGGGTTAGAATCTTGAAAAGGTGACTACAGTGATGATTACGGGGTGTGGCAGGATGATTGATAAATTGGAGAGAAATAATAATAATGATAATGATAACAATAACAATGATAATAATAATAACTATAATATCTAGCTGGAAGTCTTACAGAGGAATGATGTACAAGGTATTCTTTTGACAGGTCGCAGGTCAACCCAATGTCATCCCTGCCCATCAGCCCAACCTCTAACCCGAAATGGTAAAAAAAACTGATTAATTTCTAATTAATCTTCAAAATATTAAAGTTTAGTGATTAATATGTGCTGTAATTATAGCGTATATAGTAGTTATTACGTACTGTAATTTTAACATGTTTAGCGAGTATTACAGCACGTTTCCAGCGATTAAGAGCCTTAGAGCTCACCCCAATGTTGAAACCTTGGCAGCCCCGATCGTTACCCAATTGGGTTAGAGGTTGGGCTGATGGGCAAGGATGACATTGGGTTGACCTGTAGACTCTTCTTTTGATATCCTATCCCACGTGGCGTCAGGTACATGTATGTATGGTTCCATATAATGTATACAGAATATATACAATGCATATTTTTATACTTACATGAGACGGAAGAATGAGAAAGCTTCATGTTTATACGAACGCGTCGCACATAATTAAGTGATAAGTGGCCGGGTGCAAGGGAAGCCATGGAGGTAATACGCTCTAGATTTTATGCCAGATGGAACCTTTGAGAGCTAGCGATAAGTTTAAATGAGATGAGATCTACTATGTCTAGGTACGATATTAATAAGTCAAGTGGAAATTGTGAAGATGAACTAAATAAATAATTTGTATAAGTGATTTTTACGTACCTAGGTACGATAACCCGCTATTGATATGCAAATAACAGGAAGCGATATTCTGTAGGTAGGTACATAAGTACCTTGAATATTGTCAAAGTAAAAGGTTGTGGCTTGGATTTTATTTTATTCATTATCATCATCATCATCCATCTTCTTCCCATACAACCTCGATCTCACGAAAAATGCAACCAACGTCAAAAAAATTCTTTCTAGCCCTCGCGGACAACGCTAGGTCTAGAATTAAAAAGCCTGACATTCTCCATTAACATGCTGGTATCCTTGCATTATTGCCATAAGCAGTAAAGCTCAGCCCCTGGGCGCCGGCATGCGGCTGCAAGTCTCCGTTTGAGTAAAAGTATGGGCAATGGATATCGACAGACATTCGACAGACATTCGATGAGGCAGTCGGCTGAAGAGACTTCTATGTACATGCACATGCCAGAGCACCTTGAGGACTTCTTTGGGGGTCCCATTTTAACCACTCTGTTGATGCAATCCCGAGACAGTGGCGAGAGACATTACACACATTATTTACACCTTACCGTCACGAGACATGGATATCCCATATCATAAGTCTCGGTCGTACTCGGTACCTGTCCATCAGTTGCCTAATTTCCCAGCAGTCGTATATCCACTGGCCCTTAGGCACACGGATGGGATGAACTAGGAAACTAATATCGAGCTAAACTTCATCAAGGAGGGTCTTGATGCGGCTCTTCTATACATGTCTGTTCTCTTGATGCGATGCTAGTCGACACAGGTTGTGTTAATAGCACCGCACCTTGACGAGGAAATAGTTCAGAGAGACACGATAGTTAAAACCAAGATATAATTACTGGTACCTAACCCGCTGTCTGTTTGCAAGAACTGCCGATTTCAACCATTTATCACCATCAATTATGCTCATATCAACCAGTTGTGGCGTCCGAACTATGGCCCATTCTTCGTTACTGAGACATGGTGATCTCCCTACGATGGGACTGGGTTTCACTTCGCCCTATGATAATCTTCCGTTTTTAATTTTCATTTCTTATTTTCGTGGCGGAACTTACTGAATACGGCTGATATACCATAGTTTTCCTCATTCTCTTCCGTCCTGACATGCATCTAAAGCTTACTAGTCCTGCACTCTTCGGCGGACATCCCCAACGGTCAACATCAAGCGACCCACCGCCTGGTGCCCAAGTAAGATTAACAGCAAAATTCATTGGCAAAGCGGGAGAAAAAGTATACACAAAGCCTTCCCGCCTATAGTTTCGAACAAGCTGGCACTATACCTATTGTGTCAGGTTCTTTAGGACGACCTTTTCTAGTACAGCGCGCATGAGGGAGCCTCAAAGTTAGTCCAGGCACAGTGAATCGTATCTCCTCCCGAGCAATACGGATCCGCAGTGAGGTTACCTAGCGCATGCAGGAGCTAGGAGTTCGAAATAATACTGTCGGTTCTGGAACCATTTAACCCAAAAGAGAGGTCGAGACTGGCGCGCTTTTGCCTCCTATCGCGCGATCCGTATATACGGACAAGACATGGAATATCCATCTAAGCTGGGTAGCAGCCCTCATCCTATTGCTACCTCCCAAAATGGAAATATAATGCTTATCTCCCATGAACCTTCGGTCACCGAGAAATCCAATGACGCCGGACTGCTTGAAGGTACTATAAGAAGACCAGGGTGTGAGTCCACAGTTTCCTTCTGCACGCCCCCCTCCTAGCCCTCTCAGTCGTAACACCTGGGGTACTATGGTTGATAATCACACATGGGCCTAGGCACTACCCTGGTATTATATTTAGTTCAGGCTGGCTTTATCCAAATTGTGTTGTGCTGATCTGATATATATAAGTGAAAGACACCTCGACCGCCGCCCTCGGCTTGGAAACTTTAACCTACCAAACAGTACCAGCCTCATCCATCACAGACACGATGGCGGACCAGATGGCTTTTCTACTCTTCGGGGACCAGTCCCTCGACACACATGGCTTCTTAGCCGAGTTTTATAGACGAGGGAACCCGAGTATTCTATCGAAAGAATTTCTCCGGTTAGCCGGTGATGCTTTGAGGGACGAGGTGGACCGTCTACCTCGGGAGGGCCGTCGACGAATTCCCGTTTTCAGGACACTGCAACAGCTCAATGAGAGATACCGCCAACAGAGGTTGAAGTTCCCCGGAATAGACTCTGCCTTATTATGTATAGCCCAACTGGCGCACTACATCGAGTATGGTCTATAGCGAGTCCTGGTTCGTTACGAATCTTAACTAACATCGTTGATAGCCGATCTGAAAAGGAGCACGAAGATGTAACCGACCATAAAAATACCAAACTCTCCGGCCTTTGCACGGGGCTGTTTGCGGCAACGGCCATTGCGTCGAGCTATTCGCTCTCGACCCTCATCCCAATCGCCGTTCAAGTCGTCCTATTAGCCTTTAGGACAGGATCTCACGTGGCGTCATTAGCAGATAGGCTCAGTCCTCCGAAAGAAGAGTCGGAAAGCTGGACGTATGTGCTGCCTGCCGCAAAAGAAGCGGAGGCAAAGCCCATTCTTGCAGAGTTTCACAGATCAGAGGTAAGATTATTCTCGATGTCCACTTTTCCCCTATTGAATGAATCTAATCTAATCTCGTATTCAGGGAATTTCTCAAGCCTCGCAAGCTTACGTGAGCGCTGTATCTGCGAATAACATCGCGATATCTGGTCCGCCAGCAACTTTGAGATCTTTATTCAATAAAGACCTTTTCGAATCGAGGCCCACAGCTATACCTGTTTATGGACCATACCATGCGAAACATTTGCATGGTTCAGTAGATATTAAAGAGATGCTTCGACTTGATGATGAGGCTGTCACCACAGCACTCGCAGGATCAAAGCCCCGAAGTGTTGTAATGTCTACCGTCACTGGGGCGCCCTTCCCCGAGACAGACACCAAGTCTCTTATCATAGCCGTGGTTCACGAAATATTAAATGAACCCTTATTATTCCACAAAGCTTTGAGCGGAAACGCCAACGAGGCCCGGGGGTTTAAGGGGTCCCGGATTTTAGTGATTCCATATGGCCCGACTCAGGCTGCGAGCACGTTAGCCACTGTTCTGAAGTCGCAGACGAAAGCGGAGGTCGTACTTCGACCGGCTCCTCAAGTTTCTCGAGAGAAGGCGGTGACTTCGATCGGAAATCACGGATCTACGGGAAACTGTAAGCTGGCTATTGTTGGTATGGCCGGTCGCTTCCCGGATTCGGCCAGTGTTGAAGCTCTCTGGGATCTCCTCGAGAAGGGTATAGATGCGCATCGTGTCGTTCCAGCTGACCGGTTCCCGGTTGAGACACATTACGACCCTACTGGGAAAGCGATAAATACTAGTCACACACCTTACGGTAACTGGATTGAGCAACCGGGGTTATTTGACCCGCGTTTCTTCAACATGTCACCGCGAGAGGCTTTGCAAACTGACCCAATGCAGCGCCTAGCCTTAACAACTGCTTACGAGGCTCTCGAGATGTCCGGCTACGTACCGAACCGGACGCCGTCCACAAGGCTAGACCGCATTGGCACTTTCTATGGTCAAACGTCAGATGACTGGCGTGAGATCAATGCGGCTCAAGAGGTGGACACATATTACATTACTGGTGGCGTGCGTGCTTTTGGTCCTGGTAGGATCAATTATCACTTCGGATTTAGTGGTCCTAGTTTGAACATTGATACCGCTTGTTCATCTAGTGCTGCTGCACTTCAGGTTGCCTGCACTTCTTTAAGAGCAAAGGAATGTGATACAGCCATCGTCGGTGGTCTTTCTTGCATGACCAACTCGGACATTTTTAGCGGTCTGAGTCGGGGTCAGTTTTTGAGCAAGGAGCACAATTGCAATACCTTCGACAATGATGCCGATGGTTATTGCAGAGCTGATGGCTGCGCTTCCGTAATTGTGAAGCGACTTGATGATGCCTTGGCAGATAAAGACAACATCCTCGCCGTTATTTTGGGGACGCAAACCAACCATAGCGCCGACGCTATCTCGATCACCCACCCCCATGGCCCGACACAATCCATTTTATCATCAGCTATCCTGGATGACGCTGGTGTGGATCCCCTTGATGTTGACTACGTCGAAATGCATGGTACAGGAACTCAGGCTGGCGATGGCACAGAAATGGTTTCCGTTACGGATGTTTTCGCTCCTGCTAATCGGCATAGACCTGCAGACAGGCCTCTATACCTTGGTGCGGTGAAAGCGAACGTCGGTCACGGCGAAGCTGCCTCTGGTGTTACTGCTTTGATCAAGGTTTTGATGATGCTGAAGAAAAATGCGATCCCGCCTCACATCGGGATTAAAAAGGAGATCAATAAGACCTTCCCTACCGACCTTGGCGAGCGCGGTGTTAACATCGCTTTCCACAAGACACCATTCGTAAGGAGAGATGGAAAACCTCGACGTGTTTTCGTCAACAATTTCAGCGCGGCTGGTGGAAACACCGGTCTGCTGCTAGAGGATGGTCCTCGCTACAAGACGGCTACTGTAGATCCCCGCAGCCATCATGTTATCACTGTCACTGCTAAGTCTAAGGCTGCTATGATCCGGAACGCCGAAAACCTAGTTCAATGGATGGAGGAGAATCCTTCCACTTCCGTCTCGCATGTAGCTTACACTACGACTGCTCGCAGGATTCAGCATTACTGGCGCATGAATGTGACTGCTACCAGCTTGATCGAGGCCCAAGAAGCGATTAAAGAACGCCTCAAGTATAACTTTGTTCCTGTTTCTCCTGAGCAACCGAAGGTAGCATTCCTATTTACCGGCCAAGGTTCACACTATGCTGGTCTTGGAAGAGATCTCTACACACACTACTCCGTCTTCCGCCGAGCTATCAATGAGTACGACCACCTAGCTCGTGTTCATGGCTTCCCTTCATTCCTCTCTCTTATTGACGGCAGCGAGCCCGAGGTTCAAAAGCTCTCTCCCGTTGTTGTACAACTCGGACTAGCTTCCTTCGAGATGGCTCTGGCGCAGCTTTGGACTTCTTGGGACATTCATCCCAGCGCCGTCCTAGGCCACAGTCTGGGAGAGTATGCCGCCCTCCACGTCGCAGGTGTCCTGTCCGCTAGCGACGCCATCTACCTTGTCGGTGCCCGTGCTCAGCTCCTCGTTGAGAAATGCACTGCAGGAACCCATGCGATGTTGGCTGTTCAAGGTTCGGTCGAGAATGTCACGGATACTCTTGGCGACCGCGCATCATCGACTAACATTGCCTGCATCAACGGCCCCCGGGAAACCGTCCTTAGTGGTGCATCTACCGAAATTGCCGAAATCGCTGAACAGCTTGGTGGTGCTGGGTTCAAGTGCACTCAGCTCAAGGTACCCTTCGCCTTCCACTCCGCTCAGGTTGAGCCCATCCTCGATGACTTCGAGAAGCTGGCTCGCTCAGTTCGTTTCGAGGAGCCCAAGATCCCGGTGATTTCTCCTCTACATGGAAAGCTGTTAGAGGGTGAACCTATCAACCCAGCTTATCTGCGCGATCATGCTCGAGAGGCTGTTAACTTCCTCGGCGGCCTCGTTTCCGCTCAGCAATCTGGTGTTATCGACGAGAAGACTGTTTGGCTTGAGGTCGGCCCTCACCCCGTGTGTGCTAACATGGTTAAGGCTGCATTTGGTGCTACTACGATTGCTGTGCCGTCGTTACGTCGCAACGAGGGTACATACAAGACCCTCAGCTCAACGCTATGCACACTGCATTCAGCCGGCTTGAACATTGATTGGAATGAATACCATAGGGATTTCGACGCGTCAGTGCGTTTAATGGACCTCCCGGCGTATTCATTCGACCTGAAGAATTACTGGCTTCAGTACACTGGCGATTGGTCACTTACTAAAAACCGAGGTGCCTTGGCTGCTCCCAAGGCCATTGAGCCGAGCAAGCCTAAGGTATCGACAACTACAGTCCAGAAGGTCACTAAAGAGGAAATCAACGGTGACATTGTCATTCTTGAGACGGAGTCTGATTTGACAGAGAAGAACATGCGAAAAATCTGCGAGGGTCATCGGGTGAATGGCACTACGCTTACTCCCAGCACGCTATACGGCGATATGGCCTTGACTATATGCGAGTACGGCTACAAGCTTATACGACCCGACGCCAAGGATCTTGGTATGAATGTCGCCAATATGGAAGTACCCAAGACTCTCATCTTCAACCCGAAGGCGGAAAGCCAAATCCTCCGCATGCATGTAAAGATCAATGTGGCCGAGAATGTAGCTGACATTTCCTTCACAACTGGTGAAGGTGCTCAGAAGGCTGAGCATGCTTTCTGCAAAGTCTTCTTTGGTGATTGCCAACAGTGGCTGGATGAGTTCGAGCGCGTTAGTTACTTGATCAAGGCGCGCATTGATGCACTCAAGGCCGCCGAAGTGCGCGGTGAGGCTTCAAAGGTCGGCCGGGGTATTGCTTATAAGCTATTCTCAGCTCTGGTTGACTATGACCCGCAATACCGAGGCATGGAATCCGTCATCTTGGACAGCGAGACTTGCGAGGCGACTGCTAAGGTCGTTTTTCAGGCTGGACCTGAATTTGGTACTTTCCACACCGCACCGTACTGGATTGATTCTGTTTGCCATATTTCTGGCTTCATCGTCAACGGTACCGACGCTGTTGACTCCCGTGAGCAGGTCTATATTTCGCATGGTTGGGGCAGTATCAGGTTTGCTGAGCGCCTTGACGGTTCTAAGACTTACCAAAGTTACATCCGCATGCAAAATGTCAAGGGCACTAAGATGATGGCTGGTGATGCTTACATATTCGATGGCGACAAGCTCATCGGTATTGGTGGTGACATCCGTTTCCAGGCTATCCCGCGCAAGGTTCTCAATCTTGTCTTGCCTCCTCAAGGTGCTGCCGCCGCCGCTTCTGCTCGCGCTGCTCCCGCCGCTAAGGCTGCTCCCACCAAAGCCCCGGTCAAGGAGAAGAAGCAGGTCACGACTTCTAACTTGCCAGCAGTGAACAAGAGGCTTTCACAGACCTCTGTTACCGCTCAGGTAATGGAGATTGTTTCCAAGGAGACAGGTGTCAGCCACGATGAACTGGCGGACAATATCGCTTTCTCTGACCTCGGTGTTGACTCGTTGATGGGCCTCACTATTAGTGGCCGCCTCCGTGAAGAGCTTGAATTGAACATCGACTCCCACGCCTTTAACGACCACAGCACAATTGGTGCATTCAAGAAGTTCCTGGCTCAATTTGAATCTGTTACTACGACCGTCGTTTCCGAGTCAAGTGGCTCAAGCGGTACCTCCGATAGCGACGATGAAATCGAATCAGACTCTGAGGTTACTACCCCCGGTGAGAGTGACAAGGGTTCAGTAAAGGGTGAACCTGCGGCAGCTCGCTCTAGTGGAAATAACGAGCTTCAGCAAATCGTGCGAGAGACCATCTGCGCCGAGATGGGTGTCGAGGTCGAGGAGATCATTGCTGCCCCTGATTTGGCAGCTCTTGGTATGGACTCTCTTATGAGTTTATCCATCTTAGGTATACTTCGCGAGAAGACCGGTCTCAATATCCCTGCCGACCTACTAGGCCACAACCCTTCTCTAAAGGATATCGAGCGAACTCTAGGAATTGAGGATAAGCCCAAGCGTGTTGCATCTGCTTCGAAACCCGCCGCTCCCAAGCCTGCTAAGGCTAAGACTGAATCCAAGGCTGCTACTAAGACCGAGACTGTCGTTACTAAATCTGCATTAGCCAATGATCCTTACCCTCACCGAAAGGCCACATCTGTGCTGCTACAAGGTAACCATCGCACTGCCACCAGGCAGCTCTTCATGATTCCGGATGGAAGTGGTAGCGCCACGTCCTACACAGAGATCTCGGATCTCGGCCAAGATGTCGCTGTCTGGGGTATGTTCTCGCCGTTTATGAAGACTCCTGAGGAGTACAAGTGTGGAGTTTACGGAATGGCGACCAAGTTCATCGAGGAGATGAAGCGTCGTCAGCCACAGGGACCTTACGCCGTCTCTGGTTGGTCCGCCGGTGGTGTTATTGCTTACGAAATTGTAAACCAATTAACAAAGGCTGGCGATGAAGTATCTCACTTACTCATCATTGACGCGCCTTGCCCAATTACCATTGAGCCTCTACCAGCTGGCCTTCATGCTTGGTTCGCCGAAATTGGTCTCCTCGGTGAGGGTGACGGAGCTGAAGCAAAGAAGATTCCATCTTGGCTCCTACCTCATTTCGCTGCCTCCGTTACCGCCCTGTCCAACTACACCGCCGAGCCGATCCCTAAGGAGAAGTGCCCTAAGGTGACGACAATCTGGTGTGAAGATGGCGTTTGTAAGCTCCCAACGGACCCGCGCCCAGACCCTTACCCCACCGGTCATGCTCTCTTCCTCCTTGACAACCGAACAGACTTCGGTCCTAACCGTTGGGATGAATATCTCGACGCTGAGAAGATGACATTCCACCACATGCCCGGCAACCACTTCTCGATGATGCACGGCGATCTTGCGAAGCAGCTCGGCGGTTTCCTCAAGGACGGCATCCACCGCTAAATCAGTTAGCTCCACACATCTCTTTCACTATTGTCTTCGATGCGTGTAAGACCACATCCTGACCAGTGTATACCTCTATATATATATCATCAGGGCTACGCTCTTTTTCCCTTTCACTTGTTTGACACGTGCGCTCGCCAAGATTCGGGGCTTATAATATCGTCGGTTTATTTCGGATCAGAATTCACTATAAAAGGGAGTCGGCGCTGGGAAGGACGGACGCGGGGTATATGTATACGGGATGAAGATGAAGATAAGATCGCGGGAACCTTGGGTTAGGTATTCATAGAGAGTTTTGGTTGCGGGAGAGAGCGGATCGCTGATACATACCAAACCTACCTACTATTATTACTAACTGGTGTCGTCTACTATAAATGTATTGAATTATATAACGCCCTCTTTTTTAGACGAGGATATTTCCATATCTACTATCAACTAACCAGTTTCTGACATTATCGTCATCATTATTACTATTAAAGAAGAGCTAGCTTTATATATATATATAAATTCTCTTTTTCACTCTTAACTAATCTTTTCATTTATTTTTCATTCTTCCTTCCAGCATTCTTTCCATATCGTCTGATTCCACCAACTTTGGTCAATGTCTCGTTTCATCCTGATGATTTGGTGACAATCTTGTGCTTTGCTTCGCTTCGCGTTGCTTGCTTACTTATTTGCTTCATTGTAGGTAACAGTCTCACTGCATTGGTACCTTCGTTCGACGCCTGACATGAACATCGGACGATGTCGCCCATAAGACATAGTCTCACACATCGTCGTTATTGTGCCTCTCTTTTTTTGTGTATGTGTGCTTGTCTGTTTCATCTTGTAGCTACCTGGCTAAGCTAAACACGTTCTGGCCGCTCACTTCGTTGGCTGCTTTCGAGGTTCATCACGGTAGGTAGCATAAGAGACGACGTTATGAGCTATGTAGGTGGTAGGTAGGTACCTAAACCTATGTTGTAACCAAGTCGTTCACGGTCTCGACGTTTTTTGACAGGTCCTGCTCTTCGTCCTCTAACCCTTACCCACGTCCAGCCAACACGTCCAATCAATCGCGCCTCAAGTGAGGTACCTATGGTATAAGGTATTCCTCCGTCTGGTTACCTCCTAGCTATTTGCACCACGGTATAGTTCGAGACGCAATGCTTGTGAGACTTGATGGAAATCGCGCGTTTCAATTAGCCTGATATATATCTTGAAGCTTTCTCCCTCTCTCTCTTTAGAGATAATGATAATATTATTCGACGGTCCCAATATCAACCACTTACCTGGTAGGTACTCAGCATAACCCACCTCTTCACGATTCCTTATTTCTAAGCAGGGGAATACAACAGACATGAACACATCCACATCCCCCCTTGGCCCCCCACACTCCAATCGCGCAACCAGTCAACCCTCATTTCCGGACTCCTCCCCGAACCCCCCTTAGTTACCTTCCATCCAGGTATCCGTCCTGCTCTGCACGACATACCGGATCGTGTCAACCACATATATACCTAACACACACGGTCACGGCAGTTTTTCTGCACACCGAGCTCTCGGCATCGAGGTGGTAGTGGTAGGCGTGGTGGGACTGGCGCGGGTCATGTTTTCCCAAAATTCTAGAAGCCCCTAGGGTGGGATGGGATGAGGTGAGATGGTATGGTATGGTACGGTACGGTATGGTATGGGATCGGTTGGGTCGCCCATCGATCATCATCATCATCATTCATCGATCTATCTCCGGTTCCCGGATTTTTCCTCGGGCCCCCTTTTTTTTATGAATGCAACGTTGTGGCGTCGTTCCCATGTTCCCAGAGGCCCCTTGGTATAGTATAACGTAGCGTAGCGTACTGTACCTACCTACCTAGGTATGTTGGGCAGGTAAGTAGGTGGCCATCGTTGCGCTCACACGACGCAGGGAGCACGGCATATCGGACGGCCGCAGGGGAGACCAGCCAAAACGAAAGGACAGGACAGTACAAGACAGGATAGGGCCATGCTCCAATGCCGTGGGATGCACGACGTCGAAGCACCCATCCCATCAATTTCCCCTCGGGTGCCCGTGACGCAGGGCAGGGTAGTAGACAGTATATCTACCCAAGGTAGGTAGGTAGATTATAAGATGTGCAACCAGAAATATACTGCATTGTCGAACGATGGAAGGAAGATAAAAAGAGATAGGGGATTGAAAAAAAAGAAGGGGGAAGAATGCCAGGATTTGCAGCTAGATATGACTTGCAGCTGTTCTGTTCGCTTAGGTATGATGTAGGTATGCCACATCTGCGAAGGAAGACGTGCAGTAATAATTATTACAGACCGGTGTCTTTACGCACCGCCATCGTCGCCGTTGACTGGAAGACGGGTAGAACTGACAATTCGATCGACTCGCCCACATACGTCAAAGCAGCTGCAGCTTCAGAGCAATGGGCCGAATAAGGGGGAGGAGGGGGGGTTCCCTTATGACGCGCGATAGATGAAAATGCCGCGTTTCGCGCTTCGCGTCCATTGCCAACCGCCTGCCCAGCACGCATCGCATCGCATTGCTCTGGATATAATAAGGAAGTCCAGCTTTCCAGTGACACAGCAGGCCTTGCCTCCGCATCATTCGCCTCTTTCCTGCTAACTAGCAAACTTTCTCCCCTCTTCCACCTTGGAGACGAGGCGATCCGACGTAGCTCAGGACCACACGCCCCCCCAAGAAAAAAAAATTGCTGGGGTGGCACGACATGCGTGGAGGAGAAACACCACGTTTCGATGCTGCTCGCCCGCATGCATGGCATAACATAACTGCTCAACTACCTTAGCTGGGCAGAAGTGATGGAATAAACTAGTACCTACGTAGGTATTGAAGTAAATAAACTTCATTTTTTTTTTCATAAACTATACCTAGTCTCCTCTCTCAGCTCGGTGCTTGAGACGTGGAGCAGCCACTCGTAGGTTTTTGCTAGACCGTGAAGGCGATGAAGGAGATTCAAGTGCCACGACAGCAAATAGGCTCTCAAGCTAACGATACTAAAATACCGCCGAGCGACAGCAAGGTGAAGTAGTCGAGGTAGTCGAATGTAGTATTTTTTTTTTTCTTTGTTGAGGCGCTATGGGGGCGTGTATTCATCATCATGTCGGGTTAGAATGTTTTAGAGTCGGCTTGAATTGGATATGCCGGCTTTTCCTTTTTCAGGGCCTTGGCATTCGAAGCCTCTATCGGGGAATTTCGTCTTTCATTGGATGCTTCGTTTCCCTTTCAATGAAGCCTGTGAAACCGGAGCCCTTCTGCCGTGTCTTTCCTTCATTTAAAACCTGACGTCAAGAACCTCCAAACGGGGAAGACAAGCTCGTTAGTTGCATTCTTCAATTACCTATTTAGTATCACCTCAAGCTTGCCTGATCGTCACATTGTCATAGTGACTGAGAGATATCACTACCGGTACCCAGGATAGGAAAGATGGCAAAAAGCATATATGGTAATGTTGAGCTGAGCCTCTTATGCGCCCGTCCTGGTCGCTCTAACGAGCTCATGCATGCATCGATATCGAGACGGCAAATTCCCCTTCTGCTATGTAGATGCCTGCGGTCTCTCATCCACTCCCTGGTGCAGATCGGCTTTGCCATTTGATGATCTGAGAAGGGATGAAGCAGGGCTAGTAATTACTCTAGGCTGAGCACTGTCTGCAAGGTTTATGAGAGAGAGAGGGGGGGGGAGAAGGCAAAGCAAAGAAGAAGCTCCGGGTGGAAAGCATATCGGGTCCTGATCTCACAGGCTGACATGCAACGGCACAACCGGCATATGGGATACAATTGGTTCTTGCGGGGCATCGAGCCGTCGTGCTTCTCTGTGATGCTACCGAAAATTAATTACACGTCTTACCTGAGCCGACACGGGGTACCACGAAATCTCGTACTTTCAAGGCGAGTAAACACACTGGTTCGTCTCGCAGATTCATCCGAGGTTGGGATGCTGCGCAACCAGAAGTACCTACAAGCTCTATTGAGAGAGGGGCCTTTCTGAAGTTAACTCTTCTTCACATTCCAAATACGGCTTAGTATTTCCCGGTGATGCGTTGTGTGTGTTGTGGATGGAAATTCATCATCCTATGAGAGTGCATTAGCCTGGAAATAAGCTTGGAGGTCCCAGAGGCACGGGATAGCTTAGTTTAGTTAGTCAGGGCACGGCAAGGTTTAACAGAATTGTTCTTTTGACTCGAATATCACCGGAGCGTCGAGCTTCCGGCATCTTCTTCCGTTCGTACCATCCGCACGTGCGGTGCCATACCCGGTCACCTAGCCGAGCCGGGGTCGAAATCCGTCATGTCACAGAAGAAACTCGGCTTTGATAAGGATGAGCTCTGCCGATGATGGTTGGTTAAGACTATACTGAATTAACAGTACCTTTCCTCCTATCCAGGCTCGTAATACATTTGACCTCCACTAAGGAAGCAGAGCCGTGCATAGGTATAGGTGGGTTAAAAGGTGCAGCGGTTCAATTGTACGCTTCATACGGCTTTTCGCCTTCCAGTTCGTCGGTCGTAACCGAAATGGGAACCCAACAGAAGTAGAAGCTTGCTCCATAGATTAACCTTAAGATCTGAAAATCCAGGTTCAGGGGTAGACCCTTGACCTAGGTTACTTAACAAGTAATCTCGAGAGAACCGATTTAGTGTTAGTCTCGGACTGTTAAGGCATTATAGCTAACAGTCAAGTAAATCTTGATGATTTGACCATTCAATTATTGGTGATGCAATGCGTCTACATAGTAGATCACGACTTTAAATAGCACGCTGTAGCAGTTATGCTGTCCAAGCATGCACTGCAGCATTACTTATCCGAACACATCGAAGATATACAGACTATATATCGAGGCTGGTATCATTGGGGCTGGTACAGTACGCTGAACCCATCTAATATTAAATAGATAGAGGTAGGTAGGTAATGTTTGAGCCCTATATCATTACGAGTGGATGTCGATCCTAGTTAAGATGGCGATCAGTGCAACCTCATAAACTTCTTTACCACTATAAGCTTATGTTATTTTTACTGATATTCCAAGTGGCCACCCGTAAGGTTGGGTTGGGATAGCCAATCGAATCTTGCGTTAGGTAAAGTCTCTTTGCGAGGGGTTTTGTTTGAGCGCAATTAGACAAACGACGGTTATAATGCACAAAGGCAAACTAACGCTAGGAATTGGGTAGATAGCGTAGTAGAGACGCGCGTAGAGTCAGTACCTATCCGAATTTACCCAAGGTACCTAGGTTAGCTACCTGTTAGTAGATGATTTCTCTTCAAATCTATAGAGCTTGGAAATATGGCAGTATAATATTGCAGCTAAGATGGGTTGGAAACTCCATGTTCATTAAGACAAGGATATCCCACGTCGCGCTAAAGTCGTCGAGGTGGAGTGCGTTGCCAGTCCGGTTCGAGTTCCTGTGTCTACTCGATCTGGTCGTACCACAAATTGGCAACTTCTAAGCTTGGATTCCTCTAAAACCTTGATTTTGCCACGTGCCATGTGTCTACATGAATTAAATCCCACTGTTGAATCACCAGTACCGGCTCGAATCAGACACAGGCATTGTATTTGCTGCATAGGAAGATAGTTCGCTTTGACCGTGGTTCCTTGATCCGAACACGACTTTCGTAGGCGAAAACAGCATTCATTCTGCAGAGAGAAGCAGGTAAGAAGAAGTGAGGCGCTTGACGTAACGTGACAGACCCCCATTGCTAAACTGCCCAGTGAAAGCCTTTTGGTGGTCTTCCGCAGCAATATTGATATGGATGACAGGACAACTATATCGACAAAATCGGTAGGGTAAATTAACGCAGCGAGTAGTTAGCTGAAAAAGTTGCTTAATCCTCGCCCCTGGCCAATCATTTCCAACGAGAGTTATGTATTGAGTTAATGGTACTGAGAATAAGGTGGCTTCGGGAACCGCCGTTACTCAAGCTCAAGCTATGGCACCAGAGACGGCGAGAAAAAGCGAAATTACTGGATAGGAGGTAGCTGAATGACAAGCCACGAGTAGCTTAACTGCAACAGTTTCCCAGGATGTACCTGTCCCAGTCTTAGCAGGTATTAGGGTACCAGAACCAGACATTGGGAAGTCCCAATAGATTCCAATAATTTGATAGCGGCTCACTCTGGCTATCATGTCTAGCTTGACAAGTTTAGGCCCTGGAGGCGTAGTCTAGGCCGATTCAGATCGATGGACCAAGCCAATTGACCGGACGCGAATTCATTAAGTTATGAACCCGATAAAAAAAAGGAAGCATTTTTATGGCTGCCAAGTAGCGACGGATTCATAAACCTGCACTGGTTGTCCCAGGCATAAAACCCAATAAGATGGAGGTTAGGGAATCGGGTAGGCAACCCACGGGTTTCAAAGCACGGACAAATGCTACCCAGTTTCTCTCTTCAAAGTAGAACTACCTGATTGACCAGACCCCAGAGAGGATGACGGAAGCACCCTACCTGCGTTGGAAACAACAGCTTCGTCCTAGGCAATTCGCTACAGATAATTGCGAACTTGACCAGGTCGTCTGGTGTTTGACGGAGGTCCGAGGAGTTCAATGGAACGATGAAACCCCCGTATAGCAGACGGAATTACATCGGATGGGATCACTTGAATGGCGATGAAACTCTTATCAGCGGGGTGAAGGTAGAACTTGTAAAGGCATGTAGAAATTTTGTGAATCGTTGTAGAATAATCGCGGGATAGATAACGAGGCCAATCATAGGCTTAGAAACACCACGGTCGCTTAGTACGGCACACACAGCTTGATAGTTGATCTTTAGTTGCGATGGTAAATCCGGAGAATGAACAACACCGATTCTCCGGTGGCTGCTGATGTTTACTAAGACGACGAGTAAGTCCTATAAGCTTTTTGCCATCAGGTCGCCATCAGGTCGCCATCAGGACTGATGTTAGGAATGAAATGAGGACTAGGGCCCGATAACTCCTGAACGTGTTACTCAGCGGCACTGAAGGATCGGTAGGGCTGAGGCTGAATAACGAGTTGCCACGCAACTTGAAACGAATACACGATCCATCGAGGTGAAGAAGGGGAAATGTATGGTTTACCGGAAGACGCGGACGATTAGGAAGGAATTATACCGCGGAGATGATGAAGAATACCTAACACAAGCAGATATAATTAGCGATACTTAGATGATATTGTGACAATAATACAGCGAGATGTAGTGTAGTGAGGCGAGGCTTTGCCAAGAAATAAAGAAAGTTGATAAAGGAAAAAAGAGATTGGATCCTCAATGTTTCTCCAATGATTTTCCAGCTCGAGGGTTTAGGTTCAGACGGTTTAGAGCACAGGGCAACCGTAGAATGTGCCTACTGCCTAACCCACCTAAGCTAACTCCACTAAATTAAGGTACCTAAGGTAAGTGGAAGCACCTAATATTAGGTCATTATTAATGTATATTGTGAATGTTGTATAACAGGTATAAAGAGGTAAGCTTTCAATGTTGTCTAGTACATTTGAATTTCGACTATGCCTTCCAAATCAGAAAACATGCAATTACTCCCTGTTATCTTTTCAGATGAAGCTTGCCTCTTTAGATTCCGGTTTGCCCCTCCTACAGGTAGGTAGGTACCTAGGTACCTAAGGTAATTAGGTGAGGTAGGAGAAGGTACCTATAGGAGGTACCCAAGGTATGTGCCTTCCTCTTGTGAATTTTATGTAATCACACGTAAAGTTCTTCGAGATGAAATCTGATGAACTAAAATCAAAGTAAAGTGAACTAACCGTACCTAAACATCAACGCAAGTCAAAGTCAATTCGTCGCGTCTGGTAATACTATACATCTAGTCAACCCTAATCTGGAGCTATTAAATCGAATTGGCTCTGACTTATTAGTTCTGACTTTCAAATCGGAACTTTATATCCTCCGAGTTTGAATTGCCAGTTATCGGATTCCTAACTCTTTTTCATCTGTTGTGAGACCGTTTCTATCTCGGGCCCGAGCCTCATCTTCACTTATTTACTGCAAGATAGCTCAGGGACCCGTCTACTACTAAACGTTAAGTTCTGTGCATTGCGCCAAATCAGCCCAATGTACACCGATATACACCTGCATAAGTCTGCCCCCCCTCCTCTTCAACTTGGGCTCTATCCCGTTCCGGGTCGGACAGCTCTATTATAGCCTCACTTGGCTATCCAGCCAGCCAAGCATTTATTGTCGAAACCCTGTCCATGGCACCCATCTTCGGGTGTCGTATCAATTGTTTGCAGGCGGCTAACATGCCTCAAAGCGCTGCGGCTTTCTCATTGCAGTGCTGTTCATGTCGTCGCTGTGAGCAATCCTTTTCATGATTGCCCTGTTGTGGTGCTAGCACAGCACCGTACGTCAAACTAGGTACATACTGAGACATGCAACTGGTCTGCTTTTCGCTGGATTCGCTGGATTTGTTGGATCCGCTGGCTGAATAGCTATATATCTCCTTCCACTCTTATCATATATCTACCCAGGTATCAAGGTACAATCGTGGGGTTGGCGCCCGTTACACAATGCGACTCGATGGCGAACCGAGTTCAGCCATTATATCGGGACCAATCAATGATAACCTTTCCCCAAGCTATTGGCAATTGTTCATTTTCTTCATACTCAAATATGCCCTGATGGCTCTTCAGCAACAACCTTGGTAGTCAGTCGGCTGTATGATCCGACCATCTCTGAGGGAGGGTACGTCCGTCTCCATAGAAAGATACCAGAGAATCGATGTAAGTTTCGTTATGCTTTATGGATTCCCTCTCGATATCTCTAGGAATGGGTCAGAACATATACAACTCTACTCTACTCTACTCTATTCTATTCTACCTACCAGCTGACAGTCCCCCCACCTGACTTTACTATCCATACATCTCAGAGTTCTATGATCCTGCCCAGGTCGGTTATTTGTTAGTCCGTATCTTCATTCCCATCTGAGCGACCTTGTAAGTCAGGTTCCTTCCTCGAACCACAGCCATTCCCATGGCCACAAGCGCCGCCTGTCTCTATTGGGCCTCTGACACCAACCGGCTCTGACAGCCTACGTATCCCCTGTGGGTCTATCTCTTACTACCTTTCTCTAACGCCAAATCAGGTTTTAGTCAGTCCCCTGAGCCTTTTTAGTTGGGACCCTGTACGCTCTAAGCAGACTCCCTCTCCTCTGTCTTATGTCTCCGCACATATTTTATATATCTTTCATAGACGCCCTTCTGAACCACTCAGCCTGGTTTCTGTTATTTTTACCTTTCCGCTTGTTTGGTACCGATCTTAATATTCGTCATATCTTCCCATTTGCGTCGAACCGGTCCAGTACACCCCCCCAACTTCACTTCTAGCTCGATCTCCAACTCGTAACATTGTAAGCTCTGTACCACCACATAGGAGAGCTATCATACATACTTCCAACTTATAATACTACCTTCATTGCACCTATCCTCGTCTTGTTTCCAAATTCCGTCCCACTCTCGTTCCACCCTAGAACCAAAATCTAGACCAGGAGAACTATTCGCCTGTTTCGACATCGATCAAGATCAGCATTGCGATGGCCTCCACTAAGGCCCGCCAACCTCGGCTCCGAGCTTCATGCGATGGATGTTTTTTGGCAAAGGTCAAGTGCTCTAAGGCTCGGCCCATATGTTCCCGTTGCTTAGCCTGTGGCATCGAGTGTCGGTATTCACCTTCGAGCCGGGCGGGCAAACCCAAGTCTGAGCATAGCGGAGGAGCCCACGCGAATGCATCTCAAGATATGCAGCAAATGCATCACGGTCTAATAGAAGACAAGAACATCACATACTCAACACCTCATCAAACCCCATCTGAACACATTTTCAGTTTCGAACCGGGATGGACTACACCGCCTACTAGTGTTGATGGTAATATCAGTCGAAACCCTTCGATATCCACAGGTCTTTCCTTACTTGGAGTCGAGGACAGAACGATGGGGGAGCAAGACCCGATGTCAGCACCACCTGAAATCTATTCATCTACTATGCCTTGGACACCGCCTACGGATCTTTCTTGCGCGACTTTCAGCGACATTCCCGTCACCACTGGCTCTATTCCCGGTACTCAGATACGATCTCAGTCGTTCGAGTTATCTATGACAACGCCGATAGCGTGGACCGATCCAGTAACACAAGATATGCTCTCGTACGGCCAGGTGCAGACTCCCACGAGCATGACTTCCAATTATTTTCCAAGTCCAACAACACCGCCTACAATGAGACCAGATGGACCACCTCACAGATCATCATCGTCCACTATAAATGGAGGTTCCTGCAACTGCTTTACAGCCTGCCTACAATCACTTCAAGCATTGCATAACGCCTCTGCTCCAGCAGTGCCGCCCTTTGACTTCATTTTGTCTCTTAATCGAAGAGCCGTGGAAGGATGCGCAGTCATGCTCTCTTGCAGTAAATGCATGAGTCGATCCGGTACTCATACCGCTACCATGTTGCTAGCGACTGTGATCGGGAAAATCACATCGTTCTATAAGACTGCTTCCAACTCGTTTTTCGATACTGGAAGCATGAGCATGGTCCCAAATAACCAGGGAAATAATCTAGGACTCAGCCTTGGGGTATATCAGCTTAATGGCGAGGATGGGAAATGGTTGGAACTGGAGATCTTGGCCAGGGAACTCCGTAAATTAGAGGAGGTCTACGCGAGATTTCGAGAAGTGGTCTGCAGTGATTACTCCGACATTCCCGAGGTTACTAAAGCTATGATCGGCTATCTCGGGCAAAATCTTGGCTCTACACTCGAAGTCATCAGTCACAGAAAAGGCGACATGACCTTCATTACCTAGACCTACGAGTCGTCTTTCAGCTTAAAATACGTTACAGCACCATTACCACTAGCGCCAGAGCGGCATCAGAGCGCATGTTATTAAACGATGTTACGATGTGACGCAAGACAGCCACGCAGTGAGATAAACGTTTCAAGATCAGTTAATTATAATGAAATTATCGGTTTCCTTGTCATATATATTACATCCTTACTTTACAGTCAACCGTACGATCAAAATCAGTGTATGAAATTGGGCGTTGGCGCTTTGAGGCGGATGGTGTCCGGGTCAGAATCACCTTTTCTTTTCTCATCAGGAGTATGGTACACAGGATGAAAGTTTACTAGGAAAATTCATATTATTGCCTCAAAATATTATATAGTATTTTAGACGGCGTTATGGTGGGACGGGCACGATGATTATGGTGGGTGGATTTACTATCAGGGTGAATATCTAACTACCCGTTTTTAGTCTTTTCAAAGATGCACTATGTATCATAATCACGATGCACGACAACGATAAACTATTGTATTCAAGACCTTCTTTCAGCTAGAAAAAAAAAACAACCAAAAAAACTAGGACTTTGAAGAATTGCGCTTAGCTATTTCCACACCGCCAGTCTCAAAATCCAACTAGTCAGTACTCAAGAAAATCGCTTTGTTGGCCTAGACAAGCAAAACCTGCCTCATTTCTGGTCATGATTCCTTACTGGTTGTTTGAAATATCAAGGATCAGCAGCAAGACATGCAGAAAGCAACGAAATGTAGAGCTTTCAGTACTTAGTTCCCCACATCAAGTAAAGGGAAATTGTTTGCTCGAGTCTCGTGAGCTTGGCTTGCCACCGATTGTTACCCTATTTGATGTTACTTAGGTAGTATCAAGTCATCTTCTTTGCTCTTACGGCTAGGTATCACTTTTGGTAGAGGAGTTCTTATGGGAGTGTGACAAGAAGGATCTTACCGCGACGGATCTAAGAGCGGGATGTAGATCACGTACTATGATGTCTTAAACTTCAGCAAAGCTTGTCACTACTAAGAGAACCGCACTAAACAAAGCTTACTAGCAATTTTAAAGGGTGCAGTTAATTACGGCCACCTTATTATTACTCACATATAACCTTATAATAATTAGCGACTTCTGTTTGAAATTCAAAAAGCACTTTTATAGGTGAACCTAGGACGGGCACACTCACGAAGCTCTAAGAAGTACTTACCCACCTGAGGTATCTTAGTCTCGTAACAAGCCGTACCCTATCTGAGAAATACTGTAGAATAAATTAAATGACGTGATACAACCTTCCGATATGTGGGGGTATTATTGAGCAGTGATCCGCGAAGCAGCGATCGAAAACCCCAAAATTCGGACTGCCAGGGTAGAATTGCATTTTTCTGCCATTGGCTCGCGTCATTGTGCTTGGTTATCCTGGAGCTGAACGACTGATCAGCGTGTTGTATTGTACAATATCTAACAACCTTTACAGTGGAAATTTAACTACCTAACCTAACCTAGATGTAATATCGTGCAGGTATATGAACCCTCCATCTTCCTTTTTATGAACTACCTCCTTTTAGGTGCCGAGGTATTACAGGTATGCTTATTCCTAGAATAGGAGGGACCCAACTTCTTAGAATAACTATGTCCATGATTTGATATTATGCAAAAGTGCGGAGCATATGCGATGCCTACCGTAGGCATCTCCTGATATAGGCCGTTAAGTCACCGCTTGGCATACCATCTCAGCTTTCGAAGATCTCTACCCTGTTACCTATAACCTAACGCAGCCTCACGGGCGCCGTTTATTCATTCTCTTCCACATTGACGTGCCAATATCAAGAAGGACCACTTTGCCGCCGATCCCGGGACCTAGATCTCAGCCATGGATGCAAGTGGAAGCTTGGCCCTATCGAAGCTGCATCCAAGCTGCTAAGGCGCGTCAAGCTGAAGAAGAGCTGCTGGCTGCAAATATTATTCTTTTGTTACATTAGAATTTTGCCAGCTCAGACAATAGTTACGGGCACGGGGATGTTAATACAGATGCTAAGATCACCTAACCTATATCGTTGTCGATAACGTCGATGGAATGCAAGCCACACATATTCTTGTCCAATTGGAACATTTGGTACTTGTGATTTCCACGTGCGTTAAGTAGGAAGAAAAGAATTGGCGATTTTGATAAGCTGACGTCTGATCTGTTCTGGTCTAATTTAAGTTTATGAACCTTGAGTAGAAGGTTATATTATCGGAATATATGTGAGTTTTAAGCTCATCAATGGAAATGATGGGAATTTTAAGAGGTACCTAGGTATGAGATGAACATGAGACGTACCTAACGGATTGCGATCTGACCGTGTACCTGGTGTACATATTATGCTGGTATCATGTACTTCCTATATAAGGTGAAGATGTCTTAGAAGTTAGGATGCGCATGAGGAGTCGTATTTCCCACATTTCCCACTAACCTCTTCCGGATTTAGACCCTTGTAAAATCGCACTAAGCGGGCCTTACCCCACTGCAACCCTTCTAAACCTTATCTCAAAAGATACCTTAGTCTAACTGCGTTGGTATTGGGTAAGAAAACGTTGGTGTGGGTACCGAGGTACTTAGGTACTTAACCTAAACTACCTCTACCTAGGTATCTATGTACCTTGTAGATCTTAGGCAGCATCGTTTAATTTATTAGTTCCATTTCACTTACGCCATCAAAGTCTCCCACTTACACCCACTTACAACATCTTACCATTCCGTATTCCGCGTTTTTTTATTGCACCTCTTACAGATACCACATAAATCCGATACAACATCTCTCAACTAAGCTAACTAAGATGTCATATACGTCCTACGTACATACCTATAATATACATAGACAGACAGACAGACAGACACGCATACATATACGCTCACAGGATCGTGAACCACGTCATAATCCAACCCAGCAAGGAGTATGATATTTCTTGAAGATCCTATCGTGGAGGATCACCAGACCCTCGCTGTCTCAACATATGACATATAACTAGTCGGAGGAGGCTAGGTATGGAAATATAACAGAAAACATACTGCAAACAGATGTATATTTCTATGACATCTACGAAGTAATTGTCATCCTTGGACATTCTCAAAACATCCCGTCCACACACACACCGCTCTCGTCTTCTACACCACTTACTAATGGCGGATGCCCAGTGCGGGTTTCACGAAGGAACTTCGTGTGAGATACCTATTCAGCAAGCTAAGGAGCGAACAGGGTGCGCATGCAGAGCGAATCATCATAAGCGAGACTTTACGTGGCTTAGCTACCTAGGTAAACTTAAGAATGGTCTAGAAATGATGAGTGCGGAATACCTTCGATCCGCGTTTCAATTATGACTAGTTTCCTGCACTATTAGGCTGCCGCTGTTGAACTAATGACGAATGGTATCAACGGCCCGAGCCTGTGAAGTGCCTTGTTACTTCTTGCTATGGGTGCCCCCACAAACAACGGTATTAGCTAGCTCTTGAGCTGCTTCTGGGCTTCCGCACTCGGTTCGCCGGCTGACACCTGCAATACGACCTGAGCTGCTCCATGCCATGGATCAATCTCACACCGGTCAGGCATACCACGTTTCGACAAGGTGGAAAGACTTGAGCCAATAGTGTTCCGTTTGCCGCGTCTCTGGTAACACCCCCTGGTGGACGACGAAAACGACCTGTTCCAACGTTGCAGCAATAAATCTTACAAGCCTACCTGATATACTAACCTAGGATATGCGGCGCGAGATGGTCCATTGGTGACGCACGGGACGCTTTTGTATACTGCGGTACCTACGTTCGAAAGTCCAAAACCCAACATGGATGAACTTGCCTTTCTCAGCCTATCGGCTCACTTATCGATTGAAGCTATACAACTACACAGCCTCCCAGGTCCGCGGAACCTAGACATCTTACCCTTGGCGAATACGTTTAACGTTTGTCATGATTTTACATAGATTTGCGGTCAGCATCGCTTCTGAAGAGCTGAGCATACGCGGTAAATCAGCATAGCTAGGTAGCTAGCCGCCTGCGGATGATATTCTCTCCAACGTTTTCTGTTGGTGTGCATACTATTAAATCAGGTAGTCTCACATGTCATTGTGCTAATTTTGCCCTTGGCTCTGCAAGCCTTCTAACGCCTCTTCGATCGTTCCATAGCTGAAGCCCGGCGCTGTCGGTATTTGCAAGCTTCTGTGCACATTGTTAGTAAGGATGAGGTTATGGTAGGTATCACTCACCCTAGCATCGCTCTAATAGCGAAAGCATATTTCACTCGTGGGCAGCAATCCACTGTCAGAAATATCCCCGGACCATTACCCGTTCGTTACACGTATATGGTAGTCCTCCCCAGCTCCAAGCATTGATTTTCCTTTGCAGGGGCAGGACGTCCAGTTAACTTCATTCTATACGGCTCACGGCACCTAATTATCAGCTTCCAGCTTCTATGCAATAGCACAAAATCGGCCCGTTTGTTACCCGGGATATGTCAGTCGATGAGTTTCGCGGTTTGGCCCGGGAATAACTAGATCATTCTAAAAAGATCCCAACTTCTATGCGATCTCATTCAGTCCTGCATTTAATGAAATTAACTCATATCTAAGCTAGTTTTGTCAGTCTTCGCTCGTATTTCGCTCGACCATATAGACAATGTCACAGTGAAACAAATATAAGGTTAACTTAGAAATCGACAAGTAATGTTTAAAACATTTTAATAAGCTGACATTTTAACTTCATTATTGGTCAAAACCCCAGGTAGGCCCTGATAGGAAAACCGTAAGAATTCCATTTACCTCTGAAGTTATCTGACAGGTCGTGTACATAGTCCGCTATTTATGCAGTAGGTAAGCCAAGTGTTTACAAAGGTATTCTTGACCAATATTATTAAAGCGCGGTCATCATAAGTTGTGTGGTAGAAACCTTTTTTAACAAAACATTAGGTACTTTAAACCGTCAGATTCTTTCCTAGGATTCTTTCCTAAGCATCTGCACCATAACCCCTATCGGAGTTAGGTACGCGATAAAAAGTCGGACTTTACTTCGCCCAGTCTATAACTACTCGTTTTATGGTTCTAAGATCTACACAACCTCTTGTACCTATACGCACGAATGAAGCTGGGATTTCTTTCCGGGGTATGGTTAGGTAGGTAGGTAGGTATCTAAGTGGTTATTCGTAACCATTTGAACAGCGAATCTTCCCCATCCGATGCTTGGGACTCGCGGTATCCTTCCTTCATTCCCTTCATCCTTCGCCTTATTTGTGCGTTTTCATAACATTCCTTCTGCTCAGCGCTGGCGTCATAAGTCCCTCTCCCACCACGCCTCGTACTCATATCGACTTTTGCTAGCTTCAGACGGTATGCTTCAATTAGTTACATTTTATGCGGCTTACCCTACGGAGTCACAGTGTTGCCACTGGTCATTCTGCAATACATCACACAGCTATCGCTGCTTCACATTTCAGCTATCAACTTCTTATCATATATCTCACATCAAATTGCATATTCCATAAATATGGTGTAGGTATAACAGGGTTTCGTTATATCTCCCTCCAACGCAAAACTCCAAGCATGAAGTTAGCATATTTTGAGAAAGCTGGTTACACGTTAGATAAGATGCTGTTGAATCCTGTATGAAGCTATCTAAAAGGCTAGCTGCTAACGTCCCCGAGGTTAGATCGTACGAAATGCCGATGCGGAGGCAGAACTGTTACGTTATGATAAGACATGCGTCACGCACCAACAATAACAGGTCTTACACTATAACATGCATCAATTTAGCTTATATAGGTACGCTAATTAACCCCGTACCAACTCACCTTAAGAGAAGACTGTTAAGTCTCACTTTCATGTCAGCAATCTCACCTCACTTCAGCCCTATTCGTTCGGAACATCCGCTAACAAAAGGTACATGAAATAAAGTGCGGAGGAAGGAAACCGAGAGCAAACTTGCTGACATTAAGTGTGGAGAGCTTCATCGTTCGTGCTGTCTCTACCTTTTATCACATCATGGTCATCATCAATTTGAGGCTCTAGTCTCGGAAAGTGTCATGTACTTGTTACGGCACGGGTAACGGCATATTTTCTCTTGGCACAATAACAGGTAGGTACCTAAGGTAATGCACAAGGTAGTATCTGTCGGTTTCCAGTTGTCTCTCAGTGTCTGCTTCCTTCGCTTGTCCAACCAGATGACGAGGTTTGCCTCACATATAACTCGGGCATCGGAAACTCGGCAAGATGCGGTAACTTCTTGTTTCTTGTCCTACCGCTAGGATCGTAGAATAGGTACCAGGAGTAGGTAGAAGAAATCTTGGGCCACGACACCAAGTAGGTGCCTGTGATGACTGCATTGAATAATACTCTTAAACTCATACCTAGCTAGGACTTATGAACAGAGCGCATTACTAACTACCGGATTTAAACCCTAAACTTTCCTGGTCACCTTAGTCACGACAATCCTGAGTGAGTAGGGAGGGCGTGCCTATTTCCAGTAGCTTCACAGCATTAACCATGGCTTTTCCTAAGGCATCTAGTGTGCCGTTGGATGCTATTTTAAGCTTACAGGTACTTCATCGCGAGGAACATGAACACGACTGAAGCTCACACAGGCACACAAAATAACTGCATAATGGTCTACAGTCTCGGGTTCTGACAGATACACCGTTGAGCCAAAAGTGTATTTCTTAATAGCACAAGTGCTATTACAGTCTATCTGACCATGAGTGGTATTACCACCTCATAGGTTCGTTGTTTAGACTAAATAGTATGTATATCTTGTTGTGATACCTTTTATTTTTTCTTTTTTCCCGAAATAGCCGGATACGGTAAATGTGCGGTGAGATATCCAACGCCATAACAGGAGAATTAATTAAAAGAAAAGAAAATAGGGGGAACAGCGTCATCTATCTAAGTGCCACCGCCTGAAGCGCGGATGACTTGGCCTGCGTAAAGGCGTCAGCATAAGAGAACAGAGAAGCGGACCAAGGATCAGACGAGAGAAAAAAGAAAGGGGAAAAAAAGAAAAGAAAAATCATGCAGCTAACGAACTTACCGTTGATCCATTCGCCCTCGTCGCTGACCAGGCAGTAGACCGCTTTGCCGATGTCGGCTGGGACACCGACTCGTCCTAGAGGACACATCTTGGCGAGGCCCTCCTTGATCTTGTCGAGGGGCATGCCCTTGTAGCCGCCGGGCACGTAGTGCCAGCTATTCTCGTCGAACATGTCGGACTGGATGCCGCCAGGGGCGATCGCGTTGCAAGTAATGCGCTTCTTGCCGCAGTCGACGGCGAACGCGCGGGCGAACCCCTCCACGGCGGCCTTGGACCCGCCGTACAGCGCGTGGTTGGGCACGCCGGCCATCTGCGCGGCGATCGAGGACGTGAGGACGATGCGGCCGCCCTCGCGCGCGTGCTTGAGCCCCTGCTGCGCGACGAAGAACTGCCCCCGCGTGTTCAGATTGAACACCTGGTCGAACAGCTCCGGCGTCACGTCCGTCTCCTCGGCCCAGACCTCCATGCCCGAGTTGGAAATGACGAAGTCGATGCCGCCGAACTGCGTCACCGCCTTCTCGAACAGCGCGACCACCTCCGCCGGCTTCGAGATGTCCGCCTGCAACGCCACCGCCCGCGTCCCCAGGCCCTCCAGCTCCTTGACCACCGACTCCGCCGAGCTCGCGCTCCGCCCGTAGTTCACGATGATGGAAGCCCCCCGCACGCCCAGCTCCAGCGCGATGCCCCGGCCGATGCCGCGCCCGGCGCCGGTGATCAGGGCTACTTTGCCCGCGAGGGGCTTGACTTGGTTGCTCATTGGGCCGGCGGAAGACATGGTGCTGACGATGACGGAAGCAACAATCGGATGAGTTTATGCAAGGCCAAGTGTTTTGCTACCTAGGTACCAGTAATTGAATAATGACTAATAGCCGTAACGAGTACCTGATGTTATACAGGTTATGTTATATAAATGAAAGAAAACAAGGGAGGCTCAAATCGGACGATGGCAATTAAACGAGGGAGGAGGGGTGGAAAGGGGGTTAATTTTGATGAGTTGATGACGCGGGGGGTTCTGGTCGGGTTTCAGACCATCTTATTCGTGATCGTCTTATAACTGGGACGAGGGCGAAACCCCAAGGGAGTTCCGAAAGGGCTTCTGGGTCTCGTGCTACTTCAATCCGGGGGGGGGGAAAGGCTTAAGCCAGAACCCCCTTCCCCCCCGTACGACGAGCGGACAAGCTCGTGGCGGACGGAGGAGGGGGGCGGAGTTAACGGGAGGGAGATGTTACGGACGGACGGACAAAGACGGACAGACAGACGGACAGAATCCCTTTTGCAAATCTCAGGGAAGCGGTAAGGAAAAATGGAAAGGTCTTACTCAATGTTGGAAGAAATCCGGATATTCTTACTCGCTATAGCTAATTACTCGTTAAGGTATGATTCTACGCTGTGTTTTACTATTACAAGGGGAGTTGGGGAAATACACCGGATATTAACGGGGAGAACTGGAATTCCCAATGCTCTAGTTGAGTTGTATGCATATGATTATGCGGTTACGTGGGTCAAGGTGAGTATTAGTCACCTCGGGTATAACTGTATATCGCGAAGCGCGAGAGATAGAATTGGGATCAATGCATAACTGTTGATATCATCGCGATGTAACTAAGATGTTCTCAACCAACTGGAGTTTTCACGACGAACTACCTAGTTCTATATATCCCCCTTTTCAGGCATAGAACATCTACCGAATGATTGTATACCTACGTCTAAGAAATTACCTACCCCGCGTATCATATGATATAATATTTACGGTTTCCTTTCCGAAGCACCTATCAAGCATCGCGGACCTCCACGGAGATACTCTTAGAATCTGACAACATGACTGCGACGAGTCGCCCAATACTGCGACGCTACGACGGGACATTGCGTCTTGATACGTGAGGTCAACACAGCTATTACGCATTGAAATAAATTAAAGGGATGACTGCAGCGTCTTCCCAAAGGAGTCGATGATGAAGGACGATGAGCACTCTACTAGGCGAAGTTAACCATTGTTGATAACCTCCGAAGCCAGTTGACTGCATTCCCATGTAAATAGCAACGGTTGCCCCACTGGAAAGCTTAGCCGCCCAGCTCGTCTGTAGGGACAGGCAGTACTTGGCTTACGCAGGGCAGGTCCGAAGTTACACCCCATCGGACTTCCGGGCATAGTAGTAATATTGGTGAGAAGAGAGACATCAAGATGTCCTCGATACGACACTTTGTTTATATCGAAGACACCCGAATGGCAAGTGATAAAAGGGTCAAGTGGTTTAAAACCAGACCCTGAGGGAGGGTGATTAATTTTTGAGGAGTTATCGTGTTTTATCTCGTCTTGCCTTGGCTTGCCGGTCACTTAAAGGAAGCTGAAGATATCCCCTTTTTTTCGACTCTGCCCAATGTCTCTGATGACGAAGCGCTTGGTAAAAAGCGTGTAAGTTCTATTGAAAGTGGATTGCAGGGGAGGGTTCCCGTCCAACTATGCCTAATACGAGACGATTTCAGCTCATGAAGAAATCGTCAACTTAGAGGTTGCGTTACGATATGATTCCGCAGACACGCACTTTTCAATCTATCCATTCCAGCTGGCTTCATGCACACTCATGATTGAACGAGCGGGCGCATTTAATCCTGATTCCTACTATTGGACGGGCTGAGCCCGAATCGCCAAAGATACGGCGCGAAGCCACAATGAAAGAGGAGGGTAAGTGGGAGAGAGGTTTGCGAGCGTGATGGGTTAGAGGAGGAGGGGTTGAATCCGGCCGATACAATCGCATAATCATTCCCCGTTGATGAAGACATAGGTACGATGCCGAGATCTATCTGACGGATCCACGTGGTTCACGACTTTCCCTGGGTTGCCGGCTTACCGGGGTGAAAAGAGGAAAAAACAAGACCTATTATCGTTCGGGTCCGAAGTACGGAGTAGCGAACAAATGGTGGCTGTTGGTGAGGGAGCATATAATGTTAATAATACAAGAACTATATACGATATAACTAACACCACACCACACTCGAACGATGTTCACAATGCCTAGACTTAGGTGGGCATACGTACAGTAGGTTAGGCAAGAAAGACGACGACTATGCAGACATCTTCTATATGATTGGTAGAAAGAAACGGCTTATTAGTCATTAACTCATCCATCATCGCCGTAACTATCGTAGCTTAGCCTTGTGCCCGCTTCCTGCCTTAGGTATACGTAGAACTCACGATAACGATGACGATGAATTGAGATCGGTTTAAGCTCATAGCCGCATTGGACTTTTGCCTCGGTAGCCAGTACTCATTAGGCAAAGATCCGAATCCGAATTACCACCCTTCTAACCCTAGCCCCTGCTCGCCCGGTACGCTAGAGATGATGAGAGGACAGGGATCGCGGAGAGAGGGGTTCAAGAAGACTGCTTGCGACAAGGCTGCATGGCGACGTAGACGTCGAGGTACCGCATACATCGATATAATGTGTATGTATGTATGTATATTCCCCCCCTTGTAAGTAGTAGTAGCGCGTATAGAAGAACCAACATTACATACCGAATTGGTAACAGCTCTTTACGAATTCAGTTCATTTTCACGTTGCAAAATGGTGTTTTAAGTTAATCCGTCGTTATATTACCCCTTACCTGTGCAAAGGATGTACCCGACGCTTTCTTGATCATAGTAAAAAGACAAGAATTGAGATCTCCATGATAGCCTATATGTTTTCCTCGAAAACCCCTCCTGCCACGGTACATGATGATATCTATCATGTTACACTCGTGGATGGTGTATGACATATCTCACCTCGTGGGGGTCATGGGAGTGTTTGTACACAGTACCTACCTACCTTTTTTTTTCTTCTCTATTATGGAGTAGTATTCATCCTCTCTCCTCGAATGATCTAAGCACTAAGAGGAGGTCCTGCGTAGGTAGGCTTCTGCTTGCTGACATGCCTATTTCCCCGAATAAAGAACGAGGGCCCAGAATATTCGAAACTTATAATATAACTTAATTAGGAGTCAATAAGCCAAGAAGTTATACGTGATTCTAGGTAATAAAGGGATCTGCCTCGTTTAGCTCATACTTCATACCGGGGTAACGAGTTACTAGCATAGAGGGGAACGCACGTGTTCGCCATGAACGACATCGCTTAGAACCTGGCTACGGGGAATGAGTGGAGGGCTAGAATTTGTCACGGATCTGTAACAGGACTTGGCTGCATACCTATCTATCTACGTATACTTAATTAAGAAGTGTAACCCGTAACGGATGTAACTCATGGATATCGGAACCAACTACCGGTGTCGAACGTAGCTAGTTATACGCTCTTTCGTTCTCACCAGACGCAATACAAATTAAATTACCTACATGTTACTGCTGATTATCTGACACACATACATGAAAACACACCCATAGGGATACGCAGCGCATCACCACACAACAACAACGAACGCCACCGGGGCCTAAGCAAGGGCGGGGAACACTTCCCCGCGAGATATTTCCCGAATAAGGGGGGCTGAGGTCAGCTCACCCGCGTTAAAAATGACGAAAGAAAGAAAAGATAGAAGGAAGAAAAAAAACAACAGACACAGACGGAGATAAGGACGTTTGAGAGCGAGCGGTTGGTTGGTTGGTTGGGTGGGAGGGGAGAAGAAAATGATGGTTCGATGAAGCTCGTAGGTGCTGACCACCCCCGGTTGGGATAGGGTATCTCGTCCCATCCTGTATGCTGCCTGCGATGCCGACGCCAACGCCAACGCTAACCTGACTTCTAACTCTAACGTAACCTATTACCCACGCTAACTAGCGGTAACAAGCAGCGCCAGCATCGTAAGGTGTGCCGGCGACCCGGAAGGCTGCCGTGAGTTTGAATGGGGGGAGGGGGAATGGAACAGGGAAAAGGGGGACTAGAGGAGTGTCAGCCTTCCGGTTCGATTCCGAGCCTCAGAGGCCAAGGCCCTTCTATCCACACACACACACAGAGAGGCGCATCTTACGTACGTTAGGTACCTGGGCACTTTACATTTAGATTAGGCGCAATACCTTAGGTACCTATAAGCAAGCTAGTAAGAGGTACATAGTGGGTGACAAGTATGTACTTAGTTGGTAAGAAGGGTGGCTTCATCTATCTGTCTAGGCACGAGAACGGGTACGCGCTTACGATACGAGATTTACGGGATGGCGTTGGTCGTGCTTGTGGGTAGTGCCTAGTACATTAGGTACCTAACCTACCTAGGCATTGTGTGGGCAGACCACATTCCCTAGAACGGGTAATTGTGGCTTGGGGCGTCGCCGTTGATATAACGCGTGGCACAAAAAGCTGCCGTGCCTTAGTGTCCTAAGATTCGCCGTATAGCTGGAGCTAGCTAGGTATTATAGACCGCTATATCAGCAGCAGCAGCAGCGCGCTTCGGAAAAGGCGTAGCTAGACGATGCGTCGTGGCGTTCAGAAACGCCACGTTCCCTTTCCCTCCCTTAGCTTCGGCGCTATCAGACCAGGTAGCCCCCTGGAATAACCTGCCGGCGCCACGCAGAGGCGAGAACAAAGAAGCGGGAGATAGCTAGACCAGCTTAGATAGATAGGTAGACAGATGTGTGGATGGAACAGACTGCCAGATAGATAGGTGTCTAGATAGATAACCCACGAGGCAGGGGCCGCGGGGAATGGCGGAGATACTGGAGAAAGGGGTCTTGCCCTCCCCACGAAACAGCAGAAGCGAAAGGCGCAAGCAACCCTTTCCCTTGGGAACACGGTCATCGATATGCCACCCCACGCCCGCAGCAGCAGTAGCGAGCGAGCCAGCGCGCGCTGAAGAAGGTAAGATTGATTAATGATCGGACCCAGACCAAGACCCAGACTCAAGGGGCTGACGCCGTGCTCGTGTCGATATACTACCTACCTGGTCCCCACGATCGACCCCTTGCGCAGGAGCCGAAAGCGAGATTTGGGTGTGGGAACGTTCGTCTGAACGGCGGCACCAGGACGCGCGCAGGGGGGGGGGAGCTTATTAGTGGCCCTTCTCGGGTTTATCGAGGTTATACTAGACCTCGTATGGGTATTAATGCGTATCTTAACTATATATGTACCTAACGTACCTATGTAATATGAAGATAGCGTTTCAAGAAAAACGAACAGGGTAAAATAATTCCCGTGAAGCCTTGCACTGCCTACTTCCACGCCATGTTGCGCAGGAAGATGGAAATGCTAGTCTATTTCAAATGTAAGCAAAACTACCCCGTGGCTGTACGCGCCAAAAGGGGAAGAAAAACAAGAATACACCAACCCCCAACCCCCAACCCCCCATATCCTCATTATCCGGGCATGAATAGGTAGGTTAGGTATACAAGAAAAAATAACCATGAACCGCTTGCACCCCCCCCCCCCCCCCCTTGTACTCATGCTATCCCCAATCCCAACCGCCTGTAAACATGCACATCTATTCCATCCTAACTGTTTTTGATCGGCCCTGATCAACCCATTCCCGCCGCCTTGGTTCACAGTTTATGAAGACTACCTAGCCTTCAAGTTGTGTTGTGTGGTTAAGTAGCCCCATCCCCTGCTCCTCGAGTTGTGAGTGTTCGTTGGTGGAAAATATGTGCAAAACTTTTTTTTTTACACAAGGTAGACAAGATAGACTTCACCAAGCAGTAGTCTCCCATCATCAGCATTGTGGTCATCGTCTGTGTCTGTCTGTCCACCTTTCTTTTCCTTTCCTTTCTTGCCCCCCCATCTGGGTATACGTATTGGTACTTGGTGTGTAATGCGCAACTAATGCCCCCCTCCCCCCTTTTTTTTATCTACCTGTCTGTCAGGATGGAATCCAAACGCTGCCCCGTTGTCCTATGACGGGTCAGCGCTCCTCGTCCATAGTAATATACCGTGTGCCTATGCATATTTTGACGTGTGTCCTGACAATGTGAATTCCCAATGGCGATGATGGTGGTATTGGAAGAAGGACACACACGCACACAAAAAATAAAAATAAACACATAAGCAAATAAGAAGCCAACAAGGGTACAGCTTATCCAGGCTCCTTGATATAGCTTTTAGCATATATTGGGTGCAGGTGCCTACACAGTCACCGTGCTACTGCTCAGCTCGACATTTTGCCAATTCGCGCTCATCGCCAGAAGCTTTCTTCTTATCCCGTCGGTAAACCTCGAGCTGATGCCGTCCTCGAGCATCTTGATGGCGCACTCAAGCACGTCCCCGGGCTTCTCGAAGCGGACGTTGGCGGCGGCCCCCGCCGCGTCGCGCGGGTCCTTGTTCCAGGAGTACGAGGGCGGAGGGCCGGGGTTCGGGGGGCTGAGCTGGTCGAGGGCGGCGGCGGCGGCGGCGGCGGACCCGGCCCCGGACTCGTCGTGCGCCTGGAAGCTGGTGTCGAGCCAGGAGACGTTGTCGGCCCACAGGATGAGCGCGGCCCGGTACACGGCCGCGCTCCACCAGGTAGGGCGGCGGTCGCGCGGCATCGAGCGCAGGAGCCGCAGGAGCTGCCCGCTGTGGAGGATAGTCTCCTCGCGCTGGAGAATGCAGCGCTTGTGCCGCAGCGACAGCTCCCACTCCCAGTAGCAGCCTTCGACGAAGCCCTCGCGCCGGGCGAGCCGCTCGATCTCTTGGAAGTTGGTGACGGCGTTCAGCGAGATCAGGTGGTAGAGCACCAGGTTGGTCTTGATGGTGGTGCACGTCGGGTTCGTTTCGCAGTACGCCATCGTCATCTCGTACCATTGCTCGAGCAGGCCCTGGATCTCCCTGCGGCGCGATTCGAAGGACAATTTAATGTCCGTCCGGCTGCCGGCGCGCTGCGTATCAATGACGTCCGGGAAGCACCGGAGCATCTGCATGACGTGGTGTAGGGAGGACTGGAGCGGGTGCAGCAGCAGGCGCAGCTGTTGTGGTGTCAGGCTTCCCTGGCCCCTAGGTAGGTTATCGTTCAGGAAGCCCTGAAACAACTCGTAAAGGGAGGTTGTGACGGGAGGGGGAGTAGTAGTCAAAAGCTGGGGGTTGACGTTTGCGTTGCAGCCGTAGGTAGATTGCACCGCAGCGATCCATTGATCTACATTAACGGCCATCCAGAGCAGCTCGGGACCAGGCAATGGTGCACAGAGCTCACTTGTCGACAGCATGGGCGCGGTGTCATGGAACAAGCTGAGTTCTTGGTCCACCATGACAAAATTATAGGCCAGCCTATTGGAATAGATTAGCGTACTGCATCCGACTATTGGTTGAAATCCCGCATGCGGTGGCGCAAAGTAGAAGTAACACACCTATTTTGGGCTTCTCGGTGTATCCATGAATGCCATTCAAGCTCTGCATTGGTCGAGCTGGTAAATGTGGGAATCGTAGACGGCTGAGCTTCGAACATTCCGGCGTGTTTCAACATCTAGTGATAATATTTAGAGACATAAAAACCTATGCGAGAAGGGAGGCTGCATTATTGGATTAGGTACTCACCGACAGATACATCCCGCGCTGTCCCATGGCTATATCCATGAGCCACTTATCTCCGCTCCAAGCACCTAGGAGCGTGAAGAGCAGGGCGCATCTAAGCGTGGTCGGGTCGGCACACATCTCTATGTCTTTCTCGATTATATCGAAAAGCGAGATGCGGCACGTCTCCAGCAGGCCGGTTGAAAGAGCCCTTGCTTCCGCCGTAGGGATCGCCGACGCGCCCTGCGCAATCATGAGCAGTACTAGAAGTGCCCCTACTTGGTTGTTCTGAAGTAACTCATTCGGGTCTACGCAGCCGGCCGGAAGCAGCGAGTAGAAAAAAGACAGGTTCCGAAGGTAAGACCGGAGGAAATACTCGAGTATTTTCGAAGGTGGGAGAACCAAGAAGCTCAATATCCTCGAGGTTACGTAGTTTTTGACTGGGGTGTTCACCCCTCCGCGATGGATTTCAAGCGCTTTGTGTAGGAAGGTTTGCGTTATGGCGAGCAGATTATCGCGACTGCGAGACGTCATGGGGACAACCGAAGCCATGTCGGGCGAATTCCGTTCGACCTGCTCTAGATATTGCTCCAAGGCATTCCATGTATCCTCATGCCGCGACTTTTGCTCTAGACATTCCAAATGAACTATAGCAGTTCTCGGGCATGTATTTGAATATATAAGCGGATTACACCGAGCTAGGGGCCAAGCAGCGTCAGCCGCTATGACAACTTCGAATTCGGGTATCATTGCATTAGTTAGGGTATTCAAAGTCATATCAACTGATGGTTTAACAGCGAGATCAAAATCCCCCGAGGAAACTATGCTAGTGCTCCTCGTATGGATAGACGCTCTCGAAGAGCCCGTCGGATCTGAACTAGATGAAAGATCACTAGTTTCATTAAAAACGGGCATGGGGGCGTCGGCTTGAAGGGACATATTGTTGGCGTATATGTCAAAATCCAGATTGTAATCAGTCCAGCCCATCACGTCATCAATATTTTGAGGGGGTTGTATCAAGTCACCACTTAAGCTAAGGAAGTGGTCGAGAACCCCGACTCCAGGGTGAGAGGCTAGGAAGTCATCAGCGCTCATTTGTGAAATTGCAGGTGAGTTTAACTTGAGAGGGCTTTCGTGTGGTTGTATTCGCGGGTCGATTGTTATGGGATTGTTGGCGTTTTCAGGTGACATAGAAGACGGTATGGCTGATTCGGGATTTACTCTATTTTGGTCTATATCCATAAAAACAGGGTTAATTGTGGTGGCCGGCGTTGCTGGTACGCTTTGGGGTGGTGGCAATGCGATTTGGTTCTGAATACTGCTCATCGCGGCAGTAGCTTGCGCTGCAGCAGTAACTTGCGCAGCCCTCAAGGCAGCCTTGGAAGACCGTCGTGCAAATCGCGCTTGGCACTCAAGATTTTTATCTGAACATCGTGCACAAGGGACTCTCTTATCACAGCCCGTCTTAGCTTGAGCGCAGTTGAGACAAGCGATGGGAGTTCGGCCAGCTACGGTTGGAACACCGCCTGGGATTGGTTCCATGGGATCTCGTACTTCATGATATGTGGAATGGTGTCGCTGTAGTAAGTCCCTAACATCGGATTAGTGAGTACGCAATTTATCGACGAACGGGCGGGGGGAGGAGAGCAAACCTTCTGGCAAAAGACAACTGACAAGCGCTGCATCTGTGCGGTTTTACGTTTGTGTCTATGTGAGTTAGTTCGTCTAGATTCAATACGCCAGTGAAGAGATCACCACTTACGGGTTGGGAGATGTCTCTCCAGGTGCTCTTTGCGCGTGAAGCTCTTCCCACAGTAAGCGCAAAACACCCCCATGGTGGTGATTTGAGGGAATTCAAAATCAAGAAAAGTAAGCCTTGTCCGGGATTTGCTTATTGACGATATTCTAAACACTTGCAATAGCTGTCACGGAGCTTTGGAAATCTCCTATATTAGTTGTAGACCATAAGAGTGCAGAGAGACTGAATAATTAGATGGGGAAACTATCGTATATTGCTCGTGGGAAAGATGATATCAGGTGTTGAGCTGCTAAACGACAAAACAGGTATCCAGCTGAAGGGGAACGAACACAAGGGCGAACACAGGGGAAGGAAGGACCAGGATGCATATGCTTGAAGAATAAAAAGATAGATTCAATCGATATGTATGCTAAGACAGTAAGCGGTCAAACAAAACATGTAGGCAGAAATGACATCGAATGTGCATGAATGAATGAGACCCAGCCGGGTCATGGCTTTCTAAATAAACATGAGAACAAGAGCTCGAAAAGGTTATCCATCTCGGGTCCACCTACCTATCAGCAAGACAGGAGGGTACAAGAAGCTTACAATTGTAATGAAGTAGAGAGTACCAAAGTATGATGGTGAGAGCGTGTGTAAGTGGACGTGGACCATCTCCGTTGGCTTTCCTAGTACAAAGTCCACACAGTCCCTGCCGCCCAGGAAGGAGTAATGAAGTAGAAAGTACCAAAGTATGAAAGTGAGAGTGTGTAAGTGGAAGATGGACCAGTGGGCCAATCGATGCACGATGCACCTAGTAAGTAGTATCTTAGACACTGGGGGGGTTGTGGCACACAATTAAATTCCCGGCCCAGCCTAGACATTTTCAGCCGCCATCAAATACTTTTATATTATATCCAGGTACGGTACGATGGGGGGGATCCCCTGTCGTTGGCATGGCGGGGGGGAAAGGCAATATAACGAAGATGTACGCGAGTAAGAAACACGAAATAAAAGTTATGGAAAGATGGTTAAAATGGCAAAACAAATCTTGTTAGTTTCAACATTGTATAGGTATCGTATTGCAAAGTGGATAGAAATAAAAAAGAGAAGTGTGTATTATTCAAGTGAATACGAATGGTAAAGATGAAAAGAAATAAAAAGATGATGGCATAAACCACCTAGTGCCCTACAATTCAAAACTTGTTGCCCCACTAAGCTTTTTTCCTTTCCTTTTTACACCTCTTTTACCTTTTGAGCGGCAACAAAAGACGACGAGTTGACGACTCAAAATAAATTATTCTCTAGTTAATGCGAGTGTCTAACTTTGAAATTAAATCAAGGCAACTAGATCTCTTTCGATCGGTTCGCGTCTTATATCAACACCCTTCTTAGTTACAACTGAAAGTAGGACTATAAAGGTCCTATGTGCTTACACATGCTAAGTATCTAGGTATAAGGTAGATGTACGCTCAGTGACGTAAGACAGAGAGACGTGTATAGACAGACGTGTATAGGCAGATAGCTATGGTAGCAGAAGCGTAAGATAAGCTGATATTGGCATTATCTTCAACGTAGCCGGCGTAAGAGCCAACTCGATAAGGATATCAAGGCCCGACAATATAAAGCTATAGCCATGTGCGTAACACAGCAGCGACGGAATCGTTAGAAAATCAGTTCTTTTTTAATTTTAAAATTTTTTATATAATTATTATTATTATTATTATTTGACAGACAGTTTTAGCTTTCGCTGTCATCCAAAGGTTGGCACATCAAGTAAGCGAGCTATCAGTAGGAAGGAAAGAAAACGTATGGGCCCTTCACCCTAACAACTCGTGTGCAATGCGATTAGCAAGTTTAGTTTGAGGGGACTGACAAGGGACCGTTCCAGGCTCGATGGATTTCGGGGAAAGCTGTGCCTATGGAGATGGTGAGTGGTCAAAACTTGGGGAGTATGTAAGATCGAACCTCGTGCGTCGCATACAGGGTTGTCGCATAGTACCGAGACTTGCAGCGATCTGCGTCTAAGGGCCGAAGCAAACCCTGATAGCAACGGAGGACCCAGGTACAATACTTGTTGTTATTTTTCGTTTCTCGGCATCATCAGCATCATCATTGTTTCCTATCTATGGGATTTTCCTCGAAATTTGCCATCACATGTAGTATAATTTAATATAAAACAGAGAGCGGAAAGAGATGGACTTGTGAAACAACTTGAGATCGTCGTTCTGTCTTTTTTTTAAGTTTCTTTACCGTTTATTTTTCAGAGAGTTGTTACAGTGGGATTACTGCTTATTTACAGCCAAGATGGTAAAAGTCGCAGGTAAAAAAGTAAATAAGAAGCTGAGCACACCCACTTACATGGTACCTAGCATACACCTATCCAGGTATACCACACATCTACACACTCTTTACCCCGACTTATACCTATTACGGAAGACCCTTTCAAAAGTTTTTTTTTTTTCCATAGTGAAACCCTTGCCAGTCTCTGCACATCTGGCGATCCTTATGTGACAGCTGTTCACGTAAGGTCTACACGTATATCAGTTGAGTACATAGCTGTTTTGGGCCAGCAGGTGTTGATGGGCTTACAAGAGTCTCCTTATAGTAGAGCTTTTAAAAGGGTCTTCCGTAAGATAAACGCGTATGTAGGTAACCCTCCTAGTTGGTCCTTTACTGCGCCTCTATCATGCATCAGCCGTCTCAGCTCTCCCCATCCAGTGGTTTTTTTCTTTCTTTCTTTCTTTCTTTCTTTCGATCTAGGTACTAGCTGCGGTTCGGGAAATCTCAAACGAGTACCTACAATGAAACGTGAGGATTCTTGTTGGCGCTTGCACTAAATCTTGCTTCCTATGTTAGTACCAATTTTCCGTAGCCGTAACAGAGCTGTGCAATATTGGACATGTCCAAAAGTCTGGAAATCTTTGAATTCCATCTTTACCCATGCCTACCTAAACCTAACCTAATCTAATCTAACCTTTATCCAACTTTATACCTGCCTTATGTCCCTATGATCTACTTCCTTCAAGCTTGCCAGGCCGTCCTTGAGATCAACGTTACAAGGATCGACCCTAATGGTGACATTGAGAGATGCAAGCTTCAACCATAGCTAGGTAGGTACCTACCTACCTAATTATACTTTTCCTCGCATACATACGCATACATATACATTTACATTTAACTAAGTGTTTAGATGTCGGGTTCTTCCATGCATGTAAAGTGCAGTGCAGGTAGCTAGACGGGGAGGTAGTACCTCTAGGTACTGAATAGAGATGCAGTCGTTCATAAGTGGAGTGAAAAGAACCATCATATCTATTATTCCCTACAGGTGTTTGAGAACAAGGAAGGTGAAAATAGCATGAAATAAAGTATTAAAGCAAAAGCTAAATATCTTTTTTTTCTACGCTTCTATATGATTACCAGCATCAACCTCGTTAGCAAGGATCGATCGAGAAAAATAAGCAGTTTCACTTGTACCAACGATCCTTATATGAGAAACAATAACCGCAAAGGAAGATTTGGTTTGGACAGAAGGCCCAGCCCGCCGGGGCGGCGTGAAGGAATTTTCCTAATCGGGAAATTCTACCTGTTAGCCCTCTGCCTGGCTCTTTCTGCTAACCCCCCTGATTCGCCCTTCATATGGTAGCTCTTCCGGATAATAACATAACCAAACCGTCGGGTCGCCCTATCGCCATCCCGTGTTCTGTGTTGTGTTCGTGCGTACCTATTTCCATGTCCCTGGTAATAATAGCCCTAGGTATTCCTTAAGGTAGTACTATGTATTAAATCCCATCAGCGATTACGACTCCCTGTCCTGCCCTAAAATCTATTCTTAGGTATTCCCAGTATGGTATAATCCGGGTTGTCATCACCTTAGCCTCTTTTTATTCCTTCCTTCTTACCTTTCCTGCCTTTTAATCCCGTGGGTTTCGCCCTCCATCTTCTTGGCTGTAGGTTGCTAAGAGGTAGGTAGTAAGAGGTTCGGTAGTGTGGAAGTATGTATGCGTTGTGTGTAGATTCTCGTGTCCCACGAAAAGGCACGAGCTAGGTCAGGTAGGTACAATCAAAGATGGTTGAGGAAATAAGCATGTCTTGGCTTCGGGAGATATCAAACTAGCTCGGCCTCGACGTCTCTGGCGCTCCCTCGTAAGGTTTGAGGTTACTCTCGTACAACATTTGTCTATGATTTTAGCTGCCGCTATTGCAACAATACTGACACCTTGTTTTAGACTTTAATTCCTTCCCGCATGCTCAATAGATACCTGATATATTAACTATTCCACATGAGATAGTACGGCCAATCTCCACACATTTATATCCATCATAGCTTGGCGTACTTTTTTTGCTGTCGATTTGAATTTCCATGCAGCCAAACCGTGGCGATCAAACCTTGTTCTCTTCCCTTCGCGAAACGGACCAAAGGATGCTTTCTGCAAAAAATGGGGTGGGTTGGTTGAACGCAACTCTCGCGTTCTACAAAGGTTAAAATGTCCTCCCAACCATTAGGTACATTTTTATCGTATTTCCTGTAAGTAATACGTCAAGCGGAAGGCGGCTCTCTTTATTTTGTCTCATCGAGGTATTACAACCTCCGGTCTTGGCTTGGGGGGGGGGGGAGAGAGATCCTGTGACTTTGTATACGTCGTATCAGCATCATTTGGGCCGATCCGTATAACTGCTGCTCTAAACTCCGTGCTGATCTCCGGGACAAGACCCAACGAGGCGTGCAATACTCACCAGAGGAACGAACAACAAGAAGCCTCACCCGCAGATCAAAATTATATATGCCTGTTTAATCTAGTGCATGGGTAATATGATGCATGTTCATAAGTTATTCATTCATACATGAACCTCGTACAATGACCCGACCGGGAGAAACGGATCAGAAGCGAAAGCGAAGGGCGAAGGGCGAAGGGGTGGTCAAGGGCCAAGTGCCGTAGCCCAGGTAGCCAAGATAGCCAAGTCGTGACTCTCCTCCTGCAGCGAATAGTACCATCCATTAGCAAAGCAACCTTTAGATCCTAGTTTAGATCCTAGACTACCTATCCGCCTCTCCCGCCTATCCCGCATTATGTATCCCATAAATCGTTTTAGGGCTTACGCCACATCGGCCCAGGTATGTCACTCTTTCGTCGGGATAGTGCAAGACTCGGCGCCTCTTTCGCTCAGGGTTGCGATTCGAAGGGTGGATTGACGGGATTGAAGGTATTCTCCCTTGATTGACTAAAATACGTGTGAGGCGTCGGGATCTCAACCGGCGCAGCCACAACCGTACCTAAGGCTATTCCCACCCCACGAGTATTTCGTTCCCTTTTGGGCCAAGGCCGAGAGATAGGTAGGTATAGGTAGACGTGAGGATGATTGTGAGGGAAATGTAGGTACCTAGGGATCTA